AACGATAATCGAGGCCATGCTTTCCAGAATCGGGAAGTGGCCCAATGTAACCTGATTCATCATACGCCCGTTACCCACAACATCGGCTCACAATACGCGGCACCGAGTAACGGGCGCAAACGTTAAACACAATGCTTACTTGGCCGGGGGAGACGTGGTACAGCCAGCCTTGTGAGTCGTGACAAGCGCCGGCTTTAAGTCTCTCGCCCCCACGTGACGACATACCCTCCATGAGCCACCACGGGTGCCACCTACTCGTATTATTTGCGAGGGGGCTAGAGCCATCTCTTCCGCTACTACTCGTATGTAGCCATGTGGCCCACCTCCGAGTCACCACTCACTACCGGTCACACACCCCAAAAGCGTGCCAAAAGTCCCATTTCAGAAGATGGGGGCCAAAACATATCGTCCTCATTTGGGTCTTGCCTAGAGCAGCTCGCACTTGCAGACCCGACCCCCTTACCATCCTCAATTCCAATCCGCCGCCTCTCATCTTCTTCAGCAAGTTCTAGCAGCCCGCATACAGGCTGACATACTATCTCCGGCTGCTCATGCTAGGCTTTTGGTATAATGTCGGTCGACCTGGGGGAATTCCGCGCTCGGATGGGGTCGTGGTGGAATCTCTCAAAGGTCACATTATGCGATTCGGGCCAATTGCGGCTGACCAAATCTCAGTGAGAACATGCTTTGCGTGATGCAATGCTCTCTTTGCTCAAAGAACCCCTTTCCCTGCAGTCATCATCACCAGGCCCAGTGAAGGAGGTGCTTTGGATTGCAGCAAATGAAGTGTGCTAAGTATTGTCGCTGTGGAGAGGGACATGTCGTCGATCTGGGTCTGATCTCTGACGAGTCCTCTTGCAGCAGTCCTGATGGGCCCTCCCCCCACTAACATCACCCCCATGAGCCTTGTCATCCTCCTGCTTCTACCTAGGTACGCACCAGAGCTCCCCAGCAGCATCCACATTTGGGGCCCTACCAGGCTTCTGTATCCCCCCTTTCACCAATCAGGGTTTGCGGCTCCACCAGACTTGAGCACGGTTACTCGAGACTGCATGGTCATCGCTTCGCCAAACTGCGCGAGTTAGATCCTTCAACCCAGTCCGCAAGGGAAGACGCACTCCCTCATAATCAAACCAAGCAGATCGGCGATGAAGCTTCCATTACAGAACGGGAGCATTCCAAGAGTGAAGGCGGGTTGCGGATCTTTGCTGGTCCGCTCTCCACAGTTTGCCATTGTGATGAGACCACGTTCTTCACAATGGCTGGGGCCCTTCGCTGCCCTTTGACTTCAATTAGGCAGTCCACTACAGACATGGACGAAGTATACTATGCACCAAAGTTAGCAACGTTCACACCGCTCGACTAGGGGAGGGCTAAGCCTGAAAGGATTACACCTCGGAAGCGAGCTTGGATACATGTTCTTGGAAACTTGCACTAACTTTCACGCGCCATCTGCAGGATCCCAGTCTCCATACCAAGGGCAACCTCGCTGGACTCGCTCCGAAGTAATCCCCTGCTTACATATGCAGCAAAACTTTTCGAGGGATTGCTGAGCTAACAGGACCCCACCTAAGCCTCGGACAGGGTTCTTCCAAAGCAGAGACGACGGCTGGCCGGTAGATTGTTTTCAGGACTCGCGCGGGCAGTCATTCCACAGACATTCCCGCGGCATTAGATCCCGATCTAGCGCTGAGAAAAGTGCCCGAGCAAAAGGCCCCTGGTCAATGCTATCGCCGTGTTTTTGTTGAATCGTGTGGCTCTTGCGTCGAGGGGTTGCAGAACCCTCTTGAAAACTCTTCATGCTGCGATCTGGGCTGGGGCTTGCCAAAACCCACATGCCTCTCTCGATGGGCAGATCTACGACAAAGCGCAAATTGAGGTGAGCAACAGCCAATAACGCCGGGATTTGTTGACTTGAATCATCAAGTGACTTTCTCCGACCACCCTACAGATCAGGACATTCGAACTAGTCCGTTGATTGTTGAGCAATTCTGATCGTGCCTTTTGCTCTGAGAACCCCAGGGACGAAAAGTCTCCCGGTCCTAAGACTGCATCCACACATCACTGCGGAGTTGAGTCTCCTCGAGGCTTTTACCCTTGCCCTTGCTGGCCCCACGAAATCCGGTACCTTGATTACGGTGCGACTGCCGAAGACCTATCACGACTGTCTGAATGCCCTGACAAATGCTCCTGGAGCGGCCCATCCGCACCTAACCTGAGACCAGCCCATGCGTGGAGGATAAAAGAGGAGTTTTAGCTTGAATTTGATTCAGCGTCCAGCTCTTCGAACAACCGCCAAGTCGCTCCTTCTTGCAGATCGAACCCCCGGTTTTGAGCAAGATTTTCAGAATCGCTTACAAGAATGCTGACTTTTTGTGCTGCCAGACATGGACCCAGAGGCTGCTCCCGGGGAGTGTGGACGATCCTGATCCGACCCGCGAGGAGTTTGAAACTCGCTCGCAGGCTGAGCTCTTCCAAGTTAGCCTACTTGGAACTTCTCCGGCAGTACCAACGTGTCAAAGCCCTTTGTCATCGAAAAGCTGACTATCAGCCAGTCGATGTATCAGGATTACTACTCTGAACGACGAATGCTCCTCACCAAGCGGACCATGATCTTTTCGACACCCCTGCTGCTCGCTTCGATGTGGTTGATCTTTTCTTGGGGAGAAATTGACGTCAACAACGTTCCCGTCGTGTTCCATCCATGGCCACGGGGATAGTCGAGGATTTCGGACAGCCCCCCTCCGAAACATCATCACGTCCATTCTTTAAGCCCATGAGCGTTGACTGCATTCCTGAGTCAAGGTCCTCCCTATTGGCGGTCTACATATCCGATCTTGGTACCTATCAAACATTTACAATTCGGTTATTTTGTATTAGGGTCTTGAAACAGGTTGGCTATCTTTGGGTGGCGATAATCGTTGTCTTCGGTCGTCAATAATCCTGAGTCAGGGCAGATGTTCGGTGATTCTCGTCGGCAGAGACGGAGCAACATTCTTTTTCGGTGGGTACAGTGCATTTCTGGCTAAAGACGACACTCGCGAGACAACCAGAGATCGTCAAACCTCGTGGGACCTCGACCTTCGTGAAAGGCGGACCCGCTGTTGGGCGCTTTTATGCAATCCATCTGCCAAAAGCGGAGTGGCACGGGATGGCTGTCCTACCGGGATACTGGTCTTCTTTCTGTCGGCAGGAAGGAGAGGATATCATGTCGTGTCCGGCGCGCTTTCGGAGATCTCTACCCCTTGATGTCTATTGGTGGTTGGCCCCGCGCAAGAGGGCCGGTACGTTTCGTATGCTTTGGTTGGCTCTCTTCGAGCAGATCAGGTGCTTGGTCGTCATCCATGTCTGGTTGATTGGCACGTTGGTCGTTGCATTTCATGTACGACTACGCAAGACAAGGACGTGGTGCCGGGCTTTCATACTTCCAGGCCGGATTTGAGTTTCTCAGTGTCCGCCACATTGGGACGATCCTTGACTTCATCGTCGACCGCCGACACGGGGAAGATCAGAGACATATGCGGTAGGTGAAACCTCCTGGTAAGGATCCTGGTAAGGAGTAGTTGACTGTTCTATCGGGGTGTCACTGTCGTCACTGGTTTGCGTGAACAAGGCCTCATCTCTGCCTTGGTTGGGTTTCCAACCCTGGAGCCTTATCATCACAGCCTGATGCAACGTAACCGGCTCACTTTATCTCCGAGGCCGAAGTCCGATGTTGGAATCTTTTCTCTCCCCTGCTCTCTTCTCTTCTGGAAGTCAAGCGACCCAAAGGGGTGGGTTAGCAGGTCGATACACAGGTGAACCGGTCGCCTTTCCACTCTTCTGCTCAACTTTCCGACGGAGAAGAGCCATTGCCATTTTTGTGTATGCGTGGAGGGTCTGCGTCTGGAACGCGCATTGGTACGAAGCGCGAACGTGCATAGGTAACGAACCAACCAAAGAGCAAGTGAGGCACGATGATTAAACAAGCAGGTCACTGACTCGATCACATGGTCCGGATTTCCGCCCCGGCCCGCAGACACTTGGATTTACAAGTATTGTGTGTGATCCTCTGTTAGTTGTCACAATATCCGGTATCCGTGGACAGCGTTGCTTGTTACATATCCTAACCCTTATGGAGTATCCATACCAAACAACTACCTAGAATGGAAACGAGGGTTCGGGCCCCGGGGGAATTAACCACGCCGACATGGACACAGGGAGGTAGAGAGATCGGTCTGTTATGGATTTTGGCATGTACCTATGGATGTAGGAGGACGTCCTCCCTTGGAATCTCAGCCTCGCCAAGCCTCGCCAATGGGAGATTTCGACCGGTCGGATGCTTAGCCTCGATCTTGTGTATGTGTGTACGTGTTATATATCAATATAGCCTGGTGAAACAAGCCATCGTGGATCATGGAATCCTCCACAGAGGCATAGCATGCTCGCTCGGTCGCTCGGTGGTACCTTGAGTTTCTGCAACCACCGGGCACCATCACCCGCATTTAGTACCAGCACCGCCCGGGAGAGGCTAGAGATTGCGCATGAGAAGTTATTGACGGAGAAAGCAGAGAAAGTAAGTCCTTTGGAGCATTGGCCATCATTTGCACGACGGATCACTCCCCACCCCTCCATTAGGCAGGAAACGAGAGCAAATCGGCGGGTTCATCAGTAACCAAGCGAGGAGGAGAGCACGAAGCGCAGCTCGGAGGAAAGTCCCCTGGTATAGCGTAGGTTGACACATTGCATACCTAGGTAGGTACCTAGGTACCTACCTACCTTAGGTTGCTGGGCCACTTTTGACCATAAAGCCCGGGGGGGAACAGCATACTACAGTAACTCCAGGGCGGTCTGGGATCTCCATGTGGAATCCAGACGCGCGGGCCGGTAGAAGAAAAAAAAAAGGCTTGGAGGGTTGTGTCAAAAGTTGTTAAGCACATATATAGAGAGTAGAAAAAGTGTCTGAATATGTGTAATTTGTCATTTTCATTAGGCATTTTGGTATGCAGGTGCGGTTTTCTCTATACTCTAGGACCGGCAAGTCTGCTGGCCACGGTCTTGACGGCGGCCTCTTCACGGCTGAGGATCCACATGAACAGCATCTGGATCACGAACGCGTACAGCGCCAGGAAATACGTGCGGCGGTTCTTTTGGGCGCGTGCCGCCGTGTACGAGCTCCCGCCTCGGCCCATGGCCGTCGGGTCGCTCGAAGAGGCGTCCGGGAGGAGGACGTATTTTAACGACCTTAGCTTTAAACACCTGTCAGATTGTGCAAATGGTGGGGGATCGATCCAGGGTAGAAGAAGGGGGTGTACATACCAGAAAGAATGCATTCGCGTACCAGGTGTACAGGAACAAGGTCCAGCCCACCCAGTTGTTCGTCCCGCTCCCGCCGGTTAGGAGCTCGCTGAAGAAGAGTGTCACTATCACCCCGACGAATTTGTAGCCGGAATAGGCCACCAGGTCCAAAAGTTGAGAGTCGTTGCTGATGCTCAGCATGTACATGGCGATCTTCAGGACGATGATTTCGAAGATGATGACGAAAATCGCCGTGCTGGTGATGCTGCCCAGCAGTTCCGGGTGGAATGACCCCCGGATCCCGGCCAGCACGGTCGACAGGAGGATGTAGGTGATCAGCGCCATTATCGGTATGTACATGTCGGGCGAATTGAGGTCGTCGCGGGGCGGGAGGTAGTTGAAGGAATAGGATTGTTGGGTCATTGTGCCGTCGGCGGCGGTCGAGGAGGTGGTCATGCGAGCTTGTTGCCGCGTCCAGGGCTTGTGCCGCCAGGGAAATAGGACGAGTAGCAGTTTCCGTACCACGTACGAGTTTGAGACGTTGAAGTAGTGTTTCAGTGCCGAGACGGAAATGTAGCGGTTCAACTGGGCAGAGGAAAATGTTAGCGTGTGTCAATTCCACCTGGAATACTCCACGAGCGCCAGACTGTAGCCACAGTAATGTGTCCTGACACTGAGGTGCCCACGTACATTCTGTTCCATATACTCTTGTCCAGCCTTCATCGCATGCTGCCCTACTTGAAACCCCATCTGGGCTGTCGGGTCGCTCATGAAGCCGAAGTTGGGACCGAAGCCTCCCCCTGCACCACCACCTCCCCCTGCAGGCGGCGACTGATAAGGATTCCCATAGCTATTCACCTGGGGCTGTGACGAGTTCTGTGAAGCAGGAGGCGGAGGGGATCGCATCATTGGGACTTGTGAGATGTGCTGAGGGCGAGGGTGGAATAATTCAGGGGATTTTTGAGGCGGAGAGAAGGGTTGGCGCTGCATCCTGGCCGAGGAAGGGGGGTGAGATATCTTGTGATGCGTGACTGATGGTGTTTCGAGTCTTGATACGTCTGAATAGTGTAGTGAATGGAGTGACAGGCTGTCATAAACAAATCTGAAGTGTGTTGCGGTGCGCACTCTTCTGGAAATCTGTCCCCGATACAAATTCCCGCCACTTTAACGAATCTTCTCCGCACCCGAGGTTTTTGGTGGTCGAATATCTCCCGCCGCTATTTGGGCCTATACTGCGAGGCCGCATCGAGTTTCTGTCATTCTCTATTCAGCCACAACGCTCCCCGGCCCTTAGGAGCACAACTGTCCCCTCGAATGCAAGACCATACTAGACCCTGCACTTTGACCTAATATCATACTTCAAGGTTTGATCGGGTCAGGACGATGGCGGCACGTTCTGTTAGCGGAGATGCACAACCACTCGCTACGAACCGATCGAATGCCAAATCAAGCCGTTCTCGCCAATCTCTGCCCTCCCCAATGCAATCCGCTATCATGACTTACCAAAAGACCAGGTCCATCAGTGCAGCGGTGCTCTCTTGCACATTCTAAAAGTGCCATACATCTGCGACGTCCGCAAATCGAAACGGGCCTCTCGACGAGAATTGAGTTGGAGATATTGGAAACCGCGTATGGGCCTGACCCCGAAGCATCTAGGACTATTCCTTCGGTGGCCTCCTCGTAGACTGCTAGGACTCATTTTCTCAGTACGCACCATAGCCTTGGAGACGGTAAGTCCTATTCAAAATACAAGGAAGATGGGTGTCAGTCACATTTACCTCACCGGGCGGCACTACAACACGTCCTGCGCACTTATTTGTCCCGGTTGGCTTTCGTCTAAAACAGTCGAGATGTTAAGCACCGATATATGTGCCACCCTCGCAGCGGAAACGCTTCAGTACTGCAACATTTGTCGAAGACTTCTGCCTCTCCTGCACTCGACTGAGAAGTATGATCGGGCGGCTACGAGAAAAGAAAAACAACCCAAGCACGACTTACCATGTGGGAATATTTGATGTCTGTCCGAACTCTCCACAAACAGACGCTCCTGCTGAGAACTTAGCTTGCCGCTGTTACACACTCGCCGTACCAAGCAGCGGGCAATCTCGTAGCTTTGAAACAGCGAGAACGTATCTGGATACCATCAAGATATCTGCACATGCTGGCTGGGTGACCAGGAACTCTATCTCTGCTGAAAGCCCGAAGCGCCTCTTGCCCAAAGTCGTTCGACTCAGTTTGGACAATCCGCCTCTAGACTTATCAGCGGACAAAGTTCATTTGACGAATTGACTTTCATGGATGGTTTACAGAGCCAAACGTGCCAACTTTGTTCCAGGCAGAAAAGGCTCTACCGGTCTCTTGGCCCCTCCGAAGCCCGACACGTGGAGCTGTCATTGTAAGAAGGTATCTATTTGGAACGTTAGCTAGCTGGGGTACAACTTACAGATGCAGCGTGCTTAAGGCAGAGGCAACAAAGTTAGCCCAGCCCAAGAAGGCGAAATGGTAGATGGAAAAGGGACCTTCAAGCGAGGTATCTCGCAGACACAAAGCAGTATTCTCGAGGATTACAGATCACTCCACGATACTTGATCTGGACCCCGCCAATATTCTCAGTTCATGTTGGGAGACGGGTTCTTCCCAAAGTTCCAAGGCTGCGCTCAATTACATGCTGGAGGTTTGCCCTGTGCAGGATCAGGCGAGACCCTCCCGAACCTTTCGCTTCTCCAGGCCTAGCCAGACGCTAACGGATGATCTGCAGGGCTTAAGACGACGCGGCTAGGTACCAGCATATGGGGTCGGAACCTTGCAGCCCCTGAATAAGGGGGTCCCAACTCAAAGGATGTTGCTCGCAAGATGGCGAGGAGCGATATCCCTTCAGCCTGCGGAGAATTTGGCCAGATATTCTAAGATCAACTCCGCTGCATTGGATCCAACATCGTCCTCGCCGTGCCAATCATAACTACTCGTAATTCGCACTCGACGGAACCCCTACCATCAACCGCCTCTTCACGCGAAGCGTGTTGAAAAGCGAGGCCGAGGCCCCTAAAATTGTTCGGCGTGGTCCCGCGCCACCGTGGTTTCGACTTCGCTCTTCACCCGCGCTGCCTGTCAATCTTGCCCTTTATGAAACCTTCTTTCTCGTATCCGGCGCCTGCAATTTGAAGGCCGCGTTGAGCAAGATGAGTCAAGATGGAAAAGTTCAGGGAAACCCGGGCCCAGACATGGGGTTTCAAGCCATCTTGGGTCCATGCCACACCATCTCCTGTCAGTATCCTTGCATCCACGCTCTTCTCGCTAAATAATCTTCGGCTCGTGCATCTCACGAGGCTGGCAGCGGATATGAGAGATTTGCAGACGGCTTGTACCCCTCTCGGCGAAGGATGTGGCCAACGAGCGCCTCTTGCCTTTGCACGCCTAAACACGTTTCCAGGTTCACCAAGAGACCAGAACATTTCTGGCTTGACTTGTGATTAAGGAGAGCATATTGACCACGCAAGAATCTGCCCTAGCAAGCATCGAGGATGGCTCAAGGCGGTGAGATCCCGATGCTTAAAGGTCATATACTGAAGGGCATGACCACGAAGCCGTGTTCTACCTTCTCCTCTTCAAGCATCTGTCTTCGTCCATTCTTTTGCTCTTACTGACCCAAGTCAATCCTTCCTGAAACAATCAACACACTCTTTAAAAATGGCATCCAATGGAACAGCACCTACCGCTGCGCAGGGCGGCATGATCGACCAGCACGACGTGCAAGACTGGGTGAATCGCTTCAACGAGGCTCTAGCAGATTCGAAAACAGTCACTGCACCAGCATCGCACGATGCCCGCCCATGGCACTCGTCTTTCTTCGGCTGCTTTGCACCCATTGATACTTGTATGTTGGACGAGACAGACCTTCTCTTGACGACATGATCCAAAACATAAGAGTGCAGAGGTTCTGACATTCATTCTCCAGGCTTCATCACCTGCTGCGTACCGTGCGTCACCTTTGGCAAAACCCATCATCGCAGCCGCAAGCATGGAAACATGGAGGGATACAACTGCGTCAATGCTTCTGTGAGTCTTTGTTTTCTCTTGTGTTTTGAGCGTCGATTGCAACCGAGTTTCTGCTCTTGGCTGGCGAGCGGGCATTGGAGTATCAAGCCAAACGGTCCTAACGTCGACAGTGCCTCATGTTCACCGGTTTCTCCTGCTTCGGCCTCCACTTCATCCCCATGATGTTCCAACGCGCCGATATCCGCAAGAAATACAACCTCCAGGGTGACTGCATTGGCGATCTCCTGACATCGTGCTGCTGCGCCTGCTGCTCGCTCATCCAGCAGGACAAGGAAGCCGAGTTCCGAGAGAAAGAGTTGGCCGAAAAGGTCAATGGCACTGGATACACCAAGCCCCAAGACATGGCATATCCTGCTTAAGGCGACGGCGTGCGTGTGGAGATTGAGTGTCTGGCGCGAGGTTTCCTATGATCTGGAGCTCCCATATGTGATGTTTGTACTTTTTACAGGATTCCCACCCCGTCTGCGTGTAATTGTCAATTGGAAGACGATCTCCGAACATGTGCCGTGCAATGTTATCAATGCGTCAAGTTCGCCGACTCGACATCGAGGGTCAAGGCGTGTCCATCCTCATCGAGCCTGACTCAGCCTTGTCCATAAGGCTGACCCCTTTTCTCCGACGACCTCTTTCCTTTGTCATGCTCTCCTTGTCTTTGAACAACCTCTCCCCGCACAAAGTAGAGCTTCCATTCTATTCCCCGGTCCCTACTCTCTCACATCAGAAGCCTTTTCATTGATAAGAGGTGGTGGATTCTGCCTGCTGGATGCCTGCTGGATGCTTGCAGCTGAGCTAACGTCAGAATGCGGGGTGTGGAAAGAACATCACTGCACCCAGTCATTGAATCATGCCTCCATCTCCACGAACATGCTCGGTACTCCTCATCCGGCAAGCTGCCGCCCCAGTTGTTAACAGCGACTTATATAAAGAGAAGATATGCCGATCTTTTCTTCCCATCAGTAAGGGTTATAAATCCATATACACTGACCTGCACATCTTTCGTGGTCTCCGCGCCGCTACCGTCAGAGCATTAAACCTTTCTCCTTACTCTTCTCTTCTTCATCTTCGTCTTCTTTATTATAACCCTCCCCATTCGCCAACCCTCCAAGAATGGCCGCGTCGTCATCCGCCATCGACTTCCCTCCCTCCCAGACGGCTGTCCGGGTCCGGCTGGTCGACACCACAGCCGTCATGACGGTACGGGCCCAGTCGTTCGTCAAGCCCGTCCAGCCGGGCCACGAGCTGCTCAACCTGACGTGCGCGGCGTTCCTGATCGACCACGAACCCTCTGGGAAGAGGGTCATGTTCGATCTGGGCGTGCGCAAGGACTTTTGGAACTACGCCGCCGTGCTGCAGAAGCGCATCGGTTCTATCATTCCGAGTCTGCGCGTCGACAGGGATGTCCCGGAGATCTTGGCCGAGAAGGGCGTCGCGCTGGACTCTATCTGTAAGTGCATATACGAGTGCATATACTGATTTTGTGGGGGAGTGATCGTTATCGTTAAGCCCTCGAGGGAGAGAGTAGAGGAGAAAGACGCTCATCATACGTGCCCTTCTCCTGTAGAGCCCTTGCCGTTTCTTCGTCCTTCTTGCTGACAAGAAACTTACGGACGAAACTCAGCATCTGTCGTCTGGTCACACTATCATTGGGACCATATCGGCGACATGTCTCTCTTCCCATCTTCCACCGAGGTGGTTGTTGGACCGGGCTTCAAGTCTTCGCCGCTGCTGCTTCCCGGTTATCCCAACAAGCAGGACTCGCCCGTGCGGTCGTCCGACTTTCAAGGGCGCGAGCTGCGGGAGATTGACTTTGCGAAGTCAGGGCTCCAGATCGGCGGCTACGGGGCGTTTGATTTCTTTGGCGATGGTTCCTTTTATTTGCTAGGTGCGTTGGGTTTTATTTCTCTCCTTACCATCTGCCGCTTAGATGTGGGCGAGCCTATTCTGGAGCTGACTGCCACCACAGACACGCCAGGCCACTGTGTGGGCCACATGTGCGGCCTGGCACGGACGACCGCTGGCACCGATAGCACGTTCCTGCTGCTCGGCGGCGACATATGCCATTTTGCCGGGGATCTCAGACCAAACCCGACACATCCAATCCCGGACCCAGTCCCGGCCACTGTGCTCGACCGCGAGTTAAGGGAACAGTACCCTTCGCCATGTCCCTGCAGTCTCTTTACAGATCACCACCCGGCCATCTCCCAGGGGCTCGAGAGTGGCGACCCAAGACAAACGCCGTGGTACAAAGTGTCCACGCACCCGTCTTCCGCCTACGTCGATCCGCGGACGTCACAAGAGTCGGTGGACAAGCTGATCAGCTTTGAACAGTCGCCTGCAGTCATGATCTGCCTTTCTCACGACCAGGCGCTGCTCACGTTCCTGCCCACGCTAAACAAAGACCCCGGAGCCGATTTGAACGAGTGGAAAAGTAAAGGGTGGAAGGAGAAATGTCGCTGGGACTGGCTGAACGAGTTACCGCGCGGGAATGGCAGATATGGGAGGAGGCCAATTGTGGAGGGCTTCTGGCGCGATGGGAAGCCGTGGGATAGATCAAATATGACGGGGGAGGAGTGAGATAGAGAGATAGATTTCTAAAGGTCTTGATTTGTCAAAATTCATTCTTGAGGGTTTGTTGTCGCTTCGGGTTTGCACGCCGAAGAACCGCCAAAAAGCCTTAGCAAAAAAGATGCCCGGCCCCCCATCTAGAACAACCAAGAGACTCATTAGGGCAATTTTCAAGAACCGATCTTGCGCCACTTGAATTCTCCCCGTGCCTGGCTTCCATCCTAGACGACCTCAGTATCAGCAAGGGTAGACCGTTGAAATCGGTTTGATGAAAACAAACCTTGAGGGTATACCACTTGACCGGATTGAGCATCATGTACTCAACCCCGTCCACCTGGCTATGCCGCGCAACCCTGGTCTGCGGCTTCCCGATCCAGCTGGGATTCGAGGCGATCTCGACCTGCGTATGCCACAGCAGCGAGCCGTCGTCCTGTTCCGAGAGCGTCATGAACCCCCCGTACGAGGTCAAGGACCGGCCGATGCGCAGCACTTCGGCATCCGTGGGCTGCTGTCCCGGGGAGGGGTTCTCCAACGGCTCCAGGCCCGGCGGCATGACCAGTGTCGCGAGCAGGAAGCCCGACGCCGAAATGACCACTTTGCCCTGCGGGTCGTCGCCGTAGGGTTTGGCGAGGAGTTTGCGGTCGGGGCCTTCCGAGTCGTACATCTCGGCGGAGATCAGTGTCCATACTCCGGACAAGAGGGACTTGTGCTTGTCGAAGACGTTTGACATTTTTGTTTCTCGGGTATTGGATGTTAGTTGGGTGATTTTGGAAGGGTGGTGGGACAAGAGTGATGCTCGCTGTTAGCTGATATTGGGAGAGGATATTATGTGGTGAAAATTAAGTCACAGTTGTCTCAGTCTAGTCCGTACATCTGTCAAACAATCGTGCCAGAGAACGGGATGGGATCAAGGATGCATACCTAGGTATCTATCACAGAATTCACATAAAGAAGCCAGGTGGATCAACCGAGGTTGTCTTGGAACTCTGAACGTCCCAATCAGGGACGGTCCAGGAATTGGAGAAGCATACGAGCAGCATATGAGCATTCGCGTGGTCACGGCAGATTATTTGAGTGGCAGGGATACTGATACTTGTCGGATGATACATATAGTTCATACAAGTCTGGACAACGTCGTGAACAGGGCTAAAATACGTTCAAGGTACTGTTGTTCGCTATGGGGCGTGGGAAGCTGGTGGATGTGAACAACAATGGGACCTCAGTGGGACACTGGTGGCTTGGTGTCTGAAGATGAACCCATGGGAGTAATGGCAACAATACAGCCTTGTTCATGCAGTGGGCAAGAGAAAGGTCGAAGAAAACGCAGGTCGATTCAGACGCAGTGACGACGGATTTGGTCGTCGTATACCTAGGTATCTTCTTCCGTCATCCAAACAAAGAGCGCAGCTGATGGCCTCTAGACACAGCGCACTCTGATAATGCTGAGCATCAAAGCAACATTCACACAGTCTCGAGCAAGGTGCGACAGACAATCACGACAGAGAGAAGGTCGAGCGAGGCTGTCTGTCTGTCTCATGGCCTTTTCACTTCAACTGCGACTTGGCGACCAGGCTGATGGCTGTGTCTTCGATCTGAGTACCCAGGGCCTGTCTCATCTCATCCTCACTCTCACTTTTTCCGTCCCACGTCCTTCGCGCCTGAGATCTATCAAGATGCCCTTCTCCGATTTCATCGACGTCAGTATCCACGTCGACGGCGCGCCGTTGGCTGAGTATCCTGTTCCAGGCCGTGGGCGTGAGTGGTTGCGCCACACAAAGACCCGCTATGTTGAAGTCAAAGCAGGCCAGAAGTTCGCGGTTGTCATCCAGCTGCAGCCCGGGTTCCAATTCCTTTCCGCTTCGCACCTCCGCGCCGTCCTTCACATCGACCAGGAGCCACGGTCCACGACGGCCATCATCCAAGGCTATCCAGGCTGCGCGACTGGCCAAGACGTCTTGCGGGCACCGAGAGAGACGCGAATTGAGACCCGCTTGATGCGCGATGAGACGACTGGGAATTGGTATCAATATGGCCTGGAGTTCGCAGATCTGCATGTTGGTGAGTTAAAAGCCTCCTTGCTCTTTCCAAGTTCCAACTAAGCTCGACGACACTGACGCTATATATAAAGAACCAGAAGAGTCCTCGTCTCTCCCTGAAGGCGTCTCTCGGAACAGTATCGCACATCTCGGCTCTCTCCGCCTGACCCTTTTCCGAGCCAACAGGGTCAAGCTAGAGGACCCCTTCGTGTACACAGCGAGCTTGACGAAGCCTTTGGAAAACGTACCAGAAACAGCGTTGAAGGGAAGGGATGTTACGAACAACGTCAAGTACCCCACCTGCGTTTTCAAAGCAAAATCAACAAGTCGCTGACCATCATCCAGATACGTTGTCGAGGCAGAAGCTCCACCACCGGTACTTGGTTTCTCTAAATACGTCCCCCTTGAGGGCGATCATGGTCAACCCTGGGAGTTTGTCTTTCTGTACAGAAAAAGACGTGAGTTGCTCACGAAACACCCGCAGAGCTGCGCACTGACTTTCCTGCTTAGAAATCCTGCAGAGTCTCGGATGCATCCCCAGATCCCTTTCACCTCCTCCAGATCCTGCTGTCATGCTGGCACGCACTGAAGAGATGCTGGGAGAAACGAAAGAGCGGGCCCGTACCCAAATCCTGGAGTTGCAGGTAAGTGCAGCCTTTGACACCGCGCAGGTCGTTAAACGGTATGTGCTAACCGTCTTCCAGGCTAGACTGGCTAAAGCTGAGACTGCTCGACATGTCAACGGGACAATCAGCAGAAATGGCAATCCAACGAAGCGCACGCGAGATCAGGCACAGCTCGACGACGACGACGACGAACTACTTGTTCTGCCACCACCTCCTGCAAAGCCGAGAGTGGTTATCGACCTCACCGATGAATAAATGAATGCTTGTGGCCTCAAGTAAAGGATCGATGAAGATTGTGCATGTTTGCTTTATGACCAACTAACCGACGACATGTGGTCGTGGTAAGCAGTTCCAGCTTTGTTAGAAGAGAACTCGTCAAGATCCAGTGGAGATGTTCGTGTCGGACAAGGCTGGGGGAACGTGTCGCGCAATGAAATGAGATGGGATTACATAGCGCAGCTATGGACAAAGAAAGTCTAGGATGTCGCACAGGGCATGTAAACATCCAGCCGAAATCGGACGGCTACTTGGGTCGGATCCGCAGCAGTTGGAGTATGTACCGAGAAAATAGGCTCAGACGTGAAGAACTACAGCAAACAATGCGGAGGTTCAACCTTGCTCTCCTTCCCTCCATACAGCGTGCATGGCATTCTCCTCCCGGCCGTTATCCGGGGACCCATAGTAGGTAACGAGGTAGGTAGCAGGTTGATGGATGGATGATCCAGCGACCGGCTTCCCCGCTCAAGGGTTCAACGTCCATATCAAGCCATGATACCGACCCGGCTGTTGTGCCCGCCATGCGCCGTTTCGAACAACCTAACTACCTTGGATAGATCGCTTCCCTTTTGCCCTGCAGAAAAGTATTATACAGAGAGAGAGAGAGAGAGAGCATAACCCCCGTTCCTGATCAAGACGACTTACCGACTGACTGACTGATTGCTTGAACCCTCCAATCCGCAGTGACCACTGGCAGTCGTCATGGCCGAAATACTTTGCAAGAAGATTCCCTATACGGTGGGTCTGGGCCCCTTCTCTGATGGCGGTTCATGTGCTGAGAAAAGGGGTTTTTTTAAATACTGAGGTTGAGTTTTTTATGGGAGAAAATAGTTCCAGGATCCGACGCTTCTGGACACGCGGTCCTTCATTGGAGGCAAATGGGTCGATGCGGTCAATGGAGATAAATTCGCTGTTCTTGGTAAGGTCTTTGTCCCCCCTAATCTGAGAAGAGAAGAGAACCACGTTAGAGTCCTGGGAGGAGGGAGATGGGAGGAGGTGGAGGTGTTATTGCTATTGTTGGTATTGAAAGGTTTTTTGCGTCGGCTTATATCTCGTTGAAACAGACCCCACCGACAACGAAAAGATCTGCGACGTGGCCGACGTGGGCCGCGAAGAGACGCGACAGGCGCTCGAGGCCGCGGCCGCGGCGTTCAAGACGTACAAGAAGACGACGGCCCGTGAACGACGCTGGCTGATGCGCCGGTGGGCGGACCTGATCAAGGACGCCAAGGACGACCTGGCGGCCATCTGCACCTTGGAGCTGGGAAAACCCTACACCGAGTCTCTCGTGACGGTGAAATACGGGACCGACTTTATCGACTGGTTCGAGGGCGCCATCGAGAGGCAGTACGGCGAGACCATCCCCGCGGCGAGAGGCGAGAACCGGATCTTCACGATTCGCCAACCCCAGGGCGTCGTGGCGGCCATCACGCCCTGGAACTCGCCCATCGCCATGGTCACGCGTAAGGTCGGGGCAGCCATCGCCGCGGGCAATACCGTGGTATGCAAGCCCGCGCCCGAGACGCCCTTGTGTGCTATCGCCGTGGCCAAATTGTTTGAGCGCGCTGGCGGTCCCCCGGGGGTGTTTAACGTCGTCACGTCCAGCGCCAACAAGTCCGCCCAGGTCGGTGAGGAGTTTACGCAAAACCCCATCGTGCGCCATCTGAGCTTTACGGGCTCGACGGCCGTCGGGCGGTACCTGCACGCCGAATGTGCAAAGACGTTCAAGAAGACCAGTCTCGAGCTTGGCGGGAATGCGCCTTTTATCATCTTTGAGGATGCGAAGCTGGATAAGGCTGCCGAAGGTACATAATAATATATCCACTACAGTGCCGCGCCCCCTCTTTTCCCCTTCTCCTCGGTCCAAATCTAACGGAAGAGCGAATAGGTCTCATCTCGTCCAAATTCCGCTCCTCGGGCCAGACCTGCGTGTGCGCGAACCGGATCTTCGTGCAGCGCTCCGTCATCGACAAGTTCGCGACCGTCCTGGCGGAGAAGCTCGAAAAGACGTTCCGGTACGGGTCCGTGTGGGACAGGCAGGTCAATTTCGGGCCCCTGTACTCGCCCAAGGCGTTTGAGAAGATTGACGCGCAGATCAAGGACGCGGTGACCAAGGGGGGCAAGATCTTTGTGAAAGGACGAGCAGAAGAAGGGAAAGGAGAGTACGGACCCAACTTCTACCCACCCACGATCATCACCTCGGCCACCAAGGACATGCTCTTCATGTCCCAAGAGACATTCGGCCCGCTGGCGTTCCTCGTCCCGTTTGACGACGAGGACGAGGCCGTGCAGCTGGCCAACGACACGAGCGCGGGGCTGGCGAGTTACTTCTACACCGAAGACATTTCGCGGCTGTGGCGCGTCGGCGAGGCCTTGGAGAGCGGCATGGTCGGTGTCCGCGTTGGGCTGATCAGTGCCTGTGAGCAGCCGTTTGGTGGGGTCAAGGAGAGCGGTGTGGGCAGGGAAGGTGGCAGGGATGCGTTGGATGAGTATACGGAGATTAAGAGCATTACGGTCGGTCTCTGATCTGATCGAGTTGGGGGGAAGGAGATGCGGTGAGATATGTATGTACGTACGTCTCTGACAAGTGAGGCTAGATACCTATACATACCTTTGTATGGATGCCTTGGATTTCGGAGAGCTATGCTCCCAGACACACCTACACACACATACACGCAGGCACTCACTTATATCTGTCCCTCCTCGCTCTGATCGGCACCCTCTCGCCCATCCATCTCGTAGAGCCAAAAGTGCGCCACTGCTCAGGGGTTTGATCCCGGTGGCATCAATATTCCAGCTCATACTTTACAAACGCCTGTACCGTGGCCTTTCTCTCTCTGCCCTCAGCTGGCGCCCACCACCTTTGCAGCAGCGGTGCCTGCTCTCCTTCCAAAGACCGCCCCAGACGTCAATCCACTGCCGCCCGGGTAATTCTCGTAGAACAGTCCACCCAGCATCTCCCCAACCGCATACAACCCAGGCACTCCCTTGCCAGTGGTCGATGAGACAACCTGCGCAGTCTCGGGAATCACTTTCAACCCGCCGAACGTGAACGTGATGCCGCAGGTCACGGCAACGGCTAAAAAGGGCGCCTTGTCAACCGGCAAAGCCCAGTTCGTTTTGCCCAGAGGGAGCCGCTTCGTGCTGGACTGCGTCGACATGCCGTCCCGGACGGCGGGATCCCACTTCTTGTCCGGGTTCTCCTTCTGGAAAGCGTAGACGGCCTCGTTGTATTCTTTGACGTTCCGCACAAAGGCATCGCGGTTCTCCAGGCCCAGCGGCGCCAGCTTCTCGGCAAGCTCCTCGATCGAGTCCGCCTCGATCCTCTCGACTCTTTCTGGCCGATACTCTTCGGATCGTAGCCATGAGATGGTGCGGGAGTCCCAGACCTGGAAGGCGATGTGGCTCGGTTGAGCGAGGATGGCTCGTCCGAACTTGGCGTACGTGTAATTGCGTAGGTCGATACCTTCGTCGACAAACCGCTCGCCGAGGATATTGAACATCAAGCCCAAGGGATATCCGGACTTTGTGAACTCGTTGGACGCTTCTCGATCTCCCGTGTCGCTCGGGGCGTTGGCGTCCCAGGCCACGGAATGACATCCTGACCAATTCCCAGCCTGACTCGCTGAGACGTCGCGCACTGCCGTCTCGAGGCATTCGCCAGTGTTGTGAGGGGTGCCTCTCACTTTCGCGAGGTCCCAGCCCGGACCTAGATATTGTGATCGCAAACGAGGATTGCTCTCGAAACCCCCGGCTGCCAAAATGACTGCCCCTGTATGAATCACGGCATCCTCGCCATTGGCTTGCACGACTACCGAGGTGACGGCACCAGTCTTAGGGTCGGTTACCAAGCGTTTCAACGCGGTAGAGTAGAGCACTTCGACACCGTGCTTCCGAGCCGCGGCCTTGTGGTCTTCAATCAGACCCTTTCCTCCATCCTGTGTCTTCAAGGACAGCCCGCCCCAAAACTTCAGACGACCGTCGACTTCATATGCTTGCCTGTTGAACGACAGCTGGAACCGGATGCCGTTGCTCTTCAGCCATTTGACCGTTGCATTGGAATCGTCGATGAGAATCTTAGCTAGTCGCGGATCAGACCGGCCACTGCATATTCTTTTCATGTCGTTTGAGAAGCCCTCGACCGTATAAGGCTCCAAGTCGATCTTCTTCGCCGTCTCCTCGTCCACGTTGTTGACCAAAGGTAGTAGATCGGCAGTCCCAGCGTGAACTGTCCGATACGCGCCGGCCGTGAAATATGTGTTTCCTCCTGCCCATTCTTCCGGGCACTTGTCGATGAGAACAACATGCTTTGCCCCAGCCTGCTTCGCCGCCACTGCAGCTGAGAAGCCAGCATTGCCACTTCCTGCGACGAGGACATCACAATGGGTCGGAGGAGCCATTATAGTTCTGGTATGTTGACTAGTAGAGATTCACTCACATTGGGTTCGGCCAGGAACGAGCGACCAGATCCTAATGACTCTTTGACTGGTCTGTCCTAATCAGATCATGATGACACTCTTGCTCTAAATTACAAAAGGTGTCTCTCGGCTGTTGGATCTGGATCGGCAATTCGATGACCATCTGATGGATCAGGAGATCTGGGGGAAGCAACTCCAGGTCCGCTATCGGCGTGGCGTGGAGGCCTGTGGCCCATAAGCGTCCCCAATTAGCCGGGCCACTGCCGGGGGTCAGAGTTGGAGAAAGAGGTCGGCAGTGCCTGTAACACAGCTCGATGGGCATCTAACATCTCACCTCTCACAGACAACGGCAGCACCGGGCATGGCACCGGTGGGGGCAGCCCTCGGTACCTATCGGCGCGTCTCCTCACAAGTCTCTGTTTGTTGTTGCTGTCTCCCCTCATTCTCTCTCGCTCTCAGCCTTGTCAGCGAAAAGGACCACAACCCAAGGTGAGGAATTACATCCACAAAAACCCCTATTCGGAAAGTCGATATGGGACGTCTAGACGGCAAAGTAGCTCTCGTGACTGGAGCCGGCAGTGGTTTCGGCGAGGCTATTGCACATGCATATACCGCAGAAGGGGCAAAAGTGCTGATAGCAGACATCGCTGTCGCCAATGGACAGAGGGTGGCCTCTGACATCGCAGCCAAAAATTCCACCGGGGAAGCCATATTTGTGGAGTTGAACGTCACTAAACGCAGCGATTGGGAGAAGGGGCTGGCACTGGCCAAGGACAAGTTTGGGAAGTTGGACATTGTGGTCAACAATGCCGGCACCACCTACAAGAAACAGCCTAGCATGGGCGTCTCGGAAGAGGATTTCGACAGGGTTGTGGCCGTCAATATCAAGAGCATATACCTGAGTGTTTCGGTTTTGATGCCGTATTTCGTCGAGAGGAAAAGCGGTGTCTTCCTGAGCACTTCGTCCATTTCTGGCATGCGAACTCGGCCAGGTCAGGTCTTTTACGGCGGTACCAAGGGATTTGTCAATACGGTATGGAGTACTTTGAGCACCTCCCCCCATGAGGCTCCAAGCGCGTGTTTGGCGTTTGCTAATATTGCGTGTATTAGATCACCCAAGGGCTTGCTGCCGAGTATGGGCCAGAAGGGATCCGCGTGAACTCGATCTGCCCGCTCAGAGGCGCCACGGGCCTGCTAGAATTATTTAGCGGTGTCCCAGACACTCCCGAAGAAAGAGAGAGGTTTGCCCAAACCGTTCCGCTCCGTCGAATGTCGGATCCAAACGACATCGCCATGGCAGCAGTTTATCTTGCGAGCGACGAGGCAGCATTTGTCACTGGGGTCAATCTGCCGGTGGATGGAGGGCGACTGGCTCTGTGACCCATCGAGGGATCTTTGGGGAGCTTCCTTCCACTCGCGGAAAGAGTAGCATAGCTGCATTCGAACAAGTTTTGTTGAGATCGGCGAGCCAGATATGCATTTCGAAATCCTCTTGACGTCTTTGAGGGTGTGCTCTAGCTTAGACCACAAGCGCATCAGAGAAACCTACCTCCCCAGTTTTAACCGTTGACTGCTGGTCCAAGTTGAAGCCATCAGCGGCACGAGGGCTCAGCTAACCTCCATCTGTGGAAGTAGGGCGTCACGTCAAACATGTGAGAAAGGGCAAAGAGCACGCGGCCCATATGAGATTGAATCGAGTCGAAGAGCTGACCACCACAGGCAACGAAATGACCAGAATCCTTCGTGCCCCAACATCCAGCTTTCAAGGAAGTATCGACACCTGTTTAGTTTCTCAGGACTTCGTCCACGGCCTTGCCCCGGTGGTGGACTCTGTTGAAGGCCTTCTTTTGCAGAACCGATGACCAAGGTCGATGGCTGGTTCAGTCACCAATAGTGTTGTTCGTTGCCAGGCCTAAAAATAATCTGGGGAGCCGGCAGAGGACGGGGATTTGTCGGTGTGTGTGGTGTCGTTGCCACGCGGGCACCGCCTCGTTCGTTTTACCCTCGTGAGCTTGAACCGTTTGGGAGTGTCCTCCTCTTTCTCGGATTTCAGTGCTTCCGCGCGAATATACGAGTTTTCTCTTGGGAGGCTTCGTCTGGAGTGTTGCGTAATAACAAGTTGTCGGCTCGGGTTTCTTGGTCCCATGGTTTCGTCCGTAGGATAAGGGCCATTGGGATGATCTGCACTCGCCAAAGGGTAGGCAGGCTGCATGTATGACATGTCTGCAGGTGTCTATTCGCCCGTTTCCCGGTTGGCGCAGTCGCCAAAGAGGGGGTTCAAGTTGCGAAGGGCTGCTGCTGCTGCGGCTGGGGCTGCTGGTGTTAACGATGCTTTTTGTCGTCGGTGTGCCTTTCACATGTTCACTTACCTTATCATCATCACCATCATTCCGCAGATGCCCTGCACCCAATGGACAAGATCAACAAGGTGGAACACAATGGCTGTGGATTCAGTGGCTCGCCTGGACTGGACTTGGACTGGAGGGGGAAGAAGACGCAGGGGTGGCGCAAACAGGAGTCGTTTCATCACCACTTTTTTCTCACGCCTCGACGCTTCTCATCATGACTGTCAGAGATGTTGATTGACATCATTGGCTCACCCCATCACAACGACTATTTTTGAAACAGAGGGAATGGCTTCAATCCCACCCCTTCCCCTTTTCTTCCTTATCCCCATCTCCACTTTGCTCTGACAAAGTTGCTCGCCTTCACCTTTTGCCGCACGTATCGCGCGTAAACTACGCCTGTCCTGGAACCGCCCGCTCGCTCGCTTGAGAACCACAGCGCCCAGGGCCGCGTAACGGCCGTCGAGGCTGCAGCGGTTCTGCTCTTCTGATACGGCTAGTGGGAGATCAGGAGGGCTAGCAAGTTTGGGAAATGGACAAGATCAAGAGATCCGTGAAACGCATAGGCGATGGAACCGACTCAGGCAGCGATGCCAGTCATGAGCCCGAGGGAGAGGATACGGATGGTACAAAGTAAGCTTCATGCCCACCTCTTCTTCGGTGTACACTTCCTCCACCATCACTGTGTACTTCCATTGCTTTCAGTTTGTGATACCCCATAAAGTTTCTCTTCGACACGACTTGTCCTTTATCATATTTTCAATTGACGACCATCACCCTTTCCTGCTTCCGCGTTCCGAGCACCTGTACCTCCTACATCTGCAACATACAATATACACCACAGATCATTCTAACCATCATGGTCGCCAGGCTAGGCAACCTCAGTGCTCTGAAGGATTTTATATCTGTAAGTGGGAACCTGCCATGTCTGTTCTTCTAGAGCCGCCTCGCTAACAGTGGATAGTTCCTGGCCACGGTCAGCGGCGACATCTCTCACATCACCGCTCCACCTTTCATTCTAGCACCATCTTCTCTCGTAGAGTTTCCTGCATACTGGGCAGAACGACCGACATTATTCACCGCTCCTGCCCATGAACCTTCGGCAGAGAAACGCATGCTCTTGGTTTTGAAACTGTACCTTGCTTCCCTCCAAAGGCAGTACTATGTCGGCCGTACCGTTAAGGAAGGATTGAAGAAGCCTCTTAACCCCTTCCTTGGCGAGCTATTCTTCTGCGAATTTAGCGACCACGACTTGACCCAAGAGAAGGCCTCGGCATCCACGGTCAGAGTCATCAGCGAGCAGGTATCGCATCACCCGCCCACGACAGCAGCATATATTTCAGCCGACGACCATGGAGTCCACGCCGAGGCATATTCGACCCAGCACACCTCGCTCTCCGGCACGTCAGTCATGATTCGTCAATCCGGCCATGGTCTGCTGAAAGTCGATAAGTATAACGAGACTTATCTTCTGCCCTTGCCAGATGTCTGTGCGCGAAGTGTTCTCACCGGCGTGCCCTGGCCCGAACTCAACAACACTTATAGCATCATCAGTTCCAGTGGATACACGGCCGAAATGCGGTTCATCGGAAAGAAGATGTGGGGTGGACAGCGCAACTGTTTCGAAGCTTCAATATACCGCACAGTCGACTCGCAGAAAAAGGCCATCTTCACCGCATCGGGCAGCTGGAGCTCCAAATTCTCGATATTCAACTCGGAAGGCAAGGAGATTGACGTGTTCGATCTTGCAGACCCGAAAAATCAACCTGCACCCATGGTGATGGAACCGTTGGAGGAGCAGTCGCCTTGGGAATCGAGACGTGCATGGGGTCCAACTTTTGATGCCATCAGACGGACAGATAACAATGCAGTCGTGACGGAGAAGTCGAGGCTCGAAAATGCCCAGCGCCAGCTAAGGAAACTGGAGCAGAAGCAGGGCAAGAAATGGGAAACCATGTTCTTCGACCGTTGTGATGGCGCGTCTGACGAGGATGACGTCGTCCAAAGCCTCTTCGATCAACTCGACGATGATGAGGCCGACCGGTTACGAGGAACAAATGGCTGTTGGAGATTTGATAAGGACAGGGAGCAGAGGTGGCGGAACGGGCAAGGCAGCTGGAGACCAGAGACACCATTTGGCTGAAACATGGCTGGGGTCGGAAGATAAGCACCAAGCTTATCATCCGAATGCGACGGAAACGCCTTCTCTGCCACCGAGGCCGCGGAACCGGGTGACTGCACGGGGTATATGGCTGGGAAATCCGCCAAACTTGCGGACGCTCGCGGATGCAAGGAACATAGAAGCGGCATATTCCTGTCTCGCTCGCGGCAGGCTCTGTGTCAGTGCCCTTTATAACGACATTTATGACTTTCGGATACAGACTCAACCGGCTCCTGCCTAATCGATCGGCCTTGACGTTCGATCTTTTGAGCAGAAGTCGTGGGTCAACTCCTAGCTTCGCTGGTTCCTTTCCGTTACATAGACGGTATCTCCAGTGCGCAGAATGGCACCAGAAGGACCTGCGAAGGCGTATTGACCAAATACAGGCTTATCTGTGTCGACTGTCAGAAGGACCATTGCACTACAACCACATTGTGGATAGAAGCCAAATACATATGTACTTACGAGGAAACTTGTCGTTGACCCTCCTGTCGCTGGCCAGTAAGCCATAGAGCTGCCGATCACGATGGATCATTTCCCCCGTGTCAGGATCTGCGTTTAAGCTGAGGCAGCGGACCGTCCTGAAGATGCACTTGATGGTGACTTCCTGTGCCTCATCCGACTGTGATCGAACCAGGAGAGAGGACCAGTTGTCCTCATCATAGGCTGGGAGTTGACCCTTGACATCAACGTGGATGTTGGGTCGGAAGCGCAGTATCACGTCCTCGTATTGATACTCAGGGGGAAGACGCGAGCGGGCATCTTGCTCAGATGCCGTGGAGGTGATGAGTAATGGAGCAGCATCGGCAAACCGGATGCGCTGGGGTTGCAGGCCTTCTTGGAGAGCTAGAGACAGGGCACTGCGTTGGCTGGGGATATATGCTGCCCCAGGAATGTCCCGACGGCCGGTTCCCCCTATGGACAAGAGACGGACGTCCTGATTGAGGTGTTTGGAGAAGAAGGCTGCCGGTTCGTCTCCTAGGTCGATGCCTATTGCGGTTGTCCCAAAGATGCTGACCTCGAAGGTCTTGTTCGCCAGCAGAGATAGTGGCGATGGAGTTAGCGGCACAGTGACTGAGGATGGAGGAGTGGCCCGCGTATGATGGATGGTCAATTTCGTCCAGCTGTCATCCTGCGAAGAACAGAGGGTTGCAACAATCAGCGCGGGTGCGTCCAGCACATGGGCGCGCAGACGCAAAGACTTACTATTGTGGGTTTAAACAGGGCGAGTTTGAACTGCTTTTTGATCGTGAGGAACTTCGCCAAGCGGGAGCCGTCCTTGGGCGGATTCACCAAGACGAAACATCGGTCAAAGCGCAGCCCCTCGTTGGTGAGCTCCACCGACGACACTTGGACGGGCGGGAGAGACTTGACAGGATAGATGAACAGCTGCTGAATCGTCAATGGGGTCTTCAAGGACATGGTGCATGGATCTCGCGGGTGAGGAGCGGAAGCTTTTGCACTGACCCTTTGCACGGTGATGGACGACATCGGTGACATTGCGCGTTAGAGGCCAACCAAGTGGCCGGGGATTAGCCTGATTGGGGATACATGGGCGACACGGCGCAGACAAAGGAACAGAAGGAGGAAGAAACCAGAAGAGGGAGGTGAGGGCGAGTCCAAGGGCGAGTCAGACCACTTTATCTGTCTGGAGCCGCTCTTTACCCAAAAAATAGTAAATTTGTTATTCAGTCATGCGGAAGTCGGGCGACGCTTATTAGAGCAGCAGGCACCCACAGGGGAACCGCTGATGCCGCAGTAGGCGAGACTGAGATGACGGTCACGTGTTGGCGACGTAAGGCGACTCAACGCTTAGCCGGGCGAGACGCGGGACTAGACTAATAAAGGTAATAGACAGCGAGCACACGCTGTCCAACAGCTAATCAGAAGTCCTCAAGACGCCATTAGTCAGAGCTTGGCCAGCCGCGGAGCGACTTTCCCTTCTCGGATTCCCAGTCGTCTCCCGCCGGAGAATCCATCTCGCCCGCTCTTTCTCTTCTATCAACCCCCCTCCGATGTCAAACTCCTACGGCTGAGCCTTGATCCTCAATCTATCGACCCTTCCAACCTCAATCGAGGGGTCTCGCGCGACCTGTGTCTTGATGTCGTAAGGTGTGTTCTGGACTCGGTCCCCAGGTGGAACCTTCCCATCCCAGTCCCTCCCGCGCCACCTAATTCCAACCTCATCCGACCAAAAAAAAATCAATCTCAGGCAATTGGGCAGCGAAGGGCGCTCAGAGAAGAGCCAGTTTACTGCATGGCCAACCTCACGCCGGGTGTCGAGTTCGCTGATCGTGCCTGCAACTCGTGCAGACAGCGTCGGGTCAAGGTAGGCAGCTCCCTGCTCGAACCGCCGTTTTTCCATCCACCACTTCCCCGATCGTGCCGCTTTCAGTCGATTGGCCCGCTCACACAGTCAATAGTGTGACAAGAGACTTCCAGCCTGCCTGCGGTGTGAAAAACTTGGCAGGCCATGCACGGGCTATGATCTGGAACGCAAGTTCCTGGATGAGGGCATCAAAGTGCGAAGGAAGTATGATGGGAACTTTCAATCCCCAGATTTCACGAAGGCGGTGGTCTCGAATTCCCCCAGGGTGCCAGCAGCGGCAGTGCCTGACCGTCGAATCAATCTTCCGCCAATACACAACATCCCGAGCATCCCTCAAGTAAATTCACCACCCATCTCTTCGGTCCCCAATCCCCCAGGCAGACAAGGCGCGTCCAATCGAGTCTCGATCCCCAACATACAATTTCCCGCCTTTGGAATTCTCAACCAACAAGGTCCCGACTTTAATCTATTTCCAAATACTCCTCCTCAGCCAGCGCTCAGCGCTCCTCCTCCGTCCGCTACCCCGACAAATTTCCAGTATGCGGCTACACCTCCTCAATTCCCCGACCACGGTCAATATACTCACCAGGAGCACCCCACCGCTAAACTACTACATGGCAAGCCCCAGTATGCACCCTCAGACTTGGATTCTTCTGTTAGCGAGGACTATTTCGACCTTGACATTGACACCTACTACGCGAACGGGAACAACGCTTGTGGTTTCATTCCTGGTCTTCCCGTGATCTTGACCGACACCAATGTTCCTGAGTCCGACGACGATTTCTTAACGAGTGATTTCGCTTCGATCAGCGGCCGAACATCATCAGTCTACGATGGGCAAGTGACTCTCCTCTCCGTCCCACCCTGTTCTTTTGGCTGTATCCAGCGTTGCTTTATTCCAGATCGAGCCGAATCAAACGCCTAGACTGACAGTTGTATGGTCATAGTTCGGAAGGAAATCGCAACAGCCGTCCAGAGTACAGTCAAAAGTACCTCCATGAAAGGACAACCGAGTTGGCCTGTCTGACGCGACACTTTGTACAAGCAGTTTCACCATCGTGAGTGGCAATTGCGTTTAGTGGTTCCTCCATCCGATATCTAACGGACAAGCAGGATGGACCTCTTCGACCTTGACAACTATTTTAGTAGAATAGTTCCTCTGAAAGCCGTGCAGAATGTAATGCTAAGGTCTGCAATGGCCGCGGTTGCGGCGAACCAGATCGGGCAGATGATGGCAAACCATTCGCCATTGGAAGATTTGCAGCATCTGTTACCATTTGTCGGAGACGACGGTGCCTTGCAGCACACGGACTGGTTTTACAAGGCCGCCAATTACTACGACCGTGGGATTTCCTACCTCCGAATCTTTTTGCAGCGTTGGCTGAGCGATACGAATAACGAGGGGCTTACGGGACATGCATCGAGGTACAACGATCCGCGAACTCTGCCAGAAACGAGCAATAGCGCCGCGCTCAGTGCTTCTCCCCACAAGCGACGACGCATAAGCAGAGCACAGTCATCAGATGGAGCAGACATGGAGGCTTTGGTGGCTGCGATATCCGTGTTCTCGCTATATGAGTCTCTCGACAACTTTGCCGAGGACTGGTCACAGTAAGTCCTGTTGTGTCTTGTGTTTGGAGACTTCTTCACTAAACGAATTTCCTAGGCATCTTGATGGATTCAAAGCCCTCCTGGAAAGCAAGATCCTCCCGCAGGCCGCTCTCTCTATCCCCCGCCCACGCAATCCTTTTATTTCCATGAAGGCAGGCCGAGCGGCTTTCTGGAACTTTGCCCGAGCAGATTATCTTGCAGCTTACGTCAATCACTCCAAAACACGACTTGATCCGGACAACTTGACCATGTGGAAAGCAGCAGGTTTGCCTGTTATGGATGACGGAACCCTCAACTACAATGATCCGTCAACTCCAATCAACGCCGTGGTTTCATACCAACCCGGCGATAGAGAAGACTTGGTATCTTGCACGTTGATCTGGATTGTCCTAAGAACCATGAATTTTATTGCACCGCAAGAAGACGCCACAGGAAGTTTGGCGGGCACTCCACGAGTATTTGACAGCCCTGGAACGACCGTCAAAGCTGGTTCTGAGCCAGGTACACCAGGCGCTGTGCAAACTCGCGTTGCTCGGTGGAAACAACTACGTCGACAACTCGAAGACTGGTACGACAATCTTCCTTTCACCTTTCAACCATATGCGATTGCGGCTGCAGGGGCGCAGCAGCCTTCCGACCTCTTGCCGGATGGCAGACCGCGTTTCGCCAGACTCTTCTTCAGTGTGCCAATGTGTGCCGCTGCTCTTCAACTGTACCACTTTGCCCAGGTCCTTCTGCTGTTGAACCAGCCTGTTGACGAACAGGACGCGAGGCATCCAGCAAACAGGCTTCGAATGTTCCGCCAGGTCGCTGAAGAGTCAGAGCATCACAGTCGACAGATCTGCGGCATCGCGTTGGGGAAGCCTCCACCAGCGGTCAGCAGACAAATGGTGCACTCGCTCTACCTGGCAGGATCATGCTTTGAGGAGAAAGAGGACCGAATTGTTGTAGTGGAATTACTAGACAACATTGCCAAGGAGACAGGTTGTCCAACGGCTCACCGGATCAAAGAGTTGAAAGAGCAATGGGGGTGGGAGGACGAGACGATCAAGGAAATTGCCTAGTTAGAGCGAGATGAGGCAGGGGGAAGTACTTTCTGATGAGGTTCTGGTGTTCGGGGGAGCGATTCTGAGGACATACGAGAAAGGAAGGGTCCGGGAAAATGTATTGCAACACAAAATGAACCCATGTAATGGTGTTGATGACCACTAATAGTTGACCACTCTACATCATTTGAAGTGTCGTTTGAGTGGACGCGAGAGTCACACGGTCAGTAACTTGCCTTATTGATTACACACCTACATACGTTTCGTGAGGCGAATTTGGAATGATAAAGGGCTTCTAGAATCCAGATCTATTACCCGCCCAGTTGCTTACTCGTACTTCTGGTACTCCGTCCTGTCAAGTTGCGTCATTGGGCTACCTAGTAGTATTACTTGAAGGCCGAATCAGCGCCGAGAACGCCGGCCGGGGAGGGGGGCGGATGGAAGAAGCTAATGTTGATGTGGGTGCGGAATACGGGAATACGGAAGTAACATAGATTCATATATTGTCTCTGTGGGAATAGTGCACGGTAAGCCCAAGTACTATGTAATCGCTTTGTTTAGTATAGTGAACTCTGGTACCTAATTGCCTATTGCGTGTGTGTTGTGACCTGGTACCGAGGATACTAGGTATACACCGGGGATATGGACCGTATGGGGTATCCCGGCCCTTGCTCGCCCAGAATCTCTCAATGCGGAACCAATAGCCCACAGGAACCCCTTTTCAGGGCTCGTAGGGGACTCGGTATCTAGCCCACGTATTAATTAGCTTGTCCCTGCTTGTTTTGTTACACCAGGTGATTTTAATGCTCTGGGTCACGGTGGTCGCACTAAGACCCACCTCAACACACACACTTGGCTCCCACGCCGAACTCAGGTCTCGGAGATCTGAATGCTCTCCAGATCCCAGACACCGTACCACTTGAAGAAACTGAGCACTTGGGGCGCGGTTCCACAGCCGTCGGGGCTCTTCATGGTCGCGTTGAAGGACAGCAGGGGCACCTGGCCTCCGTTGCACTGCTGGCATGTGGCGGACATGGTGTAGCTGGTGTTCAGCTTGATGTTCCTGCCAATTACCTGCACCATGTCCAGTCCGCCCAGGCTGCGGATCGTCACGAGGGCCGTGGGTGTCTTGTTGGAGGCGGGCATTGGCATCATGGCCTCACCAGATCCGGGCTGCAGCTTCGGGGTGATGATGTCGACGATCTTGTTCAACGCTGCCGTCGGGGACAGACCCTGGGTGCCCAGGTTGGCGGTTCCGTCGCCTTGCGGCACGGCGTTGGCAACGTAGATCAGCGCCTGGCCCTCTTGCCCGACGTTCAGGGTGTCGGTGACCTGCATCGTGGACAGAGAGATGACGTCCACAGTGTCGGAGTGCTCGTTGACCACGAACATCCACTGGTTGTCCGGGCTGCCCCAGATGCCGTGGGGCTCAATGCCCGAGGCCCGGATCGACGTCAAATAGACCGGGGCGGAGCCAGGCGAGTCCTGGCGAAACACTTTCGTCTCGTTGCTGGCTCCCACGGTGGTGAAGACGTGGGTCGTGCCGTTGAGAACCGCGAAGTTGGCATGATTCACCTCGGCCCCGATGTCGACCGCCGTGACCACACTCCTGGCATTCAGGTCAATGACGCTCGCCGTCCCGGCCATCTTGTGCATGGTCCAGATGGTGCCTCCGTCGGCCGAGATCTGCATGTCCGAGGAGAAGACATCGTTTAGACCGGTGATGTTTTGCACCGTCGTCCGCGATGCAACGTCGACAATAGACAGGATCGGGTCCCGGATGTGATTGACATAAGCGGTGGCCCCGTCCGGACTGAAGACGACCTTACTCGGCCCATCTGCCGTGTGGATGGTACCCAGGATCGTCCCCGCCAGCCCGTCCACCACGGTAACATGGTTGGTGCCTCGCGTGCCCACCCAGACGGTGCGATTATCCGGCGCAAAGAACGCTTCGTGCGGCGCGCGGTCCGTCCACGTTTGACTGACAATACTATTGTCGATGGTCCTGACCACGGTCACCGTGTTGGTCGTCACGGACAGGGAAACAATGTACTTCCCGTCGCGGGAGAATCCGAGGCCGTGGCTGTTGGTGGAGCGCACGTACTGCGGGCCGATGACATCCTGGAGGCGCGAGGAGCCCAGCGCGATGGTGCCCAGGACCCTGTTGTCGTATGGCGAGATGACGGTGATGGTGTTGGACGACTGGTCTCCGCAGTATATTCGGTCAGCGGGTGCGATGGGAGCCCCAGCCCCAGCCAGCGCCGGTGCCTGTACCTGGCCATGGGCAATCCCGAGCAGAATCGTCGCTGACAAAAGCGAAGGTCGTATCTTCATACTGAATGTATCTCAGCCAATGCCCCTTGGCTGATCTTGTATGTGTCAGCGCAGCAGGTCCAGTAGCAACAGCAGGTACCGAGTACCTTCGTATTAATATTGCATTGCGCGAGCGTTTCTTTTCCTTCCTCTTACCCGACTGCCATACCGCCAGTCTCGATAAATGGATCCATGTCCCTGCTTGTCTTGCCTGTCAACACGTAGTTAGTCGTACCCCAACCGCTCAAACCCGCCTGATGTCCACACCGACCTCTCCCTTTTGACCGTTCCTGTCTTCTTCTAACCCTTTCGTAGAGCCACATTCTTACGAGCGACTGGCGCATGAAACCTCACCGGCCATCACCCGGCCGTGGACCCAAATCCTTCAGGACAGGACCAAGACGTTTTCTACCTCAAGGAGAAATCCCCAATGCCCCATTGTGGGATTGTACTCCGGAAGTGCGGAGCAAGATCGACCACTAGAATACGAGGAGGTAGGGCCGCCAGAGGTAGCTCCTCGTAGGCCCCTAGAGACCTGGCCGGCGTTCCGTGGTACAGCTGTAGTGGAGAAGAAGGAATCATTGTTATACATTAGTAGGGATCATGTTGGTTTTGCCCTAGTAATCATAATTAGCCGTCTCCGCTCTTTCGGCACTCCTAGTCTCGCTCAGTAGCCTCGGAAAGCTCCTTACCTCAATACCGTAATGGCGCTCCCCAATGAAATCAGCGTACAAAGGCACGGCTTCGAGTTACACTGAGGGATCCGGAACAAGGGAATTGTAAAGAGCAAGTTGGTATTGATCGTTCCCTAAGAAACACCTATCAAAAGTACAAAGTTGACCTCTCCAGTTATAGACGAGATTCCATTCAGTTTTCGACACAAATGGACCGTGATATACGATCCTCGACTCGACTCCAGCCCTACTCTGCTGCGTTGAGCCCCTTGGTCGCCCTGACACGCTCGGTCTCCTCCCTCACCCTCCTCCCCAGATCCTTGTTCACCCGCTCGAACATCCCATACGTCCTCTCCCTGACTTCTTTGATCGCGGCAAACAGATGCACCGAGATGTTATGCACCAGGTGCTCCTGCTGGTCCTTGGTACGGCCCAGAACCTCCCAGAGCATGTTTGCCTGCACATAGTCCTCGTCCGTCACGGGCTGCAGGTTGTGCACGGCTCGACCCACCCAGGTCTCGTGCGCGGCGTCGATGGGCTTGTCCACGGGTAAGTAGGTGTTGGGCTTCAATGGCGACGGGTAGTTGGGTCTGGCGCCATAGTTTCCCGTGACGGCCATGAAGCCGTCGCGCTGGAACGGCGCATACGCGTGCAGAGGGCGGTTGACGGGGATTTGTTGGTAGTTCACGCCGAGCCGGTGTCTCTGGCTGTCGGCGTACGAGAACAGGCGGGCTTGCAGCATCGGGTCCGCCGAAGGCTCGATGCCCGGGACCAGATGGGCGGGCGAGAATGCGACTTGCTCAATCTCTGCAAAGTAGTTCTCCGGGTTGCGGTTGAGCGTCATCTTGCCCACGGGACGCAGGGGCACTTCCGAGTGCGGCCACACCTTGGTAACGTCGAGGATGTTCCAGCGGAACTTCTCTGCGTCCTTCGGGTCCAGGATCTGCACGTACAGAGTCCACGAGGGATACTCGCCGCGTTCAATCGCGTTGAAGAGATCCTCCGTGGCGTGATCGGGATTGCTTCCCGTCAGGGCCGCGGCCTCCTCGTTCGTCATGTCCCAGTGGCCCTGGTCCGTCTTCATGTGGAACTTCACATACTTGAACGACCCGTCGTTCTTGGTGAACTTGAACGTGTGGCCGGAGAAGGTATCGCAATGGCGATATGACCGTGGCGTGCCCCGGTCGCTGAACAACTGGATCACCTGATGCACCGACTCCTGATTGCTGGATAGAAAATCCCAAAACATCGTCGCATCCTTGAGGTTTGTTTGAGGATTCCGCTTCTGCGTGTGGATAAACTGGGGGAACTTTATGCCATCCCGGATGAAAAAGATTGGTGTATGATTGCCGACCAGGTCCCAGTTACCTTGTTCTGTATAGAACTTGATGGAGAAGCCTCGTGGGTCGCGGGCTGCATCGGCCGACCCCTTTTCCCCTCCGACGGTGGAGAAGCGGACAGCAACCTGAGTCTTCTTTCCAACCTCGCTAAACAGGTCGGCCGACGTCTAGAGATGCAGTTAGCATGTGTTGTAACGTTGCGAGGTTCGAGGACTGGCGTAGCCTACCACATCGGTAATGTCATGGGTCACGACAAACTCTCCAAAAGCTCCCGCACCCTTGGCATGGACGACCCGTTCAGGAATGCGTTCTCGGTCGAAGTGGGCAAGGAGATCGATGAGGTGGAAGTCCTGTAGGAGGACGGGACCGTGGTCGCCGACAGTCTGAGAAGCACTGGCGAAGGTGATGGGACGACCATTGGAGGTCGTGTAGATTGGGCCTGCAGCAGCCATTGTTTTGTATTTCGATATTCTGTTAGATCTTGGGTTTGTGCTTGGTCTTCTGTTGGTATTCGAGGTCTGTTTGATTTCAATCTGGTCGAGTTCATCATGAGGGCCATGCTGGTAGATATATATCTTTCCAACCGTAGAGGTTGTCCGCACCCTGCTTTGAAAGACGCCATAAGGTAACGTTCTCAATGCAAGGATGATCGCATTCCGAGGTCCAGTGATGTCTTCCGCAAGGCTGGCTTGCTACCTATGCATGGCACTTGGGGATGATTAATGAGGTTGCCTTGCTTGGTAAGGAAGTAAGGAGCGATGTCGCAGCAGCTTACCCTTTTCGGTATTTGTGACCGAGATCACGCCCTTCACCTGCATCCGCTTGCTGCTATAGACTGCGACTTCGCTGTCTCGCTCTCGCTTACCGTAAAGGGTATTTTCTCACCGAAGTGACTCCTTTTGGCGAGTCAATTTTGGACTTCTCGTTTCTCGCCGGACGGAAACCAGCCCTGAAAAGGCCTCGCGCAAAGTGGACTCTACGCAAGAAACATCAGCCGCCCCTCAGCAACGCCTTTTGACCCTTAGCGTTCTGGCCCGTCGATTTGGCATTGTCCCCGAGGAATTCCAATTATTGTTTCTCACGTTGCGGATGAGGATGGGGATGGGACATGACTTCACCAGGGATCAGCCATGTCGCCTTGGGCGTCAGTTCAGGTGAGTCAATATAAAGTGAGGCGTCAAGCGCGGTAAGTTTGGGCTTGGGCATCAAGACGCCTTTCAACCCCTTTCCATCTGAAACAAACCGGTTTCTGCCAATCCTCTTGGAGCCCAACGTACAAACATTCATAGACAGTGCCACCGTTCTCCCTGAACACATACAACAGCCTAGATTGAACAGACAAGACTCTTTGCGGATTTAGGAATCACAAGAACAATGTCGACACCAACGATACGAGTCTTGGGTGTCTCTGCAGCCGATGAGGCAGCACTGAGTGTTGATGATAAAGTGAACGCTCCATCCCGCCTCAGGCTCCACGGTCGGATCAGTGTTTTCAATCAGGATGGCTCTTTTGATACTGTTCGCATCCGGTTGCAAGGTGCCATCCACACCAGGATTGGGCCACAGGCCGCAGTCGAAAAGGTACGCTCAATGTCACCCATCCCCATGGCGGCAAGACACAAGCTGACTTTTGATCAATCAAGATCGCCTCCACCACCATTGTCAAGACCAACTTAGATTTCAAGCCAGCATACTCCGCATCTAGGGAGCGAACAGAAGAACAGTATCTAGACTTTGTCTGCCCGATTCCATCCTCCAGACGAGGAGCCCCCGACGAATTTGTACCGTCAATGACATTATCTGGCACCACTTATCTCACCAAAGTGACTGCCTTGACGAATAGGGAACAGTTGGAGGGCTCTTGTCAAGTGGTCTACACGCTCGAGGCCGAGTTCTTGCGGTCGCCGACGAAACAGGTGGTGCGGAGGATCAGTTGCCCCGTCGACATCTCATCTGCTCTGACTTCTCTGGATGTGGAGGTGACCTCTGGCGGCTACTCAGACCACGTTGAACAGATCGCAAAGTCTCAGCTGCGATTGGACCGATTTCGTGGATCTCAGTCTCAACCGAAAGTATCTGTGCACATGCCGAAGTTGATCGGCTGCGCTGTCAACGACTTCTCCACAGCTTCCACTGGTTGCCGGCGATTAACAGTGCCAGTCTCAGTCAATGTCGCCTTCCCCTCCCAAATCCGCCGCCAAGCACAAGAATTACTGGAAAAAGACTCGCTCAGGTGTTCGGTAACGGCGCGCTGGCTCACCAAGAGGACATTCACAACCGGCTCTTCGGCTGTGGAATCCACAGTGCACAGCGATCGTGCATCGACCCAGAAATTTGCCATGACATTACCGCCCCTCTACAAGCCGAACATTGAGACGTCCAAATACACCACGTCAATGGAGCTGGAACTTCTTCTGCCGGAATCGATCTCGACCCCTTCAGTCTCTACAGATCTATTGAAAGTCAGTTACACCCTGGATCTCTCAATGAGATTTGAAGCGAGCGGAAATGATTCGCTCAAGGGGCCGTATACGGCAAACTTCAGTCTCCCAGCGGTACTTCGTGCCGCTCAACCACAATCATTGATCAGCCGTCGCAGTTTCGATCCACTTCTAGGACTCGTTGAGGAGCAGTCAGTCTATGCTCCACCTCCATATGTGTACTAGAACATGCAGGAAAGAGTTGTATTTGTATGGAATGGATCCCTCTATCATGATTCAACGAGCGGTATGAGGTGCAGTGCTTGACATAATTAGACTCATGGGGACCTCATAGACAATTGTAATATATAGCTCGATGCCGACATGCAGAATAGATTGACTGAGTTGGACTTGTCACAGTATCTCAGGCTTGGACATTGCACTTCCGTATCGGAGAAATTATGCTCCGGGATGCCGGCTCCTTTCATGTTCACTTCCCACCTGCAAGTAATACATTTCCAACCATTCTATTCGCATGTCAGCCAAGTGACTTCCACGTCTGTGTACCGGCCCCTGTGGCCGTGGAGAGGTTCAAGATGTTGAGCGGAATCCTCCTTTTCAATCAAAAAGGCGAGAACCTCATCTTCAGAGCGTTCCGTCCCGATTGCCGCCCTCGCCTGGCAGACATCTTCCGCATCCAAGTCATCTCCAATGCTCAGGTTCGGTCGCCTATCCTCACCTTGGGCTCTACCACTTTCAGCCATGTCAAACACGAAAACATCTATCTCGTGGCAGTCACAAAGAGCAATGCCAATGCCGCTGTTGTTTTCGAGTTCGTCTACAAATTCATCGCGCTGGGAAAGCAATACTTTGGTAAATTCGATGAAGAAGCGGTCAAGAATAATTTCGTCCTCATATACGAGCTCCTTGATGGTATGGTAGGGCCTTAGCATTTAAGGAGTGGTGGCTGACATCTCTCCAGAAATCCTCGACTTTGGCTACCCTCAAAACACCGATATAGATGTCCTCAAAATGTACATTACCCCAGACAACATCTCTTCTGCCATTCGATCGGTCTCCGCACCTCCGAGCGACACTTCCAAGATCACGATGCAAGCCACGGGCGCTCAGTCATGGAGAAGAGGAGACATCAAATACCGCAAGAACGAAGCATTTGTGGATGTTATTGAGGACGTGAACCTGCTCATGAGTGCCACAGGAACCGTCCTTCGTGCGGATGTCACTGGACAGATTGTTATGAGAGCATATCTCAGTGGAACACCAGAGTGCAAGTTTGGTCTTAACGATCAGTTGGTGGTGGGTCAGATTGCGCATGGATTAGACGGTCCCATCGGGAACCAAGAAGGGAACCGCAAGGCTACACGGGCAGCAGCAGGCTCTGTCACGCTGGAAGATTGTCAATTCCATCAGTGTGTGCAACTCGGCAAGTTTGAGACCGACCGGACCATATCCTTTGTCCCGCCAGATGGAGAGTTCGAGCTGATGCGCTACCGGGCTGTCGAGAACGTCAATTTGCCATTTAAGGTCCACGCAATTGTCCGCGAGGTCGGCACCACAAAGGTAGAATACAGCATTGCCGTCAAAGCCAATTATGGGAGCAAACTGTTCGCGACCAATGTGGTGGTAAGGATTCCTACCCCACTCAACACTGCCAGCATCACAGAACGGACCACCCAAGGGAAGGCCAAGTACGAACCAGAAAACAACTGCATCGTGTGGAAGATTGCTCGATTTGTCGGCGGCAGCGAATTTGTGCTCAGTTCCGAAGCCCATCTCACGAGCATGACGAACCAAAAGGCATGGTCGCGACCTCCATTGAGCATGACCTTTTCCCTGCTCATGTTTACGAGCTCCGGGTTGCTGGTGCGGTACTTGAAGGTCTTTGAGAAGAACAACTACAGCAGCGTCAAATGGGTCCGCTACATGACGAAAGCCGGCAGCTATGAAATCCGATTTTGAACCGTTCAGGTTATATTCCGATACGTCCTTAACAGTTCCTTTCGTGAACCAGGTCGCCGTGAACATAGATTCGGCCAATTGAGACATTTTCTGGACCCCCAGCAGCAACTTTACGAACAGGATCTCGACCGAAGCTTTCTGTTCCTGCTTTCGAAGACAGAAGTTGCACGCTCGCTCAATCTCATAAGCTGCCCTGTGCAAGGTTTTGAGAGGCATGGAAGTTGCCGGGTACGAAAAGCAAGAGAAATACAGTCTAGGCGTCTGCCTAAGCCATTGGTACCTCAGTGGTATACCTACTAAAGGCCAGCTCGCTGGAGCTGGAAAAGGATAATCATACAAGCAAGAAGCGTTTGGGACCGGTCCGTGCCAAAGTCAACAAGAGCCGTCACCAACTCGAAATGTCCAAATTCGTCCTTGAGATCCTGCCACCTCTTCTCAAGCCAACATTACCCTCCCCAACTAGCAAGCTCCACCTTCTTCCAAGGCTATCCCTGTCCTTGCCCAGTTTCCTTGCGCAGTCATTCCAATCGCGTCTTGACAGTTTCAGCTTTTCGAGCACTGTCTCTACCAACATGCGGTCATCGTCCTCGGTCCATTCTGCATCATCCACTGATGGGGATGACCCGTAAGCCGAATCTTGGTCGGAGGGTACGTGGTCGTGAGGGCTGATTATGGGCATGTCGAGCTCTACCTCGTCGGCAGGTGTCTCCAGCGCACGGAAATCATCCGCTGAGAGACCCATCGGCAGGGACAGAGGGACTTTCCGTCGCCTTTTCGGAGTTCGAATTGGCTGAGGTGTGCGCTGACAATCTTCCATGAGTACATCTGTAGATGTTGCGGAAATCATGTCCTCTTCGAATTCACTGCGCCCTCGCTTGTTCGCGCGTCTGGGTGGTGTTGTCTGTGCTTCTCCGGGAGGGATGGTCTCTTCCGCGGGCGCAAAAGGATTCCCTAAGTCCAGCGGCTGAGTCGGTCGTGGGTACTGGATGGTGCCAGGGGCTCCGAGAATGGCCTGCAGAGCGCGGCAACTGGAGGATAGCGGGCTCGGGCGCGCATTTGTAGAGTATTGGGGTTCATATGCGCCGAAAGACTGGAGCTTAGGTCTTTGAAGTCTTAATTGAGGCTGCAGACCGCCATCGCACGAGAATGCGGATGGGAGCAGCATGGTCAATGCGCCGCGAGGTGCCGTGCAGTGCGCAAAGTGGTCGAGGTATGCGCCAGGATCTGTACCGACGCGCAGGGAGGCAGTAAGGACGGGAACAGCGGGCGCATGTATTCGTAGATTTGGTCTGAAGCTCGGGAGGAGATGGTTGTATGAGGATTCAAGACGCTGGGAGGTAGTTCTGGAGTGAGGTGTGTGAGGCGAAGACCGAAGGCCTGTGCGAGCAGGTAGAGCAGTAGAGCAGACGCAGGTGTCCAGAAATGATGGGCGTGGAGGGATTCACGGGAGGAGCAGAGGAGAAGGATCTACGAGAGGCGCCGGGAAGGAAAAGGCCCGATGCAGGCCGCAGGATGCATGGGCGGCGGCCACCCACCGAGCCACGCTGCGTTGGGACACCTAATTAGGCGCCTAAACTCCCTAGCACCCCTAGCACCCACCTAGCTTGGTGCCTAGAGGTGTTATCACCAATGCATGCCCCCCGTTGAAAGTGAGGACAGCTGCAGCGGCATACCCTACCTACCAAGCTGCGTACCGAGTATCTCTTAGGCAGAGATTACCTAGAGTCAAGAAACTGACGCAGCCCCTTCCATCATCTGACGCTCTTAATGTTAAATCAAGTCTGTTGCTTGTTCCGGTAGTCGTGCTGCTAGCCAAAGCGCGTCACTTCGTCCATGTACAAGGACATTGGTTGATATGATGACTGTAATGAGCACTGCGTAGTCCTGCCCATCGCTTCTATGGCCCGTCATCTCGTAAATGAGACACCACCACTACCCTCTTGTCTTCGATGGCCGCAATTCTCCTCGATCCTCACCGACGTTTTAGACCGGTTCCTATCCAACGGTCATGCAGTAGTTGGACCCTGGTCTGCTGCCACTGCTCCGAACATCTACTGACCAAGCTAATGGATAAAAGTATCGATTGGCGTCGGAGAATTTTTATCGACAACCTGGTCAAACGCTGGCCAGTGCAGCGTTCGCAACCTATCAAGCTTTCCTGTTGCAAGCACGAGCTTTGCGTCAGTTCAAGCCTCGAGCTCTAATTTTGAGGGATGAGCTTTCAGGGAAATTGGCTGATCAGGTTGGCGATCTCCAGGCACCCACCAGGAGCTAGACGCGTGGGAGACACGCGCTCTTGACACGCTAGAGTTAAAATCGAAAAGCGCCGCCTCGTGCCTCCACGTGACTGAGGCTGGCCCCATCCACGCCAACTCCACGAGGCTGCACATTCCTCGACTTCACTCTGGACTTCTCACCCCTTTGCACCGTCGACACATCAATGCGCTGCCATCTCGTCCCCTTCTGTTCTCATCAAGCACAGACTATACAGCCTCTCAGTGATATGCGAATCTAATGAACTTCCCCACACGCTGACGCAAACCAGTGCCGATTTCCGTCACTTCACTCACACCAGTCACCCGGTCCAGAACTCGCCTACTAAACAAAGGGTTTCTCGGACCTCATTGTCTTTTCTGCAATTTTACTGCCACGTGCGTAATGTTGCGTGCGAATTCCCTCCCTCGCGTCTTTGTTTTTGTTCTCTAGACCGCTGCATGCAAACTTTGGAGAGCCTCCCATAGGTGTCTGATATGATTCCCTCATTTTCCTTTACCAATTGGCGCTTGAGCTTGCCGATTGCGGCGGTAGGTACGTCTCAAAGCAGTCAGAAAGCTTCTTTGCTCCTTTGCCCATGATTTCCAGGGACGACCTGAAACCCTTCTCTTCCGTCGTTTGCTTCTGTTCTCCAGACTGGCCCCCATCACTGCGCAAGGTCTGCCGTACATGATCAAGATGAGGAATATCTCAGGCGCTTTTCTGGCCATCGTGCTCAGCTTGACTTTTGGCCATGTCTCTGCATTCTGGCGTATGGTCTGCGGAACCGTTCAGGTGGGCAGAGTTGATCCCATTGTCAACCCCGGAGGGGTGTCCGGTCACTGTCACACCATTGCAGGACCAAACAGTCAGTATTGACTTGATAGCTGTGGAGAAGTTTTCCTCACTGACAACGGGTAGACATAAACACGACATCGACCTATGACAGCCTCCAAGCCTCTTTCTGCACTTCCTGCAGCATTCAACAAGACAAGAGCGCTTACTGGACCCCGAATCTGTACTACAGACACCGCAATGGATCATATGAGGAAGTCCCGCATGATGGAACAGTCGTGTACTATCTGGATCGAGGCGTGGATGTCCCCAACATGATTCCTTTCCCAGTTGGCTTCCGTATGCTTTCTGGCGATGCTGCGGCTCGCTCATTCGACCCAAACACCATGACCTATTCAAACGCGTCCTATGGCGGTACTCCGATTTCCAACCGTGTCAGTTTCGCCTGTTTGGACAGCAGTGGACCCGAGCCAGAGACTCCAGGCTTCAATTCCACCAAATGTGACTCCGGTCTTCGCGCCCAGATACACTTCCAAAGCTGTTGGGATGGTGTCAATCTATACAAGAGTGACCAGAGCCACGTGGCGTATCTCTCTGGAATGGACAATGGGATCTGCCCGCCTGACCATCCGTATCTGCTCCCTCACTTGTTCTTCGAAGTCATCTATTCTGTGGACACCGTCGACCAATCTGACGGTGGAATGTTCGTCTTTTCTCAGGGCGATACGACGGGCTACGGCTTCCATGGCGACTTCTTGAATGGCTGGGACATGGATGTCCTGGAAGCTGCCATGGACCAGTGTATGGGTGCCAACGCCACCAACGATGGTCAGATCGGTCTCTGTCCACCGCTCCAAGCATCTGTCGATCCGTATTTCAGCCAGAACTGTCCCGAACAGCCTCCCATCGTTAATGAGACTGTCCACGGCCTACTGAATGTGCTTCCAGGTTGCAACCCTCCAACAGGCGGGCCTATACGTGCCACTCAAAATATCTGTCCCGTCCAACCGGCGCTGAACTACATCCCCAACCAGGACTGGATGAACCGATCCGTCGCCATTCCGGGTCAACTAGTAGGCAGCTGGCAGTACATGGGATGTGCTCTCGACTCAAGCACGCCTCGCCCACTGGCCGGTTTGAGCTACACCAGTTCAAACAACATGTCCATCGAGAGTTGTACAGCCTTCTGCCATCAAAACGGCTACTTCATGGCTGGCATGGAGTTCTCGACTCAGTGCTATTGCGCTAGCGAGCTGACGCAGCCGCTGCAGAGCGCACTGAACTGTTCACAACAGGACTACATGATCTGCAGTGGCAATGAGTTCGAATATTGTGGCGGACAGAGTCTCATGCAGATATGGAATGATACCACGTACTCGGGTCCGGCCATCAAACCGACGCCTGTAGCCGGTTCGACCGTCATGTCTGTCCCAGGCGGCGGGAATGCAACATACCAAGGTTGTTTCGTGGAGGCAGTGGGAGGCCGAGCCCTGTCGGGAACGTCCTTCTCGAACAGCACTGGTATGACTTTGGAGCTTTGTGCTGCGTTCTGCTCAATGACCAGCTCTGCGTTCTTCGGCACCGAGTATAGTCAAGGTAAGCTAAGCTACGCGGAGCATTCCCCTTTTCCTCTCCGTTCATAGTCCCCTCTGAACTGACTTTGAACTCTTCTAGAATGCTACTGCGGCAACAGCATCAGTACCGCTACAGCCCCACAGTCGGACTGTTCCATGTTCTGCACAGGTGACAACACCGAGTTCTGCGGTGGAGGCTCTCGCCTTTCAGTGTGGTCGTTAGGAAACTACTACTCTGGAAACGGCACCGGCACGATCGGAAACTCTTCGCCTTCATCAAGTGCTAGCCCTGTTCCCCCGGCCACAGGAATATCTTTGATCGGTTGCTACAGCGAGACCACCCCAACACGGGCATTGAGCGCCCTCTTCACCTCCGGCACATTCGTGACGGTCGACTACTGCGCACAGCAAGCGCAACAGCTCAATCTGCAGTACTTTGGGCTTGAATACGCCTCGCAATGCCTGGCCGACAGCGTGCTTTCCCCTAATTCCATGCAAATTGCATCGTCCCAATGCAGCATGACCTGCGCGGGCAACAGCAGCGAGGTCTGTGGCGGCCCCAACGCCATCTCCCTGTACAAGAACGACTTGTACGTCGCGCCCGTCAACCCGAATCCCGTAAACGTGCCGAACCAGCCCGGGTCCCAGTACGCGTACGTGGGGTGCTACAACGAAGGCACGGGGGCTCGCGCGCTGGGCAGCACCAACGTCAACGGCTCGGCGACCACCACTTCAGCAACGCTGACCGTCGAGGCCTGCGCCGCCTACTGCTTCTCCAAGGGCTACCCGTGGATGGGCGTCGAGGACCAAAACCAGTGCTTCTGCAACGCCGCGGGCGTCATCAACGGCGCCACCCTCGCCCCCGCCGGCGACGCAGCCTGCAACATGACCTGCGCCGGCAACGCTTCCGAGTTGTGCGGCGCCGCCGCGGTGCTGAACGTCTACCAGTTGACCAGCGCGAGCGGGAGTGCCAAGTATGCCAGGAGGGGCTTGTGGTATGGAACCTGGTGAGCAACGCGATGTCTCTGTCTCTGTGTGTATTTCGCGTATGTATTGTATGCAATGTTGTGCATTGTGCATGCTTGTCAACGGACAATGTCCCTTCAAGAATCCAGAAATAAAAAAAGGTAAAGGGGAGGGAAGAAAGAATGCCATACTGGGACATACTGGGAAGCAACCGTCGAATCTTTGCCAATGTCATGTTGATACATATTGATACAAGCTGTTCTCCATCAATCCATATATCTATTCATCCATCCATCCATTTTTGCTATGCAGTAATATACCGGTGGCGAGCTATATTAGATCCCCACCCAGCGATTGTGCCGTCACGAATGGGGACGAGGCAGACTAGCATGTAAGAGAGGAGCGTAATGAGGGCTTCAAAGAGGTGGCGTACACTTTGCATTGTTTGCGTGCATCAGAACATTGCTGATAACTCAATAAAATCTAAGATGGTCGTCCACCACACGCATGAGACACTTAACAATGCAAAACACGATGCTCTTCAAGCGAGGGACAAATGCCTCTAACATGACCTCGCCAGCCATGCTGGATCAACAACTGGCGGATCTAGCCCCAGTTCTCAGTGTTCTCCTGCCTGTCTCGGACAACCGCTTTTCGCGTATCCGTCTTAGTGTTTGTCTGTCCAAATCCCAACTCTCTGTAGGATGAGTGGCACCCCAGTGCAAAAGGTGCCACGGACTGCTGCCCTTACCGACCAGGGGCAACGGGTCGCTGCTGCGAGGATAAACGACCTTGGCCCAGGTAAGAACATGGTGAGTGTTCCGTTTGAAGAAAGGGCCTAGGCAAGGATCTGGTTTTGGCGTCCATCGCATGGCGATCGTCAGGTTCCCGTAGAGCACAGCGCTACCTTCTCTCCATATTCTCTTGCAAACACGGAGAAATTGCGCTGAAAGACCGTTGCTGTCGACATAATATCGGGTGTCGTAGAGGTGGGCCCAATCCAGTTCGCCGGTACTTGAAGTTGGACGTGGATTAACCGCCTGTTTCAGACCAATTGTTTGGAAGGCTGGATCTGTGGAACAGAGGAAGCAGAGGACCTGGCTATCATCGACGAGGAGCTCGCGGTAGATCTGATTCATAATTTCTGGAGGATAGTTCAAGCAGCCCATAGGACCAGTTGCAGTGCGGGGCCTATTGATTGGGAGAGCGTCCATTTCGAGGGTCGTAGGTTCGTTCGACGAGCATACGCTGCGAGACACCAAATTCGCAGGCGGCACAATGAGATGGCGGTAGAAAACGAGCGCTTTCCGAGTCTCGTGATACTGAAAGATAGACGGTAAGATCTGTTCCTAACGATGGACGAAACCGGATGGTCGATGGCTGATGTAAATGTGTATCCTGGACTGATGTGCCGAGAGAGTCAGGTAGCTAGCTTGCAGGTAGAACACCCTCATAACTTTGACTTCCTACTTGTTGAATGGCAGGAGCAGAAGTCGGGTGTATGGCAAGCACAAGCAGCTCAACGGCAGGACAGAATCCAATATCTGGGCAGCCACAACCTCCTCAATGTAGAGAACAGCAGGCTGATTTCCTTCCATGGGGATTCGGGTTTCCTCTTCCTCTTTCACCGTCTGGTCTTCTGTCTCGCCATTTTGTTCTTCCTAGCGATTTCTGATGCGAAAACGACCGAGTTCTTGGATTTCCTCTTGGAGACCTTGTGCGTTTTGCGGTTGGCTTGATTTCGGGCCTTGGATGACTTGACGGGCTTCATGCCTGCTCCTTGTGCATCGATATCCATTCCTGCGTGCTTCAGGTCAGTGGTGGCTTGGAGTGGCTGGAAGGTGAACGAAAGTACCTTCGGAGTTGGTGCTGCGAGGCTCATCTCCCGCAGCCTGCTCTGCATTGTCATCTACGTCCATGGCCTTCTCAGTCTCTGGTTTCGGTTTGGCTGCCAGCTCTTGAAGTTTTGCAGATAATCTAGCAGTGCGAGCATCAGACGCAGGACCGTACACTTTGGCGCGAAGATTGCGGTGATTTTTCTTGACCACAGAGGCCCTTGCAGATTTCGCCATGGCTGCTCAAGTGAAGTGTGTGCTTTGGTGAACAAGTTGCATGAATTGCATGCGGTGGTGGTGGTGATGATGGTGGTGGGACAAATTCATTTCCCTTGGATTTTTCCAGCCAGTCAAATGCCAAACTGCCGGGGTTGCGCCGATTCGCAATCCAGTGACTGCGGTGCTGCCGCATCTTGACGACTCGGGCGACGGCATCAACTTCACTTCACTTCTATGCAAAGTTCTTCTCTCCCGAGGGAGAATGTAGCCCAACTTCACCTTCCATCCTCGTCTCTCACACTGTTCTCGCTGCCTCTCCGCAGAGCCACTCACCGACGGACATAGAGGGCGTCCGAAGAGGTTGCGGCTGCGCGCAAGTTCGCTCTCGCCCTCTTTTCCGACCATGTTTCGACGACCGTTGCCACCGATACTCCCAGCCTAATTTCCATATCTCCTCTCTGTTCGGCCATCTTGTAAAGAGAAAAGGGAATGACACCGATAGCGATGGCACGCCCCATGGCCACCAACGGCTACATGAATGGGCCCCTGCAGGATTATGTGCAAGCATTGATTGCCCAAGTAAAAGCCCTCACTGTCGAGAAGTTAAAGAATGTACTGCGCAGCGAAGGCCTGCCATTGTCGGGAGTCAAAAGTGAGCTTCAAATCAGAACAATAGCCTGTATGTCAAGTGCCTTCAACTGCATGCCACCTGCCTCAGCCTGACTTCCACTTCTACAGATATCGAGAAACTGCGCAACGCCGCAGATATGTCCGCGCTGCAAAGAGTACGCGCGACGATAAGAGGTGTCCCTCCTCCATATCAAAACGGCAACTCTTTCAATCCGCACTATTCAAATCACACGCCCTCCTCTTCTGCCTCACCTCAGTTTTCCTCGCCGAGTGCTCACAGCTCTTACAACATGCCTTCCCATCAGACGTCGGTGCCAAGTATGGAGTGTACCTCTGTGAGAAAGGAAGAGGCGCTGACCAAGAGCAGGAGAGCTACTCTTCAAAGCCTCGCCTTTCTACACGATTTATCAGCCACTCACCAACCCATACGAGTGCAAAGGTCGGTTCGATGTCTACCCCGTTGGAGCGCCTGCATCCGCTGACGAGAGACTAGTCCGAGAGTCGACCAGAGATACTCTAAGGATCATAGTCTCCCTGCCCAAAGATAGCCACGAGGCGCTGCTCAACAATCCAACATTCCGTGTCATGGTATTTTGCACCTCAGACCCCCACGGAACCTACGAAAGCTCCGATTCCTATATGAACGACCTTTCCGAAATTGCGTTTCCTCACAACGTGGAGCTGAAATGTAACGGGCTTGAGGTCAAGGCGAATCTGAAAGGACTGAAAAACAGGCCCGGATCGACTAGACCTGCGGATATCACGAGCTTTGTCAAGAAAAAGCCCGCCCAGTTTCCGAACACGGTCGAGATGATCTATGCCTTAACCACAAAGGTGCGCCCCGATACGTCGATTTGTTACCCCATTCTCATTTTGTGTCTGATCTCACATCAAGAACTATCCATACTAAATAGGACAAATCAAATGCACAGAAATTCTACGTTGTGGTCAATCTGGTCTTGGTGAAGCCGATTGACGACCTGGTCGCCGATATCAGACGAGGCCGCATGATCTCCAAAGATCAAGTCATACGGGAGAGTAAGTTCACTTTGGCCTCAGATTGGTTTTGGAGCTTATAAGAATCCAGTGCGTCGGAAAGCTGAAGACCCAGACGAACTGGTGGCTACATCTATGGTTCTTTCGTTGAAGGATCCTGTCGGTTACACGCGCATCACAACGCCCTGTCGTGGTATCGGCTGCAATCATCTGCAATGCTTCGACGCAGCCTTATACCTTCAGCTCCAGGAACAAGCCCCAACATGGACCTGTCCAATCTGCAACAGAGCTGCACCTTGGAATCAGCTGGCTCTAGATCAGTATGTTAACGACATCCTGAACCTGACGCCAAAGAGTGTAGAGGCAGTTACCGTCGACCCCGACGGGAAATGGCACATCCAGAGCGAAAACGAGAATGTTGGTCGCAGGTCTAATCCCACGCCATCTGATGATGACGATGACGGTGGAAACGACGATGACGACGGCGATCTGGTCGAGATCACAAATGGACCCAGCTTTCGAGCGCCCAAGCTCGAAACACTGACACCTCACAGTGTCAAGACACCGCCGCTATCTTCTCGAGAAGTATCCACCGCTCCTTCAGCGTCCAAGTCATCAGCGCATAGCAAAAAGAGACCTCGCGAAGTCATTGATTTGACTCTGAGCGAAGATGAGGATGACGAACCACCCACAAAGAGTGGGAGGGTATCTAGGACGAACTCATCTGGGATGGATGCTTCTGGCAACCGACATGTCTTTTTCCAATTACATCCTCCACCTCCACCTCCACCTCAACCGTCGTCCTACAACCTCGACAGGTTCAATCCATCACTTTAGCGTTTGCAATGTAGCTTGGCTTTCGGACACGGTATTTCGTATGGCGCTCAGGCGAAAGGCTGGAATGAGTGGCGGCAAAATGAACTTTTAGTGGGCAAAACTCAGGGTCGGAAGCGCGCACCGGCAGTTTTCAGAATATGCCTCGGGAGGGTATACCAACCCTGAGGCAATGTTGAATGCATACGGATGTTCTTGCTGGGAATGGGTGTCACGATGACTCTTCGAACTGAAAAAGGTTGTGCGACACGGCACAGGGATGGAGTGATGATTCATGAATTTTACTCTGCGTACAAACCGGGATGGATTGCTGCGGCACGTCAAGGTATGCTTCAGCGCATGGCCATCAACACTGGGCGGAGGAGATGGATGCAGGATTGGCTCATGCTATGCATGAACAGTTACAGAGTGCATATGTAGGGCAAATACAACAAAGCATCCTCCTCGCTGCGGGTTCAAATGGACGGACAAAGCTTTGCACGCAAACCACGTCGTATTCGTTCATCTACAGGATACCCAGAGAGCTCTGTGTTTCAGGTTTCAGGGCTATATTCGATTTTGCGCCTGGATATTCCTGTACAGTGCGACAGGGCTCATGTAACGAGTTTTGGATCCGTGTGCGGTTTCATCTTCTTACAAGCACAGCCACCACACACCACCTCTTGGCTTGGCCTTCAGTCTCGCCCGGCCGAGAAGGCTCCCAGGGCCTGCGGAGGCCATTCACGTCGGTCTCAAAGATCTCGGCGGCGCGCAGACAGGCGCTCTCATCCTTCTTCCCGTACCTGTCTATGTCCCTGGCGTCAATCTCTGAGGACGACGGTGGGGGCGATGGGATTCTATAGTCTCCGGTAGCTACCTCGAAGAAATGCCGCACGATCTCTCGACCGGTGTGGAAGCCGGCAACCACCAATGCACAACTTTGGTCGGCGCCGTGACTTGCTGATGATTCCAAGGGCTCTTCCTGCTCTGGGCGGAGACAGTGGAATATTGTCTTGACCAGGTTGACATGCTGAGAAGGCATCCAGAGACAGTCTGCTAGAATGATACGGTCGGAGCCTCTTTGGGACTGTCGCCCCGGGGCTGGCTTACCGTAATGCGACGGCAGATACATGGTCGTCGTGCCCCACGTGTAGCCGTAGACGTTGACCACCACCGCTGAATCCGACTTTGACATACGAACTGTTGCGGGCGAGCGCGACGTCGTCGGCGCAGTTGAGGTTCCGGAATCTGCTACTGCTGCTTCTGCTTCTGGTGGGCCAAGTCGCTCGACAATGTTTCTCTGAACATTTTGCTCGATGGCGCCGGTGGTCAGGGCGGGCGACGACGGGTGGTCCGTGATGGTGACCGAGAGCGCGCCGGAGAGGGCCGCAATGATGGACGGCAACGCCGTGCCTGTTTGTAACTCGCAGTGAGCGAGGTCCGATTTCGTTTTTTGCCTTCGCTCTACTACCCCCGGCGTCTGGCTGACTGACTGACTCGCATACGTCAAAGTTAAAAAAGGCTTCTTCTCACGTACCGGCGCCCAATTCAGCGACCGTCTTCCCTCTTACGTCCCAGTACTTCCTCTGCCATTTCCATTCCGCTGCTCCCTCCTTCTTCTCTTCTCCGTCCTCATCATTATTCTCCTCGCTCTGCTCGTGCGGTGGCAGTGCTTGATTCCCAGCCTCTGCGTCGTCGAAACTGGCCCTCTCGATCCCTTGCGCCGCAATCACCGCCGCGTTCCACAGGTAATGCGCGAACAGTTTTCTGCCTTCCTCGACGTCCGGGTGCTGGGGGATCTTCAAGTCGATGTCTCCGAACCGACGGGAGTGGTAGGTGTAAGTGCCCCCGGGGACGCCGTGGGTGTTTTGCATGTCGTCCTCCAATACGTGCCAGGTTTATCACTTTTACCATTGACGCGGACAACCGGACGGACCCCTGTAGCGCAACATTTGAAAATGATGCAGAGTTAGTAGCACGCATATGCAAGGCTGAGAGGCGGGGTTGTGTCCCTTGATAAGATTAGATGCGGCACCAAAAAGGCTGATGGAGAAATCTTTCTGGCGTATTAATATCCATAACCATTTGTGAAGGCCTGGTTCCCTTCTGCAGACGGGACACACATACATACATATATGCATCTCTCAAGAAACGACAATATCATAATCGAATAATGTCTGCGGAGAAGTCCCATCATCCAGCACACCTCGAACCAAGCGAACTGGGCACGAAGGAGTAGTGAGTGCGTCTCCTTCTGCCTCACCCCCCGTGTCTTTCGACGCCACGCAAACTAACAGCGGTGTTGAAGCTGGGACGAATACTACCAGAACGATCTAGAAAACGGTGTTGGAGTTGAAGACGAAGACGGCGAAGACGATGTAAACGTCAACGCTGGCAATGAGGCCGGGAACGAGGAACCACCCGATCCCTCGGAGTTGGACTCATGGTTCGACGACGTCGGCGCGCCCGCCAAAACACTGGCGTTCCTGACTTCAACGACATTCCCGTTGTCGCCAAACTATATCCCTCCTTCAGGAACCAGCACACAGGTCCGAGAGGGTGGCAATGCTCCTGCGGCGGTGCTGGACTTGGGCACCGGCAACGGCAGCGCCCTGTTCGCTTTGCGTCTCCACGGAGGGTATGCAGGACGCATGGTCGGGGTGGATTACTCGAGCAAGAGCGTCGAGCTGGCGAGGAAGTTGTGCGCGCAATACTCCTCCTCCTACTCCTCCTGCTCCACCTCCTCAAACATGAAAATGGAGAACATCGACTTCCACGTCCTAGACATCATCCACGATTCCCCCGCCTCGCAGCCCTGGTGGCCCGATTCAGGATTCGACCTCGTTCTCGACAAGGGCACATTCGACGCCATCTCCCTCTCCTCAGCCACAGTCTCCGACGACCACTCGACCAACCGCCCACGACGCATCTGCGAGCTCTACCCCTCAAAAGTCCTGCAGATGGTCAAGACGGGCGGCTTCCTGCTGGTGACCAGCTGTAATTGGACCGAGGCCGAGGTGGTGTCGTGGTTCACTACTTCCTCACCAAGTGGCAGTGGCAGGGGCAGGGGCAGCGAGAATAATGATCCTGACAATGGTACTAACTCAACCACTCCAAAGGCAGGAATCTCGGAAGAGGGTGCGAAGAGGGTGGTGTTTGAGGTGTACGATACAATAAAGTACCCCGTGTTCGAATTTGGAGGGCAAAAGGGCCAAGGGGTTGCGAGTGTTTGTTTCCGCAAAATACTTCAGACAAGGGAGACGAATCAAGGATGAAATGCGACTTTGAAAACATGGAGGAAGTTCACTTCCCCAAGGATTTGTTTCTTTTTTTCTTTTTTAATTTCGTACTTATCTGCAGGATCGGCGAGACGCCGTGATATCTCCCGCTCGATGTCTCTGCCATGGCATTTCTGAAATATCCCTTGAGAAGCTGATCCGATCATCAACTCTGACTCGAAAGGCAGAAGTGCCTCATAGAATGCCCTAGCTTCTCTCACACGGCCATCCAGCATCTGGAGAGTGCAAGACTCACATTCCCATCAACTTGTGCGCTGTATCTCGTTTCGGCCAGACAGAAATTGCTTCAGTCATCAATCAGCTCCTCAATCATTGTCGAATCAGTTCATCAGCATATTCACCGCCCAAGGCACTGACAGCTGGCGCAAATCCCCGTAATGCTGACCCACGCCAATAAATTGCACCGGTACGGAAGTAGCATGAACGAGACTGATCATTGTCCCGATCCCAGATCCCACCGTGTCAACCTTGGAGACAATGAACCCATCGAGCTTCCGGTTCTTACCCAGGGCTCTGGTGAAGTTCTGCGCCTGTCCTACCGAATCGTTACCCACCAGTGCCTCTGCAACTTGGAGGATCAAGTCTGGTTTCGCAAAGTCCACGAGTTTCTCCAGCGCCGCCATGAGTTGTGTGTTAGTATGGGCTCGTCCGGCCGTGTCAATCAGCACGACTTGATAGTCGTTCTCCTTTGCAAAGGTGACCGCGTCCCTGGCCACATTTGCTGCGTCCTTGCCGTAACCTCGCTCGTAGATGCTGACTGCGCCGAGGCCTTCGCGAGCGGTGAGCTCCCTCAAATTCCGTACGTGGACGTTCAATTGTTCGACAGCGCCGGATCTAAATGTGTCGCCTGCGGCAATCAAGACGCGGTAGTTGTTTTGCAGGAGGAAGTAGCAGAGTTTTGAGAGGTTGGTGGATTTCCCAACGCCATTCACACCCAGAATGGTGATGACGAACGGACGTGGTGCCGCTTTTGCTCCAGTTGGATTTGCAACGGTTTCGATCTGTTGGAGGAGGTCCAATGATGATCTTGGCGTGAGAATCTTCCTGAGTGAGTTTTCCAGCGCTGGTCGCAATGCCGCATCGATTGATTCGAATGCTCCTGTTTTTTTGCCCACCATTTCAGCCTCCACTCCCTGGCACAACCGAATAGCTGCGTCACGGGCAACGTTCTTATTGATCAAGTGTTCTTCCATGGACTTCAGAGGTTTCTCAAGGTCTTCCTTCGTCAACGTCTTCCCACCCACAATGTTCCTGAAGTATCCTGAAATTGCACCAAAGGTCGATTTTCCAGTCCCGTTGGTCTCGCTTTTGTTGGCATCTGCCGACTTGAGGATGTTGTTCACTTCATCGCCAAGATCTTTAAGGACGAACTGGCCTTGTTTGGTCTTCGTTCCCCAACTCTCCTGCGAAATGGTTTCCGGCGGCGGAGATCTCATCCCTGTCTCTCCATTGGTGCCAGCATCGCCAGCCGAGTAGTCGAGTTTCACATCATCTTCCACATCGGCTATCCCATCAGGACCCCAAACCCGACCCTTCTTTGCGCTGGTTTTGGCCGGTTTGTGTTTCCTAGCTTCGTCTCCACTGGAAACATTGGCAGAAGTAGCAGCGTGAGCAGCCTTTCTTGCTCTCCGAGAGCTCCGACTTTGTGGCCTGCCATTCTCTGTCAACAGATGTGGTGCAATGCCTGGAATAGGAGTCGTCGGACGAGATGTATCAGGTGACTGGACGGGAGTATTCTGGAGAGAACTTTCGTTGACCCCTGGCACAGCTTTGGGCTGTGCCTTGAGTGTCTGTGGCGTTTCCGGGGGTGGTGGTCCCCCAGTGTCCCCTTCTTCAGCACTTGTTTTCTTCTCCTCCAGCGGCACTTCAACGTGACTTGGCTCCCGGGTGACGGCCCCGAGCATGCTTTCATCCAACCGGCGCATTTCTTCATCGAAGTACGGGTCAAAGGGATATTTCAGGGCGGCGTAATCGAGTTCCTCAAGTTGACCCCTGTAGACTTGGACAAAGATTGTCTGGATGTCATCAAGCAACTTGTCAACCCATGTAAGGCGAAGCAGAGACTGATAGACGGCCACGAATATTAGGCCCAGATCCTTGACCAACGTATATTTCAAGGTGTACTTGTCATGTCTGTACGTAGGATTATTTGAGCTGGTCGCGGTCGGGCGGACTTTCTCTTCGATGAAGACATCGTTGATCAGACTGTTGACTGCGGCTGCGCCGATTTTGGAAGAGGACCTCGACCACAAGACGACACCAGAGGTCGTCAAGATCTCGAAGGCGTCCAACATTTTGCGAAACAAAGCCGGGCTACCTCTGGGGACGGAGGCTGCAGGCGAGCAAGCAGAGGGACAAGAAGCGCAAGCAAAACCGACAGAGAAGCGGCTTTGAATGTTGATCTGAAGCGCATGGACGAAAATGACGTTGAATTCACGGTCACGTGCTGATACGAGGTCCTAAGGTCTCGTCCGGTGAAGCATTTGATTACCGCACGTTGAGATAAGAACGGAGGAGTATTTTACATCTGGCGCAGTACAGACATCAAGCATCTCACGCTTGTCCCTTTGATACCTCTTCTATGCGTCCTATCCAAGTCTGTCTTCCTTGTCTGTTGTTGCTCATTTATTCAGATTGGAGGTGCCAATGTTTCCTCACTACGAGTGACAGCCTATGGGAGCAAGACACCTATCCATTGTTACCACAAACCCTGCTTTGCTTTCTGCATGCCACCAGGATGTTGTCTTTGGACGTCGACGATCATCAGATGCTGGATAGATATCATGAGCTTGAAGTCCGCGAAGCAACCCATTCACCAAACTCGTCATGGTTCCTGCTCTGGATGTAAATCCTGCCGGGGCCTGTAAATCGACAGACCAAACCTTCGCCAGTTTTCACGCTGTCCATGCCGCCCCTTCCGGCCCTTTCAATTGCGTATTGACAGTTCCACGCGACAAGATGACCATTGTCCACGATGTGCTGTTCGTTGGGTTGAAGCTAGTGGACGGGTCAGAGAGTGTTTTCCAGAGACGACAACAAACGAGAGAGGCTCAGTTTGGCGGAATATCAAGGGGATCGATTTACTTACGTCTCGGGCGACAATAGCACCAAAGGATGTGACCCAGAGTGTTCCCTGGCCAGAGATGTGGTAGATGAACAAGTCTTCTCCACTGAAGAAAGCCTTTCCGAGGCTCTGACTCTTTGTATCCCTCACCACCCCACTCGTGCACGCCAGAAAAGCTTCCTTCCCGAGGTTCCAGCCCTCATCTGGACGAACAGGTATGGCGGATATATCACCAAACAAAGTAGGTGCCAGGGATACTTCTCCAGGCCCAGTGTACGTGGATTCAGCCAACTGTGACCCCGTGAACAGTTTCTTCATGCTGAACTTTATCTTCCCCTGGAGGAGGATGGTTGGAGTCATTTGAATCATGGCCCCAGGCTTGCTCCTGATGACGACATCCCGGGGAATGCGCACGTTCAGCATGGCGTTCGTGTCACGGTTAGTGATCGAATACGAGATGCCATCCACTGTTGAATGCCAGCTTGAATCAAACATTCCCCCGGTCGACGGCCCTCCCTGAGGAGCATGGTGCTGTTGTTGCGGCTGCTGAGGGTATTGATTCTGATATTGATTTTGATACTGGCCCTGGTCTTGGTATGGAACTGTCACGATTAGCAGTGTGAAGTGAAGGCGGACGGACTCCTTCTCTCCTCACCGTTCGAGCCATATTGTTGCTGGGCATAGTACTGGCCGCCTGGATTCTGGTTGTACGCCATTTTCCTTGATATGTCGAGAGTACCTGCAACACAGAGCCTATCCAATATGTGCAATTTACCGACCGTCCAACTCGAAGTCAAAAGAATGGGAAGCACTCCGACGAGGAGCTGACGAAGCTCGAAGCCACTCGAAAGAGGATTTATGCTTCTATTACACAGGCAGCATCCTCCATCGGAGGAAGAGCCCCTTCTGGGCTGAAGGGTGAGACGTCTCTGGCTTCAGCGACTGCATTTCGGACCCCAAACTATTGTTTTCGCCTTCAGCTGGAACGGTCCTTGGCTCGGCCCCCAACGAGTGCTCTACTTTGATTCGATGGGGGCCCGCATGATCTGACGAGGAGCGAATCCTTCTGAGCCCCCGACCAAGGTTCTTTTTATATTTGCTCGATGTCACCGTTTGGCCCAATGAAATAGCGCTTTCGCTTAAGGATCCTTAATCCCACCACAGGAGAAAGAGCGTCTCCTCGAAATTTCCTCGGAACGACCAAGTCCGCAACTAGTCCAAATTGGTTGGATATGTTGCCCTGATCTGGAAGCCATGGCAAATTCCACTTTGGTAAGTGATTCAGCGTATATGATCCACTGTTCGAATCGGGCACGCTTCGCCGGAAAATACACAGATGCGGAGGAATTTCGCTTGGTTGTTGACTAATAGGCGACGGAGCGCTCAGCGCTCGAAAACCCGACCTCAGGTGATACTCAACAGACAGACAAAGAGACAACCGCCATGCCCGCTGCTACGGGCACGAGTGTCTACAGCCTCACGGACCAACCGCATCTCCGACAATGAGTACACAAGAGGCCATACTGTACTTGCATCAGTGCTTATCCCCGCCATAAGACATGCAGAAATCCAGTGGATCCAACACGATTGTGCCATTTACCACGTTCTATAGCGACCCATTACAGAGTTTGGGGGACAAGTAATTTCACTTGTCCGTTGGGATATGGCGCTGAAGGTGGATCTCGATACTGGTGAGTTGTCAAAAGCTGTCCTTGGACGGACGCTTGTCCCGCTTATGGCTCGTGGCTTGTGCAAAGTGTCAATTGCATTGTCCTTTACGCACGAAAAGACTGTATTCCTTGGGTGACTAAGGCTTGCGGAGTGTTTACGGTTTTCTGTATTGGACTGTGGCTACAGCGGGTCTCAGGAGACACCATTATTCCGTCGATGCCAATCAAGCCGCCGCAAGAGTCAGATGATTTTGTTTCAATTCGCCGATCAAATCTTGCGGCTGAACCAGCGCCACCTTTTGTTTCGTCGCTGTTTTCTTTCGATACTCGGTGCTACGCGAAGGACCAAAGGATTGAGGCTGTGGACCTGGTCAGCATCGACAGGCCGTTCAGCCTTCGACATGGCACACACTAGGAGGGGAAGGAATCGCTGTCGACTTAGCGACAGGAGTGTGGTTCTATGGTGTCCGAGACCTTTCGAGATCCTCTCGATTCGAGGCTGGAGACTGGAGACTGTGAGTGAGATGCTCCCAGAGTATATAAGAAGTAATCTGGAGCACGAATACTGTCTTCTGGTACTCTGACTGTCCCACTTGGAACTCGTGATGTTTTCCTCCACTGCTTTTCACGCCTTGTGCGTGCTTGCTCTCACAGTTGCCGTGGAGTCACAGTCTGCTACAACAACTGCCACACCAACCGTCCAGGAACCATGTGCTCAAGTGAGTGCATTTTCGAGCCAATATATGGCGGCAAGCCCCTCAGGTAAGCTTCCCTCTTCAGGACGGTACATGGCATCTACTGACACGATTGACAGCGCACAGCGTCCAAGTGCCTGCAGGTTTGTGGACTTAAGTCCGGCCGTTCCTGTTCACATCTAATGGGTTCAAATAGATATGGCCTATGCCTGTCTACAATCAGTTCCGTTGGTCAAGCAAGATACACTCGATGTCCTCACTGGGCTCAAGGCTTTAGTGCAGTGGCAGAGCACTCTGCTCTGGGTCAAGAATCCACCCGCAAATTGGCCATTCCCTCCTGTCGATCTGGTGGGAGGACTGCAAGACCTTACCCAAAAGGTGGAAGATGGAACCATCACCCAGGAAATTGACTTCGAAACCCAGTTGGTCGATTTGATAACTTCAGTACGCGATGGGCACTTCACCTACGTGCCAGACGCCTACTCTGTCTTCCAATACGCCAACGCGCAACTGCCTATAGTTTCCGTCTCGGCCGATGGCAAACAGCTGCCAGAAATCTATGCGGCCTTTGACCTGCTGGCCCAATATACAGGAGACGCAGAGGGATGGGCCCCTTCTCCAATCGTGAAGATCAACGGGACAGACCCGGTTTCCTTGCTGAGCAAATTGGCCTTCAACGGTACCTTGACTCATCAGGACTTGGACGCTTTGTACAACCGTGAATTTTTCACCCCTTTCGCATCTGGCGGCCAGGGTGAATTCAGCACCCCTTCGATGAGTCGGTACTCGGGCTCGTCGATCGCGGTTGAGTTCAAGAATGGGAGCCAAGCTTCTTTCCCCATACTTGCATATTTGACCTATGATTTTACAAACGTGGTCGATGGCGAGAGTTTCTACCAGACCTTCTGCAATGCCACGGTGAAGGCCATGGCATCAGCGAGTGCGTCTTCAGCACCTACCGCCCAGCCGACCGCGACCCCAGCCGCCGATCCAAACACCCTTTGGCCGTTTTACCCTTCAGCCGCTGTGATCAGTTCCGACGGGCAGGTAGCTGGCTACTTCCTGGATGACGCACCAAGTGTCGCTATTTTGGCCGTCCACAGCATGTCTGAAACCGCACAGCTTTCGGTGCAGCAAACTGTGGCCCGGTTTCTACAACAATGCCGGCAAGCTAATAAAACCCATCTCATTGTGGATCTCACCCAGAACCCTGGGGGCACGGTTGGGTTAGCCTACGACATCTTCAAGCAATTGTTCCCATCAATTCAGCCATATCTGGGGGCCCAATTACGGGCACAGGAACAGGTATGCCATGATTTCTTTGCCGTTGGGAGAGCATGTGTTCTAACTTGAATGTCTACAGGCAAATATCCTCGGGCAGTTCTACACTACCGCACTTCAGCAGGCCGAACAGGAAAACGACATCGACTTGAGCAACGACGTAATCCTCCAAGGTATATACTCTGCGTTCGATGCCACGTCAATTTACAACGATAGTGGTCTGCCTTTCCCGTCGTGGGCAGATTATTTTGGTCCTGTCCAGGTGCACGGGGACAATTTCGCGCACCAGTATCAGTTGAACCTTTCAAATGCTGGCTATGATGAAGCGACCGCCGGCATCGTCCCCTTTGGCTATGCCAACAACTCCAAGGTTGCGCCCCAGCCTTTCCTCCCCGAGAACATTATTACTTTTACGGACGGATTTTGTGCGTCGGCATGCACAATCCTCGCGCATCTGTTGAAATACCAAGGCAAGGTCAAGTCAATTGTGGCCGGAGGTCGACCACAAACTGGGCCAATGCAGGCCATTGGAGGTGTCAAGGGTTGCGAAGTACAACCTTTACTTGGCCTCATGGGAAATGTGGACACATTTTACCAGAATGCTTCGGCGGAAGCGATCTCGGCGGCGAATCAGACGGAACTGAAAGACCTGGCAGACCAAGGCAATACGCTTATGCTTCGGCAGGATCCAACGAATGGGATAGTTAATGTCAACCTCCTCAATGCGATTGCTCAGTATGATGAGTCGCAGACGCCGCTCCAGTTTGTCTACGAGGCTGCGGACTGCAGGCTGTGGTTTCAGCCCGGTCATCTGTTCGACGTTACCGCGATGTGGAGCTTGGTTGCAGAGCAAGCGTTTGCACTGAATGGTACAGAGAAGTTCTCGTTGTGTGTTCCCGGCAGCACGAACCAGCCCAGCAGCTTGAGCGGCAACCAGACGCTATTCCAAGGGGGCCAGCCATCCAATGTCACGGGGTACAACCCAGAAGGACAAGAGGCCGCGCAGAGCACGTCGGAGCAGAATGCTTCTGCGTCGCTGACGTTTGCGGCTGGAAGCCTGTCAAGCATGGCCTTGGGGATCTTTTTGGCTGTGATTGCAGCGTCGGCCAACTTGATTATCTAGCCACGGCGGTTTTTCTTGGACTGTGGTTTCCCGCAGATGTCTTATATATAATAGCTTCCAACATGAAATTCACGCACCTGAACCGCACAGCTGTCTTCGCAACTAGAGGTCGTGGTCTCGAAAGCAGCGATCCGCCATCGCGTCCTAGTGTGCGACATGGGGTTAAAATGCAAGGCCCCGCTGCCATCCATGTCTTCGCAGTCCTCGGTAACAGCACCGAGACTTCCATCAACCCGAATCGCCGTTCCACGGACCCCAAGTCGAGGATGCCACGCAGCGCGATGGTCGTCAAACTAGTCCATATCAAGGCCATGGTTCAAATATGGATTAGTTACTTCTCGCTTGGTTCGAGGGGATCAGATCTGTGGCGTCTCATCCCCTTCAAAGGATCCTATCCTCCCCAAATACGAAAGGTCAAAGGTTATAAGAAGTTCCCAGGGTCCGCAGTCATCAGTCCATCTCACCTCCGTGCACCTGTCGAAAATGTACCACGAATCGATAGATATATAGCTCGGGGCCGGCCGGCGGAGGACATCCATCCATCTTCCCCCTCTCCTTCAGGGTTGTTCTACCGTCTACTGGGAGGATTCGGATGAACACTCCGTCTCCCACTGTGTCCACCCATCCATTGGTCCATTTCCTTTCATATCTTATCAAAAGATCAAAGGCCTATGGTACCGTCTCCTTCAGGGCTGCTGCCGCTGTCCAACAAAAAGGCCTTGCCTCGGAACCGACATGCCATTCAGCAGATCTGATATACCCCCCTGGTTAGCGAGACAATGTCATCTTCTCGTACTATTCCTGTTGGGTGACAGGTAACATTGCTGGTGCTGGCGGGCCGAGCTTTGTCAGCTTTCCTCAGACCACAGTCCTTCGCGCGAGACGACGACAAGCCTCGCACGAGAACATTTTCCCACAGCCAGCCCAGCGGAAACCCACAACACAAAACGAAACCGGGACCCCGTGTCTATGCTACCATACGTTACGAGTAATCGGTACGAGGGTCAATCTCCTCCCCGCCTAGCGCCTTCCCCCCGGGAAATCATGCACCAGATTCGACCGTCATCCATCATGCGAGCGTTGATCGATCCCGCAGGGCCGGAGGAGTCCGCGGGGCTTAACAGCTCGAGTTTCGACCTCAATGCCTTTTACAACCTCAAGCAATACATAAGCATCTTGGACCCTTGACCTTCCGCCCACGTCTGGGCTCCTCGCCGCATGATTCGTCTGCTATACTGAGCCGAGATCTCCAAGGCGCCGAGTGAGGTGAGGTTATTGCAGACAATACCACTAGTAACGTCGATCCTCCTCGAGCAGGGCCGGTGCGACAATTGAAAGATTACATACTCTTACTACCGCTGTTCCCTCCAAGGATCCCTGGGTGTGAGCTTCTCTTTCGTGGAGCGTATCGACACTCCCCGCCAGCCATCGCTCACGTGTTGGATGCGCTTCATAAGCGATACTTTTATCCACCCCGTGGTACTATGTATCGAAGCACTTAGCAACCCCCAGCCTTAAACTCGAAGTCGAAAACATCTTTTCTGCGAAGTCTTCAAAGACTTCCATCGTCAAGGACCACGAGAGATCGGCTCAAGATCCGCCCCTTTTCCACGCCCTTATTCCGACACTCACCCATGGCGTTACCGACTACAGACACCACCAAGCGCACGACCTTGGCCTGCAATCATTGTCGCCTCAAAAGACAAAAGGTACATTATGAGTCTCATTGGCGCCCCTTTCCGTTATTCCTCTTTCTCCTCCTTTTTTTTGGTCTGTGCTTAGACTAACCGAGTCTTGTCTACCAGTGTGATGGCAATAAGTAAGTGTACTGCTAGAATTGGGGCTGGGGAGTCTATTTGATGTCTTTTTGGTGTTTTCCTTCCTTGCAAGCCAAGGGGTGCCTTTCGAGGCTGCCTGTCCGCGTGCAATTTTTGCCCCGGGGGAAAAGTCGCAAGCAGCGGCTGTGTCTCGCTTCGCGTGGATCTACTCGCTCCGTCCTCCAATTTTTGCAGAAACCATCCCTTGCATCCTGCGCGATTCCCGAGCTTTTGAGGAGTGGGCAGAATCGCTAACCTCGGGGAAACCTTGCAGGTCTGGGTGTTCGCAATGCGCCGCCCTGCGAGTCCTTTGCACCTTTCCGGACGCGAAGAAAAGGTAAGCCGTGGGGCAAGTGTGGTGTTTCAATCTTCCTTTTCTACCACGACGGAGGTGGGAGCTTTCCGAACGCATTTGCTCAACCTGGAGATTCCACTGGCAACACCGTTTTTGATTGCAAACTCGAGTTTGTTGAAAATGCTGACGCCCTTTTTTTTCTGTTTGGCACAGAGGTCCGGTAAAAGGCTACATCGACGTGCTGGAAGGCCGACTGTTCGAGCTCGAGTCGGCCCTGCTGCAGGTCCTGCCGCTGGTGTCCAACGAACAGCTCGACGAGATCACGGCCTCGATCCCGCCCGTCCCCAGCCGCCCGCATTTCAGGGCCCGGTTTAGCCAGCCCGTCGACACCAGCGGCGGCGAGGCGTCGTCGCCGCAGAACCTCGTCGCGGCGCCGCCTCCTGCGGAGATTGTATTCCACCAAGGCCGCCAACAACAGCCGCGACAAGGAGGGAGACTTCGACAGCATCAGCCATCTCAGCTCGTCATCTCAACGGGTGATGGACAACGCTCATTTCCCCTCCAGCATAACCAACAGGACCCGAAACAGATGCTGTCCAGTCCGTGGCAGCAACAGCACCACCACCACCACCACGACGGCCACCTTCCGCCATCTCCGCCCGAGCTGGGCCCTTTCAATGAAGGCCTATGGCCACTACCGCCGCCTCTGCTCATCCCCGGAGATCCCACTTCCGCCTCGCGACAACACGACCACCACCACCACCACCACCACCCGTTCCTCGCCTCCCCGACAAGACACAGCTTTGGGGGTGGTGGATTAGCTCATTCCTCCGAGTTCGATTTCATGCCCGAGTTTGACCAAACCACCTGTGGCAGCAGCGGCACCAGCAGCGCCGGCGGTTGCGCAAGAGAGACCATCATGGTCTCAGCACGTGGGTTTTAAGTCGAGGGAAGGAAACCCGCCATCACCCGCAAAGAAAGAACTTATCCGAGAAAAAAAAAAACAAAAGGACCAATGCCCTTCGGCCGGTGTCTCTTATCGTGGACAGATTTTCTCCGTGGGGAGGTTCAGATCGCAGCTTTTTCCGGCTTTCGAACAATTTCAAAATACATTAGAGAAACCCCAACCAAGAAAAGGCGGCAGGTGAGGTTTTTCTTCCCGTGCCCACGCTCGCCTACTCTATTTCCTGGGGGTTAGGGAATCGATGATGGTATTTGGTCCCGATTGCGATGGGTCAAATTGGATGATTTGAATGGATGGATTGGGTCAAGGGGAAAGCAAAGAAACAAAATTATAATCGTTCCCTTTGTGGCGCGTCTGATCTGATCTGGTGTGAACCTGGTCTACTGCCCTTTGGGATAGAAATGGGTTGGGTTGGGTTGGATTGGATTAGAGGCTATTCTGATTCCATATGACGCCTGGATGATCAAGGCGGTGGGAAAGAAATTGGTCGATTTCTTGCATTAAGCGTGGGCGGGAAAAAATTCGACTCCTCTCGCACGTCCCTCGCCTCCCCTCGAGTGTTTCTAACCAAGACCTAGAATTGCGAAAGGGGAAAAAAGCAGGATTGTCTATTTTCGCGAAAGACCAGATCTCCCTGCGCTCCGCACATATATAAATACCTCCCTCCCTCTCTCCCTACCTATGAATTGTACATGGTGCCTCTGGGACTCAGAACCAGCTTGATCGGGGGATGCATGTCAAGACACTCAAACAGCAAACCAGTCTGTCGGATCGTCACTCACTTGCCCATGCCAGGCCCCCTTTTGCCTCCCACTTCCGTCTGCTCAAAAAGCCATGCACGATAGGCGCTGTGCAGGGCAGCCAGCGGGATCTGCTGGGTCCCGAGTGGATGACAGATAGGGAACTTGTTTCCCTCAGCAAAAATATAAGAACAACACCCCCTCCTCACTCTCCTCACTCTCTGGATCGGCTTCTTCCCTTTTGCGGCTATACAAGGACAACATCTCCTCACTCTCTCCACACTCTCTTGGCCGGTTTGATTGAGTGATCGGGCTTATCAATTTCTCACATAAGGAAATTCAATGCGCGTGCCCCAAGACTCCACGAAGCTTTCATCAGCGTCCTGGCCTCATTAAATTTGTGTTTACTCGTGCTCTCTTCTGCTCTCCTCGTTCCTACTCTTGTTGATATTCCTGGTGCGTAAAACTACACCTATCTCCCGGCCATAACATCCAGAAAGAAGGAGCGCGGACGCGTTGCTGCGGTGGCTGTTTGCGGCTGTTTGTTTCGGCAGCTCGTTCGTTCACGGATGGGATAGCAGCAGCGCGTGGGCCCTGCTTCTGTCTTCCTCTCAGGTTCGTCGTCGAGGGGTTCGCTTCCTCAGCGTTATGCTAGGTGTCAGCATGGACCCGCCATATCCTGCACAATGCACAAGAGACGAGACGCGTGCCTCTCATAGTAACCCAGAAGCAATTTGGGGAATTGGTGGTACTCGAGATGCCTCAACACCTGGAGATGGACATCTATTTCCTCCTTCACTCAACAAGGAACGGCGCCAGATCGAAGGACTTTGTCAAGCCTGCGACATGTCTTGATGCGGTATGGCCATGCGAGAAAAAGAGCCGACGCTAGACAGTCCCTCAGGTCCAATGACGGAACTGATATCAACGGCTCTTACTCAGCACTCGGGGTCCAAGCGAAGCCACTGCGTGGGCGTCGAGCCAATAATGCGCTTCTTACCAGATTCCCAGCATCTTTGAAGCGGAGAAGACGAACCTCATCGTGGGCTCCCACCATACCTCAATCTTTGCGACAGCGCATCCAACGTTATATGGTGCACAACTCCAAGAGTGGCAATGGCACCCCTTGGAAGCGAGTCGACAGACGAGAAGAAGGCACTTCGGTCGAATTTCCTGTGGGTAGGCTCGAGCAGTGGCAATTCCGAACCCACCGGCCATGTTTACGCAAAAGTGGTCCGGAGCCATGTCCAACGGTGGTCAAAGACACATCCTGGCGCAAAAAGGCAGCGCAGTGGACTTTCAATCGACAGGAAACGGAAAGCCGCTCCAAAGGTTCGGCCTGTGCAACCTCGGTCATCAATGCTCCCTGCCAAAGCCCAGGAGTCGCCATCGAGTGCACGTCGGTCCACTCATTTTGCTGCGGCGCCAATGACGCCAGTGTCTAGTCAAGAGACTCCGGTCGAACTAGAGGATCTAGATGCGATGCAGGTAAAGAACAAGAGTGCGACAGAAGATGTGTCCCCGGGCACAGGACATCCTAAGGATCACCGTCCCGGCACCGCAATACTCCAAGATAAGGAAGAGGCCGGCGAAGCCAAAGGCACCATTGTGACAGCCACATGGAGAGATGACCAACGATGGCAGGAGACCATCCAGATTCGCATTCAGCAGACCGTGCGGCTCTGGCACTCAATCGCACCTACGTTGTCCGCAACCCTCGACTTAGATAGAGTGGAGAAAATGGTTCGATGCCACCACATGACCTTCTCGACGGTCTGCTCCGTGAAGAAAGCCGCAAGCACCCGAGAGTCACAGGAAGAAGCTCTGATATTCGAGCGGCTAATGAAGAAAGGTTGCAGAGCCTTGGTGGCGAACAGAGTGAACGAAGCTTTCGTGCTGTTTGACGAGGCTTTTTCCTACCTGAAGCCAGTTTTAATCTTGCAAAATATTCGGGGGCAGCCAGTGTTGTGCCGTCTTATCGCTCAGTACTCTGGACCGCTCTTTATGCCCCTCTGGCACCGAGTCTTCCAGCACATCATCGAGCTCGCCGAAGTGTTGATCAGTCCGGAGAACCCCTTCGGACAGAGTGCGGATTTGTTTATACGATCCCCAGTCCCGTTGACCGAAGCGTCAGAAATGGTCCTTCGCTGTATCCTCGACGTGGTGCAGATGCAACTGGGACCATTGCATCCAGATGCTCTGGATTCCCTGGAATGCCTAGCTTGGACTTTGTTCGAAAGGGGTCGTGGAGAGGAAGCTCTAAGTCGCTTCCTCGAGCTGCTACAGAATCAGGAAGCCGCCAGGGGACCCATGTCTCCAGAAGCATGCGAGGCCCTTCGCGGACTCGCCGAGACGCATTTGCAGCTGGGTGACCTCGACGCAGCTGAGCACTTGATTGATGAGATACTTGGTTGGCGAAGCGCAGGGGCGGCCAGGGGAAGCCCGCAGGTGTCGGCTGTCAGAGTCAAGTGCTTACTCTCGTTGTCTCGTGTGGCCCAGCAACGGCAGAATCCATTTCGTGCTCGCTGGCTGCTGGAGCAAGCGGCTCAAACGGCTTCCGTGGCGTCCAGCGGTGGTGGCCAGACGGCTGCAGATGTTTGCCTCGACAGAAAACCCTCAGAACTTGATCCACTGGACGAAGTCAAAGAAGAAGTTCAAAGGTTGCTGGACGCCATGGAGTCATGGTCAATTGATTGATTGACCGATTGAAATGAACGAATCAAGCCCACTCAAGAGACCAAGGCAGAAGGTTAATGTTTCGCGCCCGCCAACAGGGACCACAGACTCTCGCGTCGAGGTGGTCGAAATCTTCCGCCATGTGTTGACCTGACCCAACGTCTTTGACCATCCCGGTCATGCGGTACCAATTTTGCTCGGAGTCCCTTTCCGGACCCGAGTTGCGGGAAGTAAACAAGCGAAGGGGCGAGGCAGACAACAGGCCGTAGTGGTGTGATTCTAGGTAGAAGTGACAGCTCCACGCATCAATATACCTAGGAACAGGGATGGTAAGGGTCTGGAAAAAAGGCGGGTCTGTACCTGGCGAGCTGGCAGGGCTGTGTGAAACCGTTGGGGAGACGCATCAGTATGACACCTGCAGTCTGCATGTGACATTGCGGTATATTAGGGTGGTCCCCTGGGCCTCATTCGCCATGGATCACATCCACAAAATGTCCGAGTACAAGATGCAGGGCAGGGTAAAGAAAGCAAGTCGAAAAGTCTAGGGCGCATGCTGCACGGTCGCTGCAAGGTCGCTGGTTGTTGACGGCGTAACAGAAAGCAAAGGATGGCCAGGGGGCAGCTCGGGGGTCGGCAGGCCCCAGGCACCAGGCACCAGGCCCCAGGGCCCAGGGGCACACAGGCAGTGACACGCTACAGCTCGACGGCCACTAGCCCTCAACGTCATAGCAGTAGCTGGTCATTAGCAGCTGTCTCGACCTTCCACCTCAGGTTCTCGCCTCGTCTGGACCAACACCACACTCACTTTGACTTCATAATGTTCGCCCACTTCTATCACTACAAGTACTATTACTACCACCATCTCCTCCACCACAGCAACAAAGTTTCTTTGCTCGCGTATCCTTTCCCAGCATACAAGTTAACTACGGAGTCCCCGGTAAGAGGGTTCAGGGCGAGGGCCACAAGGCCAACGGCCGCAGCTGCTAGGCTAACGGTGCCCCTCTCCCCTCTATCCTTCTCCTTTTCTTTTTGCGTGACCGCTCATCGAGACGAGCAGCGAAATGCTTGCGAGCTTCCCATATGCGAGCGACTACGGCCCCGACAGCCATGTTCCCCCACCCCGAAGGAGTCAGCAGGGTAATTGGGACGAAGAAGAAAAGGGAGGACACCCTGTGAAAAAGGCCAGAACCACTTATTGTGAGATTCATCAAGCACATGCCTGTTACCCATACTACACGAGGGGCTCTTTACGTACTTGACGGTGAGAGTGCAGTACCTCGTACAGCAGAGAGAAAGCCGCAAAAGCAAATATCAAGCTACTTTAGCTTCTTATAAGGTACCTCTACAGAGCAAGCTAGTAAGCTATTCTCGTATCTTTCTGCAGTTCGCCTGAGAGACCGCTGCAAGGATTGTAGAATCCTTCCGCATGTGCCCAAGAGTCCACCCAAGGTTGGTATGGAGTAGTCATTCACCGACACCTGTCTACACTTGTGGCTTTGCCAACCTTCTTCAAACTCTGCCATCCCGTGGAAAGATCGGAGACGATCTTGTCCAAGTCGAATTTTTGTTTACCTCATAGAGATTTTTGGGCCAGTGTGCCTTGCGGCCGACCGACCGCCTCATTTTCCTCCCGCGCCAGAACCTCTTCTTTTTTGTATCTTGAGCCCGTCCCCAACCATATCACCCTAGAATTGACACCCCCTAAAGTAAATTCGTCCTTCTGAAATATTCGTATTGAATCATAATCGTTCATGGTGTTTTGTGAAGACACCCAATCATTAAATCGTAAATAAAGTCTGGCGGAAATAAACCCGTGAATAGTCGAACAAAACAACCGTAGCTGAGCCCGAGATATTCCAAGTATACATCATGGCCTGCTGTTGACAAGCAGCCATCAGGTGGCGACGTTGGTAGGGAATAGAGAATAGGAAACGCGGGTGTTACGTCGAGGTCGAGAAGATGCAGTGGTGGCTCGTTTACGGCCGAGTTGAGCCTTCGTGAGTTCGACTCCTGGCATCGACGACTTTCTCTCAGGCACGGGAATCTGAGACGCAGAAACACCCCGGTCATGCCTGATTGTCGGAGATGTAGTGAACGGTCCAATAGGTTCAATGACTTGGGATTCTGTCGTCTTGCTGCTCTGCGATCCTTCCCGTATCGTGTCTTGGCTCCCTTCTCGGAAGTGCTTTTCTACACTGGCTCCGAAATCTTGAAGATCGAGCTTGAGGCTTTCCACCGAGTTCCCGAAACTTGCTAGATGGGCGAGATCCGAAATACTCGTGCTGGAATTTGACGACCTGTGTGTGCCGAAAATTGAGGCAATAATGCTTTCTTGAGAGCTCGATTTGCTCATCGTGGAGACGGGACTGCGCATAGCCCGAGTGCGAAAAGGGTCTGTTGAGGCAAAATTGTCCTGAGGTTGGTGGAGATCACTGACTGCTGCTTCATCCAAGGAGACAGTGGGGACAGCCTTCGGAGACTCAATTCCCAGCCCAAGGAGTGGGGACGATGGTTCCTGGTCGAGCTGGCGACAAGGGCCACTGTCATCTCGGGGAGGGTTGCTGGGTATTTGCATTGTCAACGGAGTCGAAGCAGAGGAAGATGCTTCGTCGAGGGATGGCTGCTCCACCACCAAATAATTCTCCGCAGGTATGCTCAAAGCCCTGGGATGATCGAGGATTCCAGCTGAAGCGTTGTCGCCACCGTCATCCTCCAACTCTGCGGCATGTTCCCACGAATAATCAATGGCATCCTCCCAATCTTCAATATCGATAGGTTTCACCGCAATAGAGAATCGATTCTTGGATTTGGGACTTGCCTCCCCTCCCATATCTTCCAAGCCGGTCGTTTCTCGATTCGACGAGCCATTCGGCAAGATGTAGGAAACAGTGCCGAAATGAATTTCACCGGACGATTGACTTCGCCGCTTACGTTGTTTGGCCGAAGGTGAAGCGAGGACGTCCGCAATTGGTGGTTGGACGGGCAATCGTACCGCCTCTGCGATGACTTTCTCCTCAGTGTTCTCCTCTTCAACGACCTCCATTAATGTCCTTGGAGGCGACGGCAGAGGAGCAGTACGGAGTGGGAGGGCAATGTCGTCCCTAGTGGAAACAGCGTGGACAACTTGGTCATTTGGCAAGTGTGGGAGCGGCTTAGCGAGGGCTCTGGCATGGCTGATAGGGCTCATGGCAGACAACCTTCTACCATTATCCGAGGAAGGAGAGATATCAACGGCAGCCACGGACAGCCTCGTTGGTCGAGAGAAATTCTCCATGGAGCGAGACAGCCGAAAGTCGGAAGGACTGTATGGCGGCACGAAGCTATCCTTAGGCGGCGGGCTTGGGCGTGTCGGGGTTGTTGGTAGGTAAGGGATGGCATTGGTAGTTGGCGAAGTTGGCTCGTCAAATCCAACGTGAATCTTTGGTTCGTCACCGTTCGCTGGAAGGTCCGTGACAGTTATCCCACGAATCTGGCCGACCGGCTGCTGGTCTGCATGGACTGCATGGAATTCTGACGTGAGGTCTGTTTTGCTAACTGAATCCAGACTCTGGAAGTGGGCTTGATCCGCGTGAGTCAAATGTTGGAAAGCAAAGGGCCCCGATATACTCCGTTTCAACCCTGCGGCTTGTTAGACATCGGCATCAATGACAGGTCAGTCAAAGGGCTTCTTACGTCTGGAGATCAGCGTGGGCTGGCGCTGAAGACCTTTTACCGGGGCGATCTCAACAGCCCTTGCTTCGGCGAGGACAACACTTGATCTGTCCTCAATCTGGGAAGGCAGCAGGTTGAGCTTACTCCCTTGCCGCTTCAACATGCGAGTGCCCTTGTTCAGCAGGGTCTTCGCAGCACTTTCTTGGCGCTCGGGCAGCGGAAGTCCACCGTCGACGAAACTCTGTCGGGAAGAAGGCCTGGAGGCCATCTCATTCGAGGCATCTGACAAAGACCGAGTATTGGCGGAGAACGATGAAGCGATAGTGTTCGTCCGCGACCTCACTCGAGCTTTTGGGGATATGTCGAGATTTCCAGACTCGACACTTGAATACTCTTTGATTAACTCGCTCAAGGCTTGACTTGACGGTTCAGCATTGTCCTTTGAAAACCAGTCACCGGCAACCACATGCAGCCTGTCGCTGCTTTGCTTGGACGATCCCTGACTCCATGGGAAGCGACCCATTTAGATCTTGGGGCTTAGGAGGTTGACAGTATCCCAAGACCAACGACACAAGTCTTCAGTGTTTCATCCACAATTGGGCAAGGTGCAAATTTATGCCCGCCTGTTCTCGTGGGTATGTCAGGGAAAGGTTGTCGTACTTTCGATTGTTCAAGTGGAAAGTCTTGCTGATATTCTGAGATAAGGGGGGAGCACTCGACAAGCAACGGGGACTAGATGGCGCACGAGCTGCCTCGAACTGATATCTCAGTTAGTCTATACTGCCATCACGTGAAACAGCCCGTCCAGCTGTCCCTCAGGATTCTCACTCTTACCCAACAATCAACATTTGAAGGCGGAGGGGTTTCAAAGTACAGCCCCACCAACAAGGTGTATCTTCAAATACCCAAGACACCCCGATCGAGTCCAAGAGCCCAGCAAATACTTGAGGGAGTCTGCTATTGAGAGCCTATCGGGCCTTTCGTTCGATGCTGCAGTGGCAGGCCAAAAAGCTGTTTTGTGAAACGGAGGAACGCGTGAAGCCAGTGATTAGGGAATTTGCAAATGTATCAAAACAAATCTTAATATGTGACACAACAAGTATCACCTAGCAAGCAACTTGGGATGGTAGCAGCACAAGCGGATGATATACAGAGCTGAGAATGAGAGACAGACGCGAACAACGAGCGGGAGACGAGATATTTGGGCCTGGTCTTACCAATTGGCAGAGCCCCGACTAGACGAAGAGTGGAGTGAGCACCGCGACCCTCGTCGTTCATGGGTCGAAGGCGTAGTCATGCAGAAGATAGAACCCAAAAGCAGGGGCGGCGAGTGGTCCAAACTGCCGGCGAGGCTTGATGGCGGGATAACGGGGTGAAGGGACCTTCTAAACCGCGGAAGGGATGGTTTGAGAGCGTAATGCTTTCGACAGACGCGACTGAGACGGCCGGCTCGAAAAGCACCCCCATGCTCGCAAAGGCAGGAAGCAGCAAGCAGGGGACATGGGGAAACGTTGCGCTATGGTGGAGGTGTGAAGGAGCAGGCGAGGAGATTTGATGGGGCCATGTTCCCGTCAGGAACAGGTGGATTCTGCGGTGACTTTTCAGTGGGTCGAATTCGCTGCATGGCGGAAGCCACAACCCGGGACCTTTTACTCGGAACCAGGGGGTTTTTGACTTTGTAACCAGGATGTTGGTAGTGCGTGCTACTTGTGCATCGGCGTCATCCTCCGGGGCCCAGATTGGCTAGCCCACTATCGTGTCATTTGCGGAACTTAGGTATTCTTTTCCTGCGTACCCCTGGCTTTTTCAATAATAACAATTGCCCGTGGCTTGAAGCGCGCGTTCGCTGGCAATTGCCGCGGCCGAGCAGGGAGAGGAGGAAGACGGTAGCAATGTAATGTGCATGTGTCAGGACGCACAAAGGAGTCCCCAAGATCTCGTGTTGATCTTGAGGATGACGAATCGTGGGAAACCAGATCCAAGGGCCACCCCAACGTGTCCCTTGAATTCCACGTAGCGAGAGGAAGCCTTGTTGACAAGACGCTGAAGAGGCCTGACCACAGTGACCAGAGCTCCGGCGGTCCTCGGCGTCATGAGCTATGTTTGATCGACATTCGACCGAGTCAGACAGAGCGATATCTGCCGCAGTCAGCAGTGGCTTTGACAAAAGAATGGCTGGTGGACTGGGCTGGGGGCTTGATGAAACGGGTCTTGGGCACGCTAAGCGATGAGGCAGACTGGGCAGAAGACCTCCTTTCCTGAGAAGGGTGGGAAATGGGTACCTAGGTATCTAGGGGAGAATTCGGCGAGAAGGTGGGTAGAAGGTTCTGTGCGAAGAGAAAGAGAAAACTAGCGAGGTGAGCATGCACTGCATGTCGGGAGAAACGGAATTCATCTGCGCAGAAACAGTGGGAACATTGGGAACAATGGGAAGAAGATCCATGACCGACTAGGACAGAGATCTACTCAACGGTCCATACTATATTAGGCTAGGGGCTGTGTTGGCGCCAGATGGTTCTCCGCCTAGTGATATTAGCGTGACGCAGGCTGCATCTTCAAGTCCTCCTCATCCATCACAGGCGCCAGACCGGATTTTGCAACCTGTCTCACGCTCTCGTGCTCTTCGACGGCTTCGACAAGGCCAGGTGCTCGTACATCGTCTTTCCCTATGACTTCCGACTCGTTATTGATATACCTAGTATGGAGCAACGGGTCATTTTTCAAAGTACGAGTCATATTTGGACCTGAATGAGCTCTTTCGCCTCTGTCTTTCATGAAAAAAGACATTCGGATCACCAAGTTCGGAATACGAGGGTTGCAGAGACGAGCTCCATGAGACTTGAAGCTGCTTCACGGACATCGAAAAGTCTAACATGTAGCATCAGGACTGACCTCGCTGTCTTGGACGGGAAATTCCATCTGCGGCTCTTCTCTTCCGAACATGGACGTCTGCTCCGTGCTGGTTCTGATGGAGCGCCGACTGTCCTTTGGTATAGCTTTTGGGACACATATCAGTCCTCCGTATTGTCTATGGAGTAGCCTCTGGGGGCCACCGCGCTTGAAGGGAGAAGGTTTTCCCATCAATATCAGGCCTAACCGATCATCAAGGTTGAACCTCCTGCAGTCATCTGGGGACCGACATTCGCTAGGTTTATGCCGGAGATGGTACCTCGGAAGTTGATCAAGTCATTGTGAACATATAGAGCTTGAAAATCAAAAGCCAATATTCGTTGAACAAGAACAGGAGATGGGAGCAAGAGGGAAGAGGCAGAGTTTTCATTTTGTCTCGGCGGGTGACGGGTGACGATCCCCCTGTGTGAAGTACACCGTACGAATACAGTTTCACGTCCCTTCAAGGATGCTTCTCTCGATGTACCGAGTACTTAGCGTGTAGATGAGCTGGCGGGTGAAGACTCTGTCCAAGTTAAGATCGACAGAAGCTGTGGTCTTCGAAAGGCGCTTGTGCGTCTCTGCGTATGTGACGAAGTCGAAAGCCCCGTCGTCTACGCGTCGAGGCGTATAGCTCGTGAGGCTTCTTGGAACAAATAATCGAACCAGCCACCAGCAATTCAGACCAGATGTCAATTTCGGGCCCCAGAGTCTCTATCATCCGGTCTCTTGCTCTCACGCGTTCTACGGTTGACGACTTTCAGTCACACAGCTCGCCGATCTGCTCAACTGCGCTATCTCGAACTTGAAGCGAGGGAGAAATTAACCGACGAGCAAAATACTGTCCTCGGCACGAACAAGAGCTGTGATGGCTAAAAGCCGTTCCCCTTCTTTGGCTGAGGTGAAGCCACTGGCCTCTGGGCGGTTGCAGCTTATCAGTCACACCAAGCAGGCCTTGGACCTCGCCGCGTGCTGATGCCATTGTAAGTAAAGTCTCTGGTGACAATGGGATGCGGGCACCGCAGATGTTCAGCCAGCTTCTAAGGGCCGTCAACAATAGTCGCGGGCCTTCTCATCACAAGGGACTAAGTCATCGACTTGGACGCAAGGCGCTTCCTTTCAACCAACCGGAAAATATCACCTCCCTCCTCGTCCCCTGTTTGGGGTTGCCTCCAAGTATTACAACACACACCCTTCAGAACTGGAAAAGCTAACCGGCCCGCCCTGAGTGCCCCTGTGCCCCTCACTCCTTCGGGCTTCGCTTATCGCTCTCGCTTCCTTACAATCAGCCTGTCTGATGAAACTCGAAGAGCTGGGAATTGAGAAAGAGGAGGCATTGATCAGCTACAATGAACGTGATCCAGCCACATTTACCAGGAAGACTCGAGAGGTGAAGACAGATTAGAGGTTTGGCTGGAGTGATCGTGCCCGACAAGAATCCGACGCGTCTGCGCCCACAATCTTCGCAGCCCATTGGTGGCGTTAAGGAGAGGCTTGAAGCGGGCTGTCTGCACGTTCACCTAGGGTATTCACCCACGAACACGAGCCTGCAGGGCGTCAGGGACCTGTTGCTTTGTTCATCAATAGCACAATCATGCTTTCTCGGCTGTCTCAGGGTCTCCATGTAGAGATTCCAACTCCCAAGGCTCGGAGCATGAGGGGCTCGTATCCCCAACCTAAAGTCAGAGACCAAATTCGCACAATGGGCGCCTTCAAGGGCATATGAGAGTCTGAGATGACATCTGCACCATCAACAACTTCACGGAAGACGACCACCACTTATCGCCTTTTGAGGAAACGATCTATGGAACCCGACTGAGTCTGGACAGCACCTTTGTGTTGGCCTGGAGTGCAGCATCACAACTCAGCACTATGAGAGAGCAGCAATAGCAATGGAGTTCGCTATTACTGAGTCTCGACTCAACATTACCACCGTCAAAGCACATTGGCCTCTCTCGCCGTTAGCACTTCGACAGCAGAGGTATCCCGGAGCGAGCCAACGAGAGCCTTCTCTTCTTACCACAGGAGCTCCACGAGGCGGAAGACTTACTAGCTCCCCCTCGTAGCTTGCTTGCCAGGGTATTTCGCATATTGTAGCGCACGAAGCTCCAGTCGACCACATGGCAGCGCCCACTGCGCCCTACGGAGTATGTATCCCAAACCTTGTTAAGCTGGTACGTGACCAGATAAACCCGCTTGCAGGAATGGCGCAGCTTCCCCCTGACAGAAGGCTTCAGGCATCCAGGCACTTTCGCCTTTAGCCTGCAAATATCCAATTCGTTTGCCGCGTGCTCTCCACGGTCGAAGTCCGGACAGACCGGGATACCAGGAGTTGAGGGCTCTGAACAGAGCCAAATTCTTCGGGCTCACCAGGCCGCGAACGCCCATCTCCAGTAGCCATCTTGATGCTCTACCAAGCGGTGAAGATTTGTACGATGGGCCTCTTCTTGACTCCTTCTGGTACAATCAGAGGTCCGATCTCTTGTTACATCTATTAAAGACACGTCTGCTGCCTCATCAATTGCTTCTCTGCCACTCAAGCCCCAGCAATTTTTGATTGTATTGGTGGCTTCAATAATCACTTCAGACTTCAGCCACTTCTGCATACAGGCTGCAGGCGAGATCAGCAGCCCGGCAAACAGCCAAAACCCACTTGCGAACTTTGTGGACGAGAAAAGCTCTTGCTACATGCAAGGCCATTTGAATCTGGACGCTCCTGGGCGCTCTGTTCATGCCCACGACGCGCGATATGGCGCCTTTCTTTTTGGATCAGCTATTCCCATCTGCTCCAAGCGTAACGCTGATTGCCGTGGCTTCTCCATAACTGCTCGTCCAGCTTCTCGTACGGAGTCTCGTGCCGTGCGTGCTCAATAGTTCGTCGCGTTCAACAACCTGGACTATTACTACTACAGTCTACTGGGGACTCCATAGAACGCGTCAATGCCAGGATCAAGAAATCTTCATGGAACGGGAGTATGGAGAACAAGTATTCCGTGACTTGTTTTGTCATGTCCACAAAATGGACACGCTCTCTGTTCCTGATCTTTCGCCTAGATGGTTTCAGCTCTCTTCACGCCACTGGTCTCTGCATCGCCAGAGGTGTTCTCGGCATCCCAGCAGCCCTATGGCGGCCCCGACAGCTTGGGGAACACAGGGGCAAGGCCTCGGGGATTTTTGCTTGAGGATTTTTCTGTGCGTTGATCTTTCTTTACCGAGACTTCAGCGGACATCCACCCGTAAGGAGGCCCAAGCGGACACCTCCACTTCCGGGAAGTCAACTATTGGTGTTCCTGATTCTCTGTCTACTCTAGCCAGGAACATCCCTCGGCATCATCCCCAGCCTGCCCCTCGGATTCAATAAATGATTTCGACCATAACGTTCAAGGGGGATTGATTATTAGGTGCTTACAGACAATCGTCAGGGGAGGATATAATCTCCCTTCTCAGAGTACTTGTACACCTTACAGCTTTACTGGCCTGCTTGGAACAGAATTCGATTGAGCCTTGAGCCTCTCCTGCTCTTACAAAGGTATTCCCTATGGCGGTGGACACTTCGACGCCGAGACTGACGCGCCAGCCAACGCATGCCCGTTGCTGCCCCATCCAATGAAGGGAGGAGTAGACATTTGACATCCGTCAAAGTTCTTGTCATCTGTGTTCGCGGTCACGACTTCGGTTTCACCCTGAAGACTGGGGCCGGTCTCGTCGCGGTTTGGCCAAGCAGGGATATGGCTGCAAAGACGAGTCCCCATACTCATCCCTTTCCCTTTTGCTGATCTTTACTGCATCATGATGTCTGCTTGTCCACATTTCCTTTCCTTTTACGCTACTGTTTGGAAGAATTCTCCAGCTTCGGGGACCTCGTGAGTGTCGGATGATGCAGGTTGCCTTACCAGCTGTCTCACTTCACAGCAACCCACAATTGATCAAGACATCGGCCAGAAGGAAATTTCTGCAAAGGTCGTTGATCAGTCTAATGGCGGTGGGATGTCCCTTGACATATCAGTGGATCTTACTGCGCGTCTTCCCACTCGCAATAGGTATCCATGAAGACACAGCCCATGAGGAACTACTCATCAAGACCCAGAGGACTGAATTCCCCGTCCGAGAATTTCTCTCTCAAGGAGATAAATCGGTATACAGAGCCAGAAGAAAAGGTTTACCGACATCGGTCTTGGAAGGTAGAGGACAATGCCCCTGACGCTGGATACATCTGATGCGGGACGGTCAACCAAACAATGTCATGTTACCAGCCTCAATTGCCTTTCGCTCTCCTTCACTCATGCCTGGATTGAGGTCCCACATCTTTTGGCCCAGCCCCATAGCACGCTTCCCTGCATCGTTGACTTGATCCCAGGCCACAGCTCCAACAAATCCAACTTCACCATCACCACCAGCACCTGGGAAATCTGGTGGGGGACTGTATGCCAACGCACTCATCCGTTGTCTCTTCAAGAACTCGAGATTCGGTCGGGTGATTGCACATGCAGGAATGTACATGACGCTGCTGTCGTTCTTTCCATGGTGCTCCCGGTCTACGGCGTGGATCTGGGGGACCAGTGTCAGCCTTTCCACGACCATGAAAAAATGGGGAGATTTGTGGTGGCGTTGATACTTCGCCAGAAATGGAAAACGTCTTTCGAATAAGATGAGGCCTTACCATGTCACAGTGCCAGGCGACATAATCACCTGGTTCAACTTTGGGCATGCTCACCATGGTGGTGTCAAGCTCGAGGCCTGGGTGAGACAACGGATCATATTCCTGACATGCGGCTGGTACAGAGTTTGGAAATGTGGCATCCAGATTCAGCTTGCCTGTCTGGAGATTGATGAATGGTCTCAATATCAGGTAAGACGTTGCATGTCGGATCAAGGGGCAAACTTTCAGGGTGCCTTCACCAGGCCCTGTTGAAGACATGGACAGCCAGCCCTGGAACAGGCGGAACATGCTGCATGCGCCCGCCCCATTGTACAGGTCCATCTTGGCTTCGATGCGGTGCCGCGCGTCGAAAGGATCATACTCTTCCCACTGACCCTGTAGGATGGTCTGATACACTCGAGCATACTCGGGATCTTCCCAGCGCTCGAGACTTCCTCCATCAGTGTGTGGGCCTAGAGAGAACTTTGCATCGCCCGGTTGTCGAATGCGAAACCGGTCAGCGTATGTCAGAGGGTAGGTCGTAGATATCTCTGAGTTCGGGTCAGAGGAGTGCCAGAAAGAGGCCAGAAAAGATTGTGCTTTCAGCATATTTGGATGAGCGCGTGCCTGGACTTGGGAGGGAGTCCAATACAACTCGTACACAGCAGGGTCGTCTGGAGGAAAGGCCCTGACTTTGGATCGATTTGCAGCGATATACTCCTTGGCTTGCCGTTTGAGATCCAGCGCCTGTTCTCGTGGGAGAACATTGCGAATGACTGCAGTGCCGCGATGCCTGATGGCGTCAAGCTGTGATTGAGGGACAGTCCCGGCAACCACATCCTGGAACGAGATGCTCGGTATGACCTGGGCCCAGCCGTTAGCCATTGCAGATGGCCGAAGGTGGTATCGATGGGACCGACATTACTGCCTTCTGACTTGATGTCTGCGATCTCCCGCTGCAGACTCTTCGACAGCCGTTGCCAAGACGCTGTTATGGCATCTTCATTGTCTTTGATCAACGTCTTCTTCAGAGCACTGAAGCGTGGCGGCAGAGGATCAGGCTTCTTGCCAGAAAGTGAGGGAAACACAGAGCTGATGTCACCAGGCTCTTTGGCCAACGTGGATGCGGCACGGCGCAACGCAACGGCAAGATGATTCTTCATGGTCTCTGCACACTGGAGGACGAGCCGAATATCTTCTGGACTCGGTCTCCTCTGTTCTTTGCTCTCTGCTCAGTTCCATCGTCTGAATTTATCCTTCATCATTCCGCGAGAGCAACCGGATGCGCTTCCCAACCAGGCGTAGCGTCAAATGACCCAAAGGCCTCGTATTTCTCGGAGGCAAAGTCGCCATGCAACCAACGCTGCGCCATACCTGAAGATCATAACCTCGGGCAAACTGCGCCCGAGAAGTCTCATCCCTCATTCCGTCGTGAGGGGACTCGGGGAGAGCTGCTGTAGGATGAGGCGCCCCATACACGAAGCCAATGGTTCTCCCGGAGAGTCTCCTTTTGCAATGGCAACTGGCAATGCGAACTTCCTGCGTCTGCATACCGAGGCAGAAGTGCCGTATATGAAGCAATCAGGTTGGCCTGACTCCCTATAGATTTCGATTCACTCTCTGTCCCCTTAGTTCTAAAGACATCCCTAAAATGGCCCAGCAGATACAGGGAAAGACAGCGATTGTCACGGGTGCTGGCTCTGGTAGATATCAACCCCAACACAACCTGACCTGCGAGGCAGGAACTAACCCGGGCGTCGACCAACAGGCATCAATCTCGAGTTTGCCCGTCTTCTTCTGGAACATGGCGCCAACGTCCTGTTTGCCGACCTTGGCCTCAGACCAGAAGCTGAGAAATTGGTCCAGAAGTATCAATCGACGGGCAACAAAGCCGTCTTCCAAAGAACTGACGTGGCTTCCTGGGCTGACCTCGAAGCCATGTTTGCAGCCGCTCAGCAGCACTTTGGATCCATCGACATTGTATGCCCGGGAGCTGGAGTGTTTGAGCCTCACTGGAGCAACTTCTGGTACCCACCCGGGACGGAGAAGTCCAAGGATGACCCAGCTGGAGGAAGGTATGCGCTGTTGGACATCAACATAACGCATCCCGTCCGTGTCACGCAGTTGGCCATTTCCCACTTTTTAGCGGCGGACCCGCCGTGCAGCACAGAAAATCCCAAGTCGATTGTTCATATCGCCAGCATTGCAGGCGAGAGCGCAAGTCTCACGTTCCCATTGTACTATGTGAGCAAACATGGGGTTCAAGCGTTGGTGCGCAGCTTGGCCGATCTGCAACATCTGCACGGGATACGTGTCAGCTGCGTGATGCCGGGGGTGGTCAAAACACCCCTGTGGACCGACCACCCGGAGAAGCTGAAGATTGTAAAACAAGAAGGGGAAGGGGCAGACATCTGGGTGACGCCAGAGGAGGTGGCTCAGGTGATGCTCGCCTTGGTCAAGGACAATGAAATTCCTAGTGTTATAGCGAGCGGGAGCACAAGCACGAATGGCGTCCACGGAGAGCAGAAGGACATGATCCAGATCAAGGGAGGCACATGTTTGGAGGTGCTTGCGGGCGCTGTGAGGGACGTGCCACTTTACAATAACATCGGGCCATATGCGACGGGAAAGCCAGGGGCGACTGTTACTGATGGTGAGAAGATATACAAGGAGGTCCTTGGGGAGCTGAAGCCGGGGTGGGGGAAGTATTGAGCCAGACGGGGTGCGAGGATAGAGGAGGAACTTGAACTCGAATGCGCTTGCAAGTATGGGCACCGAGAGTCGATCTATACACAAAGATATATATATATATATATATACGAGGCGTCCTTGTATAGAGATGGGTTGAGTGTGTGCATGTCTGGTGAGTCGTGAGTCGTGACAGGGGACAAAGGGGAAACTTCCGGGGATCTGCTGCTTTGTCCCGATTCAAGTTTGTGGCTGGACATTTTTGACGCCATCGGCAGCCATAATTGGCATCTTGATTCCTGTCCGGCTCTCGCTCTCGTGCTTCTTTGACTTCATTTTGTACCCGACGTTTCAATTCACTCATTTCCTCCTTTTTCTCACCGCTTGCTGTAGTGATATCCGCCATTTACTCCGCCATCATCTATCCGCATCTACTGTGGCTCAGTCAACTGCTTCCTGCGAAGGGCGGGAGAGATGAGCACTCCCGATCCCACGAGATAAACTGCGCCGTCCTTTGCCCTTTTGTCCACCATCATGTCTCTACCTGCGCCCGCCTCTTCGAGCAGGCAGCAGTCTCGAGTCCGCCGGTATGTCGCTTCCCCGACCTCCATTCCGATGCTGTTCCTATAACCTAACTGCTCCGCAGGCGGCCAGCCACCCCGACGCTCAGCAAACGTGATCTCAATGGCACCGTCGGTCAAGCATCATGGATCAGCAGCGTCGTCAACCTCCTCAACACGATCGTGGGCGCCGGGGTCCTCGCCATGCCTCTCGCTCTGTCACACATGGGTATCGTGCTGGGAACAATTGTGATACTGTGGGCTGGTGCCACCGCCGGGTTTGGCCTCTACCTGCAAACTCGCTGCGCCGCATATCTGGAACGAGGCTCCTCGAGTTTTTTTGCCCTGTCTCAAATCACGTACCCAAACGCCGCGGTCATCTTTGACGCTGCCATTGCGGTCAAATGCTTTGGGGTGGGCGTTAGCTATCTCATCATCATTGGCGACCTCATGCCGGGCGTCGTGCGCGGATTTGCTCGTGAAGAAGACCTGGGCCAGTTCATGTTCGACCGCCATTTCTGGGTCACGGCTTTCATGCTGGTCGTCATTCCCTTCTCCTTCCTCCGGCGACTCGACTCCTTGAAATACACTTCTGTTATCGCTCTGATATCCATTGGTTACCTGGTCATCCTGGTCGTCTACCACTTTGCCGCACACGACACCTTGCCCAATGGGCACTACCAGACGCCGCTGAGAGTATTCACATGGGCGGGTGCTATTCCGGCGCTTTCTTCCTTCCCAGTCATTGTGTTCGCCTACACATGCCATCAAAACATGTTCAGCATCCTCAACGAGATCAGCGATAATTCCCATTTCCGCACCAGCGCTGTCGTCTTCGCTTCCAACGGCACCGCTGCCGCCATCTACATTTTGGTTGCGATTACCGGTTACCTGTCTTTTGGAAACGAAATTGGAGGAAATATTGTGGCTCAATATGCGCCCTCGGTGTCCACAACGATCGGTCAAGCTATGATAGTCGTGCTCGTCATGTTCTCCTACCCTCTCCAAGTCCACCCCTGTCGAGCCAGTGTTGATGCAGTTCTCAAATGGCGTCCTTCCGATAAGCTCAAAGCGAGACTGCGTTCCACGCCCGCGACACCGAGCTCGCTCGATTCCAGCCCTCCGCGCGACGTCCCTCTGCTACAACCTGGCAGGAAGCGGAACACGGAGATGGGAGAGGCTCGCTTTGCCGCCATCACCACCGTGATCATCATCCTCAGCTACATCGTCGCCATGACCGTTTCCAGCCTCGAGGCCGTTCTGGCATACGTCGGTTCAACGGGGAGCACGTCCATTTCCTTCATCCTTCCGGGTTTGTTCTACTACAAGATATCTTCACCCGATTCTCCTCTACATCAGAAACTCGTAAAGGAGGAAGACGACTACGACTGGCAGAGGAGTGACGATCCAAGCGACGACTCTGACGACGCCGCCGGTACCGATGAACAACCGAACCACGAAGGCCAAAACCTACTCAGCAACTCGGGCATTCTGAGCCTCAGCGGCGTGAGCTTGCTGAAACGGACGAGGAATTTCCGCCGGAAGCTGCTCCGCAGGCTGAGCCTCGCGTTGGCCATCTACGGCATATGCGTCATGGTGGTGTGTTTGATCACGAATACCTTTTTCATTGTTGCGCACTGAGTGGGGTCAGAGAGAGAGAGGTAGACGGCGCGTGTGCCAGTGTTTGGAATATCCAATGTGTGAAGATTGTGCCGCGCTACAAAGCGTCGAGATGGCATACAAGGGTGGATTGTTCAATGCAATATATCCACCATATCATTGGAATAGGAGCACCTGTCTTGGATTTTCGAAGAGCAGAATAGAGTGTGTGACTTGGCCGAACGAATAAATACCCCCCCATTTTAGTTCTAAATTAGCCCGTTCTCAAGACATTTTGCTATTCTGGACACGACAATTGCACTGTTAGAAAAAAGTCCTGGCACCGAAACCCGCCCGAGTGTGATCCATCTGCGTATTTTCCTATCCCCAAGAGAGGCATCCATGGAGCGAAATTCGAGAAACGGTAACCCTCGGTACCGAGTACGAGGTACAGACCACATATCTACCTCGTATATGATCTCCTGTGGTCTGCCTTGAAAGCAGGCCGGGGCGGGGAAAAGGAGTCTTGAAGCTGAGCAGGGCGCAAAAAGAAAAAGAAATTAATCTTGTCCTGAATTCAATCTCATGATCTTGTAATTGAACTTCTGAACCACATTTGATAAGGGAAGGGGAAAAGCACACACACACACACACACAAGTGACCCTCTCTGGCAGGGCAGGGCAGGGCAGGTTGGATGTGCAAGAGAGGCTACTTTTATATCTACTTAGTAGTCATTGCAGACAGTCGACAGCGTTTGTTCTCCCAATCTCCCCATGTCTCTTGGTTGTCCTTCTGTGTGGATACTGCTTTACGAAATGTAATACTTGTTGATGCATTCTGTAGGCCTTCACTAACCCCTGCGATTGAAGCAATCTAATTAAGCCAAATAGATGAAGCCATGGGCCGGGTTGGCCTCCTCCAACATGATATTGATATCCGGCCAAGTCCAAGGAAGAAGCCGTTTTGATTCCCCAGCGTTTGACTGCGCACTGTATACTCCGTACAACTCCATCGGCTGAAAAGGAATTGAGTCTCGGTCTCATCGCCCAATAGAAGCTAGCGACATCTCCCGATCAATGCGAGTTGCATTCCCCTATAAAAGACCCTTTGCATCAGCGGTTGCACGACTCGATTCCGATCGACCATGACCGCAGAACGAATCCAACCCTTGACTTCCCCAATCCCAGCGCCTCTCCCACAACGAAATCCTCCCTACGATCTTCCACCAAAACTTAGTTATTGTTCTGAGTCGCATTCAAGATCCTCAGAATAGAGAGGAACAAGTTGAGGATGTCGAGGTAGAGGCTGATGGAGGCTGCAATCTCCTCCTCCACGTGATAGTGTCTCATGACCAGCTGGGTGTCCACGAGGATGTATCCAGAAAAGATCAAGGATGCAACCACGCCATAGATCAACTCCACCGTGGATCCGTGCGGGAAAAAGGCAGCCATGAATCCGAAAATGATCAAGATCCACAGGCCGCCAAATAGGTAGGGCATCCAGCTGGTGAAGTCGTACTTGCTCTGGCAGGCAAAGAGGGTCAAGAAGACGAAGATGGCCAGAGTGAGGACGAGGGCTTCAATGACGATGCGGCTTTCGAAAAACGATGTGATGACACTGATGCTGTACGCCTCGAGCGCAGTGAAGCCAGCCAGAAAGACCAGGTTGGTCGGGTACGACTTGCGCTTCCAGAATGTGAGGAGTAGGAATCCGATGGCCCCGAACAAGGACACCCACATCATCCACGAGTTGGACTGGATCCAGTTTCTGTAGCCCGTCGAGAAGAACGAGAGCATGGACAGGGCCGCGGTAAGGAGGAGCTGGACGGTCAGGATGGTATAGACTTTGCGGATAAAGGACATTCGGATGTCGATGGTAGCTTCGCTGACGGTGCCGCCAAACTGTACAGTGCCGTTAGTATGCAGATCATAACCTGAGAGAGAGGCTTGTAGTGTGTACCTTGAAGTCGTCCGGGACATTGTCGTCTTCTGTTCTGGGGGCGCCGAGGATGCCCTGCTCCGGGCCAGGGCCTGTAGCCTGGTAGTTCGGAGGGGCTTGAGTGTAGTTTTGTTCGTCGAACGAGTCGCGCTGAGGAGCGGGCTGGTATCTGGTGGAAGAAGCCATCTTGCGTGCTGATGAGAGGTTAACCGATAGAGTCGAGAGTAGGATGGGCAAGGGAGCGCAGGAGAGGGTGAAGATGTAGGAGAGATGTTGCGGAAGAAAGAGTGGCGTGTTTGGAGTTGAAGTTGTGACGCCTTCACCTGCGCCTGCACCTCCGCCTGCGCCCCGGCGAATGTTCCAGTCACAGGAGCCAATGATGCCTGCATGGGGTGGACGCTACAAGCACGTGTGGAGAGTCCCGCCCTTACGAATATGCGGGCACTTCCTTAATAGGCACCACCAGTACCGAAGAAGGATTCGCATCGAAGAGCCCATACAACATTCTCGGCCCTGTCGAACGAAATGATGCCGGAGTCGGTGAAAAAATAATAATACGTGGAAAGTCAAATGCAAGTCTCAAAGGCCAACAAAAGCCCCATATGTGCAGATGAGCAAAAAGACAAAACCTTAGGATTTGCGTGAACCGCGACTCGAACGCGGGCCTCGAGCATGGGAAGCTCGAATTCTACCCTTAAACTATTCACGCGTGCAACTGTTGAGAGTCTGTGCTCAATTATCTCCACAATTTGAGTAAACTCATATATAACCCGTATTTTTTTTTCAGTTGGAAAGCACCCTGCTACGTGGGCTAATCACGGAGCCATTTCCACTCCCCGGGCGAATCAACTAGCTTGCCTAGTAGGGTATTCAAACATTTTACACCCTAATTAATACTGTACCGAGCATACGTCTGGATTTCAACCTTTCTTCTTCACCTCGCTGGCAATCTCACAGATATTAACATCTGAGCCAGCCTCTATCTGCTGTAGAACGGCCCACACGTGTTCGACCTCCTGCGGTTGCTCATTTGCTGGCAATGCCACAGCCAGACGATTCAAGCTCACGCTCACATTGCACCGTTGCAGTCGTTACAAATACGTAAAAGCAAGGCTGGATGATGACATGCTTTTCCTATTTTCCCCGGTCTATCTGTCTGGAACCTTGGTTCAAGGACCTCCTTGAGCATCACCTACTTGAACAATCAACAATCGCACCAGGACTCAAAGCAAGAATACTGCAGCCCTTATTCGAGTGTCTTCTCGGTCAGGAAAATCCCATACTTCTCCTTCAACTCTTTCAGTATAGGCTCCGCCAGCTCCCACTTCAACGGCGCCAGGACCCCCTTCTCTTTGATCCTCCCGTCCAGCACCATCAAACAAGCCACTCCGCAAGGGACACCCACCAGTTTCGCCATGGAACTATATCCGTTGGGGTCACCGTAGTCACAAAGAGTGCTCGTTCTGGTCTCCTGGGTTCCGTCTTTGTGCTCAATCTCGAACCTATGTTGCAACAAGACCATGTCCCTCTCGCCCTTTTCGTACTGCATCTTCTCCTCGAGTGTGGCGCAGAGCGTGTCAAGCGGATTGCCTCGTGGCGTGATGGGTTTATCTGAGAATAGGCCCAGCCATTTGATGCCTGAGATGATGCGTTGTTTCTCGGGCGTGTCCTTGAACGTCGTCTTGGAGCTGATTGCCCACGACAGGTCGGACTCCTTGCTGCTGGTGGCGCCGATGATCTTCTGCGTCGCTTCGGCCCAGGTTAGTGGCTTTTTGTCGGCGGACGGTTTAAGGAAAGACTGCTCTTCTTCCGAAAGGAAGCCAATGTCGACCAGGACCTTGACAAACTCAGGGAAACCCTGATACCGCAGCGTACCGCGGATGACGGTCTGGGCTTCGGGGATGTTGTATTTTTCTCGGTAGGGCGTCGAGTCTCTGTTGGGATATGCAACGAACGCGAAGCCGGGGTAGACAAAGTACGGCTTTGCACTGCTCATGAGGTCCGGCCCAGAAATTTCCTTGACGGAGCCATCTTCGTAGAACTTGGCCGAGTTGCGGAGAGCAAGCAGGACCCCTCGACTTGACCAGGAGAATTTGTAGCCCAAAGGATTATCACTGGCCTCCGGGGCGGGCAGTCCACCGCAATATGATAGGAACGACTTGATCTTGCCGCCAGCCTTGTGAACCTCTTCGATTGTCTTGACCGCGTAGAGATGGTCGATCCCCGGATCCAGGCCAATCTCGTTCATGACCGTGATGCCCGCCTCCTTGACCTGGTCCTCCAATTCCAACATGGCCGGAGAAACGTAGCTGGTGGTGACGACGTTTTGCTTCTTTCGAATTGCGGATTTGATGATGGTTGCGTGGAAGGTGTATGGGATCAGACTGATTGCAAGGTCGGTTTTGGCCATCTCGGCGTCCAGTGCTTCTTGGTTGGTGACATCAAGGGAGATTGGCCGCGTGTTTTTGATGCCTTCGCATAGTTTCTTCGCATTTTCCAGCGTGCGGCAGGCTACACTGTATTAGTCAAGAAGAATGGCTCATGAGCTCCAAGTTACTGACCGACGGTGACCTCAACGCCAGCATCCGCGAGGATCTGGACGGTGGGCTTTGTCACGAATCCGGCGCCGAGAAGGAGAGCCTTCTGGGAGGAATAGCCCAGCTTGGACTGGATTGTGGTGATGAGGGATGCCATATTGCAATGTCGCAGGGAGTCGAGGTGGGCTTGAATATGTACAAGGTGTCGTGACGAAGGAGGAAATGAGTCAAACGACTCTCCCAAAGATTTCTTCAATCCGACTCCAACACAGAAAAATGCATCAGCCCGCGCCGCCGATTGCGGAGTTGAGCGAACTTTTGAAGGGCCAGAAACCCCTCCACGCCCTCCATTATCTCCACGTGAAGATAGACTCCGAGACGCCTGCCCGCTTCCTCGCTAAGCTCGCTTCCATCTCTGCTCGGCTTCGATCTGTCCAAGGTTCTTTGCGAATTCTCCAGTGCTCCGTACCTACGAACCTAGGTTAACAAGCCCCGATACGAGGATGGTATGCAATGTAAGAGTATAACTCCTCCGCTTCCAGCTCTCATGGTTCCACACTGTTTCCCCAGGATGTTTCTCTGTGACCAGAGTATGTGACCGGCACCCAGGCTTCCTCCCCCTTCTCTCTTGCCATCTCCCACATTCACTCTTTCTTGAACGCTGCTGCGGTCGCGTCCCAAACATGGCTGTACCTCTACTTGTGCGATTGCAGTCATACATGGACCCCCTCTTCCTTCTCAGCATCTCCATTGCCTACCTTCCCCTAACTTTAGTCTCTCATCCGCTACTGCTCGTTACCTCTCCTTCATCCTTCCGCTCGAAATGGTTCGAATCCTTCTGGCGGGTCATTGGTCCCAAGATGGCCGCCTCGGAAGTCCAAGTCGACCACATCGAAGAACTTCTTTCCCGCGCAGCCGGGAAGGTCCTGGAACTGGGCCCAGGGGCCGGCGACCAAATGTTCCACTATAAGCCAGGCCAGATCGAGGTGCTGTACTGTGCCGAACCAAACGTGTTCCTGCATGGATTACTCCTTCAAGCCGCGGAGAAGAATGGCCTCGGTAAAAAGCTGGTCGCCCTCGAAGCGGGAGCTCAACCAGCCAGTCTCCTCCCTGCGCTCAAGCAGGCCGGGGTGATCTCCAGCACGACGTCGAGTCTTCCCGAGGACGGCGTATTCGACACCATTGTCGCCGTCAAGAGTCTCTGCTCGGCACCGCAGAAACAACTGGCCGCCACGGTCGCTGTCGTCCAGGCCTTGCTCAAACCGGGCGGCGAGTTCCTGTTTTTTGAGCACGTGGAGAACAATGCAGATTCCATCACCAAGTCTTACGTGTGGTTCATAGATTGGATCTGGCCGGTGTTTATGGGGGGATGCCGTTTGACTGGGAAGCTTGATCGGGTCGTCCTGGGGATGGGCGGCTGGGACGAACGAAAAATCACCACCACAGATGAATTCAAGGGTCACGAGGTATGAAAAGCATTCCAGAACGGCTCGAACTCTGCCCTGTGTTCGATCACCATGCCTGTATCCAGATGTCAATGCTGACATTTGAAATACTCTCAGGTCTTCAGATATGTCAAGGGAATCTGTCGCAAAGCGTGACGAGGTCGGCTCCGTGCCAGCAGTGACCATCCAAGAAAATACCAGCAGAGCCGCTTGATACTGCCCAGGTGCAATGTGGAAGTAGGGACTTGAGCTCGGCCGACTTGGTACAAATGATGAGCTAAGTCCGCGGAGACAGGGCTCGTGTGCAACATTTGCGGCTGAACAGTGTCATTGATTGTATTGTCAAGGCCAAGTCTCGTGCGTCGCGCATCTGAAAATGCCTCCCCAATGGAAAGACTTATTGATCCCCGAACTCCAAACCACGGTATGCACGACGGTGATAGATAGCATCTCCTTCGCACAATGCAGCCCCTAAGCCAACACCGTCTCTTTCAATGGCAGCTCGGTCTCATACTCAATCTCCACACGACCACGAGGCTTCTTCTGTGGCTTAGGCGGTTGCCTTGTAGGCCGCTTCCTCTTCTTGCCCGATGCATCTTCCCCACTTTCATCCTCGTCGCTGTCTTCGCTTTGATCTTCACCCTCGCCAGACTCTTCCGTGAGGTCTTCGTCTTCTTCATCCGGACTCTCTCCACCGAGCCAGTCGTCAAAGTCCTCCATCTCCCTTTCCAATTCATCCTCGCTCTCCTCTAGATCGGAAACGTATTCCACCTCCGCCTCGACTTCCTCCTCATTCTCGTCCTCCTCTTCCAACTCCTCGTCATCCAGCACCTCCTCACCCTTCTCCTTCCTCTCAAGACCTCTCAGCACTTTTCTCCACAGCCCCTCTTCAATATTGAGCGGCCGGTCCCCGTACGCGCCGCTGGTCAACCGCTCCATGAGTTCCCTTTCAATCTCCCTCTCCACTTTGGCCGCGCTCTCCGCTTTCCGCTCCCTGGTCTCCTCCCTCCGCCGAATCTTGGGAGCCAATCGGGGGACGTTCTTCTCACCCAGCCTCACTTCCTCCTTTGCAATGTTCCTCTCGCGGATCTTGACTTGGGTCAACCTCGTCAGCCTCTGTTTGCATTTGTGGATGTAGAATTTCGGCCAGTATTGCAGTTTCTCGTCGAGGGCCAAGAGTGCCTTTTCGTAGTTGTTGGGCAGCCGGATCTTTTCCCACCACTTCGATGGCAGGTGGTTGCGCTCGGGGGTCTTGATGAAGAGGCACAGCGCGCCCGTCTGGGGGTCTGGGCGGACGGTGGCGTAGCGGGAATTGGCCAACGGGCAGGACTGCCGGTTGCAGAACCCCGTCAGGTTGTACTCATTGCGACAGAACGTCTGGTCTTTGCTGCTTAGCCTGTAGTTTTGTCTTTGTTAGAACAACAACGGCCGCTTGAAATTTTGATGCCCAAGGCACCGGTTTGAACTCGCACGGCTTACTTTAACTTGAACGAGCAGAATTGCTGGTTGATCACCTGCCAAACGATCTCGTCCGATGACATTCTTGCGGATTGGGAGAGAGAGCGAAAAGAGAACAGCGCACGAGGGGAGTAGCGGTGGGTGGGTGGGTGGCTGTTCTGCAAGCCGACCGAAAGATGGAAAACCCAAAAATTTCAGGTTCGGCAAAGCAACAAATCTGCCAAGGGTTTCTCTTATCGCTTATCAGAGTTTAGCATGTTTGTTGGATTTGTTTCTCACCCACCACCCCATTGGAGGATTTGCTCTTCGCTGAGACAAGGCTTTCACCCTCATCTCAGCGCACACCTGGTTTTCTGGGACTATCGGCACCAACCCTCGAGACAGATTGGCAGTGACCTTGAGGACGTGCCAGGAAAGTCTAACTAAAGGGATATTGTGAACACAGAGATGTAGGACCCAAAGGGACAAAGTATATCTATCCACTATCGCGTAACACTGTTCCCCTACCGGGTACACACCTTCAAAATACACCATTGCAAGCGCACAAATTCAAGTCTGTAGTTGCTTGAAAATAGGCCAATGTGGGCTGAGCGTCTGCATAGGCAGCATGAATATTGCTTGGACATTAGTCAAAGGCTCACCTCGTGGATGATCTCGCAGCTTTATAGTCCATACAGAGGACCTCTGCCTATTGGCGATAGAACGGTGGGACGGAAGGTGGTCAGTGTTGCACGAGGACACTCCACGTATCGGATGAACTCGTGCAGAGGGCTGATGCTTTTCTGGTCGATATGGCACGCTTTCCACGTAGCAACAAGAGCAAGATCGTGCTAACGCCTCTCAGCGCGGAAGCAGGAGACTGCAAGACGCGTCATGTGAGGCAACGACTGCTTGAACGGATGTGGTCTGAAGGTTTGGAGTGGCTGGAACAGTCGTACCTGTTCCAGCCAGACGTTAGCGAGCATAGGCTGCTGTGCTAATCTTCGAACTCGGTTTCCTGCTCCTCGAACCTCAGAAATGTGCTGTTTGCAGCAGCTTCTGGCCCCAAAATTACCTGCCAAGCGTCGTTGACTGCGTGGAGGACACCATCATCAAAGGCAATGTCTTGTGGCTTGGGTTGAAATATAATGACCTGTGGGTGCTTCCGTGGCGGCGGAGAACCGAGAGAAGAGTCTATAGCAGGGCCCAAAGCTCGATATGAGAGCGACCACAGGAGTGAGTCTTTTGCACCCACAGTGTCGAGAAACATTCTGACAGCAGCTTCGAGCCGATCTTTGCTGGAGGCATCCTCAGAAACGACCGAAGCATATATAAGACCTAGTCAGGCGCAAGTCAGCAAAGTGGGGACCGCGTGACGAGTTTGAAGCAGACATCGTTTAGGGGTATCCAGATCAGGTTGTCAGAGGGTAATTATCAGCAATGCACATAATGCTCAGGCAATGTAGATAAGTATTCGAGGTTGGATCATCACGGAAGTGAAATCAAAAGACAGAAAAGGAGAAGGACTCACATTGACCAGCCGGACATTCTCCTGTATCTTCTGAGTGAATCTGCAGATAAATTGGATCCTTGTGCTCAGGGGTGCCACCATCCAACAGCACAGTTGTGACTGCGGGAACGGGGCCATTGTCTGATGTCGGAGGAAACATTGATTTTAACGGATTCGCGATGATATTGATAGAGCTCCAGGTAGTGCAGAACGAGGCCACTTCTTCCACAGCGTCTTTCGAAAGTGGAATGTCATCACGGTTTCCAACAACATATCGAGTCCGGATTCGGGTGCCATCGGAAAGCGTGCATTCAATAAGAGGACTATCCCCGCCATCTGGAACAGTTGTGTCATCAGTGGCACCGAGATCTTGCAAGGCGTGCCCCAGGAGATACACGCCTCCGCCGACAGCACCGGCACGACAGGCCACCTGTGAGATTTCTGCAGTGCCGCCGTATTTCGCAACAACCGCCCCGAAGCCTTGACCAAAATGACCCATAGACCTCATATGTCTCCTGATCCTGATTAGGGCTTTGTCGAAGGGCACCGAGTCGGCTGCAGCAGGGGACAGTGCAAGTGCTACCAGTGGAGCCTGCAGAGTGTCTGGGATTTTGAACTTCGTTGACAAGGCCGTTTTGAGCGACATGCTGGTGTGGTCTTCTTCTGAGGCCGTTGTCGATTCTTCCTCCTCTTGCATCACGTATCTCAAGAACTTCATCAACCCACGCTTGTCCTTCATTGAAAGTGACTCGTCATTGAACACATCTTCACGGGTGCTGGGTATCTTGTGCAGTTTCCCGTCGCCTAGTACCCACAAGGACCCAACAGCAAGGAATTCCAGTTGGCTATGGATCTGTGATGAGACGAGGCTGGGGAGAAACTCGGATTTGGCATAGATAATTTGGGGGCTTAAGCTCAGGGTATATGATCGTGACGGTCCAAGTGGCGAGGAGGCCCCAGATTCGTCGTCGGCATGCCTCGATATCGAGGCATCTTTGAACACTGTGCTTCGGACTGCCAGATCATCAGTGATGCCGTATACTTCGAGGCGCAGTTTGCGCACATTGCCGCAATTCTTCAACCCATCCCTGGGCGTGGTCCAGACTCAAGCCGGCATCATCACCTCCATAATAGGCATGGCGATCCACGTGCAAGATCTTCTTGCCTGAACGAGAAAGAGCCCTTGAGAGGAACACCTTGTCAGTCAGTTAATGCCCTGGTTTAGGTTGGTCAGAAGCAACGTACAGCGCCAAAAGCGACTGGGGAATGCTGGTCCCAGCTATGACAGCATCCCAGACCTCATCACTCAAGCTCTCCATTTTCTCCCCTGAGGGATTGCGGAAAATGAGTGAAACGTGTCGGTAGAAGTGAGAAATTCCAAAGATTGAGAGGGTGTTCTGATGGTGTGTTTGATGACCGTCTTTGGGGCAACTTTGCCGAGAAAGGGTACCTACCCTAGCCTCGCTTAGGCTCCTCGGTCGGTAGCAAAGCAGACACGCAGACCGCTGCAAGCAAGTACATATCTACACAGATACCATCAAATCCTGGGCGATTCCCGGGACTGATTGGTCTATCCCTGTCTGCTGCGGTCATTCTTTTACTGGGGGACAGTCTGCGCCGCCCATGAGTTTCCGTCCCGTGAGGTCTTCTGGTGGCCAGCTCAAACATGGCGATCGATCACGGCTCTGACTTTTGCGCGGCCTTGCCAGAGAAGAAGTATTTGGCCGAAGCAGTCGGGGAGACTGCTTCCATACAACCTACCCAGCTCCCGTGACAAAAGCCTTGAGCGGTTCTTCACGCCAGTCGTCGGGCCTGACGACCCCATCTCGACCCCGACTGATTAGCGGTCTGCATTCCATCTCTCTTTCTCTTTCTAGACTCGGGTGGAGGCCATATCTCCGAGAAGATCAAGATACCAAGGGATGCAGTATCTGAAGATCAGATGTGTCGGTAACAACGTGCCCTTACCACCAGAGCACCGTGAGGGACGCGACATGCTCTGAAGCGGTGGAACAGACGGTAGTCCGCCGGCCTCATGGAGAGCCAAGGCACGTTGACAATGGGAAGTCTTGTTGATACGTATGTGTGGTGAGAAGCAGGTCTGTTTCGAGAAACTTCCAGCCTATCCACTAAAGAAACGCCGGATGCTAAGCTGGTCCAACCCTTTCCTCTCCACCCCCGACCTTTCCTTCAAACCCCAGATCTCCAAACTCCCACATGCAAGGCTCCACCCAGACCCCTGCTTAATGTTGATGCAGGCATGGCGGCTATATTCGAGCAGCCCCGCCTGTAGAAACGTTGAGGCGGCCTTGTTGTCCACTGGGATGACATGGATGACCAGCCTATAGGTTGGCATTTGCGCTCAGTTTGGCACCGTTTGGCACAGTTTTGCTGACTCTGCCACTTCTGACTTGCCGGTTGCGACGCCATTAATGCGTCTTACCACCGAAGCACCTCCTCCACATTGTGCCCCACGAACTGAAGAGCCCCATCTTTACCTAAGCACAAAAGACGACTTCTCGATCATCTTCTTGGAAAGATGATTCTTGATTCCATTCCAGAGCAGAGAGAGGTACCTGTACAGGACAAATCAGCCAAGTGAACCATAACTTGAGTTTCTGATAAGATCCTCCACCAAGCCAAGCAGACACCGAACGGCCATCAACTCGCTCACTGCACCCACTCAATTCCTCGCTACCGTGGAGCAAGATCAGCGGCGAGATGGGCAGCTACGCTGAGGAGCCAGAATTCAAGACCATAACTATCCATAAACTCCACCCTACATTCGCGGCTGAAGTTGAGGGCGTCGATTTCCAGAACTTGTCCGATGAACAGTTCGCCGAGATCCTCGCCGCAATGGCGAAGGTACCCACGCTTTTATTTCCTCAAGCCTTGTGAACCCTCCCTCAACAATTTATCGCCCGGTTGAAGCGACAGTGTTTTGTAATTTGGCGCTGACTTTGTCCCTTTATGCTTTAGTATGGTGTTTGTATGTTCCGCAACACTGGCCTGGACGATGCCAGCCATATTGAGTTCTCTAGACGGATCGGGGATCTTGACACCATGAAACGTTATATGATCGACGGTCGCAGGCCAAGATATGGCTACTATGAATTGTTCGATGCTGGGAATATCGATGATCAAGGTGGTGTTCTGGATCCCAATAGTCCGAGAGCACATTATGGCAAGGTGAGCTCCCTTGAAAGCCCTTTTTGGCACTTGAAGGCTTATTTCGTATGTCAGGGCAATGCTCTCTTTCATGTCGACTCCTCATTCAACCCTAGGCGCGCAAGCTTCTCTCTACTTCGTGCGGTGGAAATTCCCCCGCCAGGAAATGGCGGGAACACTGACTTTGCCGACTCCCGCACCGCTTGGGACGAGCTGGACCCGGAACTCCAGAAGGAACTTTTGGAGAAAGACTATGTCGTTCATCATTCGATCGCGCAGTCTCGCAAGTTAGGGTCCCCAGAATTCTTTAAAGATCTCGACCCGACCAATGGAGGTGTCATGGCCCGACATCGGCTCATCCAGATCCACGAGCCTAGCGGTCGCAGGAATATCTACATCGCGGCACACTCCCACCACATAGAAGGCATCCCGAAGGAGGAATCCGATGCATTGATCAAGAAACTCATCGATCATGTCACTCAGAAGAAGTACACCACTAGCATTGAGTGGAAGAATCCGTCGGATATGATCATCTGGGACAACCGGTGTACGCTCCATAGAGCCAATGGTGGAGCGTTCGAGGGCAAGTACAAGCGAGATCTAAGAAGAACGACAGTGCACGACGACAGCAGCACAGCTTGGGGGTTGAATGAGGTCGCAGATACGGAGAATTGGGTTGTGAACCATGATGCCACCAGGTCAGCTGGACAGACAAAGTAAGATTTTGCGCGGCATATTCAGGCTGTTGTAATCCAGCTTGCCCATCCTAATTCGTGTGAGTTTGGGTGGTTTGTCTTTTGGTGGTTCCCATTGTTTGTCCAGGCGCTGCGTTTGATATACAACAAGTCCAAACACTGTATAACCAAACAAGTAGTATTGTCAGGCAGATTGTTGTCAAGCGCGAAACTCCACTCTTGGTTTGCGCGGTCACGCAATGCGGCCCAAGTCGGTGACAGGACAATGCCAATCAAAGCACAAAAGGGGGTGAAGCCTTGACTTCCTTTGTGACTTTTTTCGCGGTGGAACGGCGTGGAACAACCATAATCCACGTTCACCACCTGATGCCGTCGCAGGGGCAGTGATACTTGTTATGCTATTTAATTTACTCCTTCACGTCTTCCATCACTCCCAGCCCTTTTATTATTTATAGGCAGTCCATTAACGTCCCAACTGCACTCCTTCGTGAGTCACAAATCCAGACTGCCTATGGATTATATGTATATATAAAGGACTCAGTTCCCCCTCCATGTGGACACCAAAGGTCGGCAAGACTCGTCATCCACCACAAGAGCTGGAACCAACAACACAACCGAAAAGGAGTCTCGAAGCTGGTCTGCTTCTCAGCAAACAGGGTCTAAAAGAGATCTTCTCGACAGATCTCTACATTTTCTCTCAAACGCGACCCTTCAGAAGCCAGCTCAAGGATCCTCGGCGAAACCAGTCTCCAGCATGGCGAGCTACGCAGGCATTTTCGACCTGCCCCTCGACATGTTCAACGACCTGATGTCCGATCTGGACTACGAGTCCATCCTTGCCTTCCGCCAGACGTCTCGGTTGGCAGCGGCCCTTGTGCCGCTAAACCACATCATCCAGCTCCGACAGTCTATCCGAGCCTCTCTGCTCGCCGAGGAGCGCGCCGACTACCAGCGCCGACAGGTGGCATATGCCAACCAACGTCGCTGGGCGACTGCATTCCCTCAGTCAGTCCAGGCCGGCCTCCAGCCCCAAGCACATGGTGCGGCAAACACCGCCGCGCCGAACAGCTCGGTGAACAACATTCACCGCAACCGCATCATGAGGGCGGAGCGGCTGAACTGTTACGCCTGCCTGAAGCATCTGCCACGAGAGTGCTTCGTGGAGGGTCAGGTCACGGGGAGGAGGAGCCTCGGTCACAACGACGCTGGCCGACGGTTCTGCAAGGTCTGTGGCGTCAACAAGGGGATCTGGGACAAGGGGACCGTGATCCAGGACGGCAGATGCACCTTGGTCCTCTGCAGGACATGCAACGCCCTGGACAGAGTCGAAGCTGGATCCAAGAGGGAGGGCGTCTGTTCGACGTGCAAATCCGCCGCGCAGGAGGATTCGCTCAAGAACGAGCTGCAGGGCGTCGGCGAGTCCAGCACATCACAGCCGACGACAAAGCAGCCAGCCAGCACGCAGCCGAGCAGTCGAGCGACTCGGTGCCTGCGCTGCTGGGCCACCAATCACACCGAAGTGCCAGCCGGGTCAACAGGTTCGCGTCTTTGCCCCTCGTGTGAAGCTGCTGTTGGATTGGCAAAGATGGCGCTGTAAAAGGGGGTGTTGTGTGGTGGAATGAACATGGGCATGGGCATGGGCATGGGCATGGGCATGGGCATGAAAGGGGGATGGCGCAAGGCAATAACGGAGCGGGCGCTTTGGATATTGTGGTTTTTTCTCCATTGAACCGTGATACCCCGGTCAGGATTTTTGGGTCGGATATGGTGTTTTTCTCGATTGTATTGTGATACCCCCCGGTTGAGAAATTTTGGGTTACAAGGCTCAAAAGGTACAGGCTACATTTGGCAGGGTCCAGGTAGTACGACTGAGCTTGTAGACAGCAAAAGGAAAAACATTGTGATCTTGACTTTCTGCTAAATTTCCCAGCTCCCTCTTGCCCTGGCTTTGCATCTCTTGCTTGGAACGCCTGTTTCCCACGGGGGCTTTTTCCTAAGCCATCCAGGATCGTATGCTAGAGCTGCCCATCTCTTTGAAGTCTGTTCCATTTCCCTCAAAAGCGGCAAACCCCTTGAAAAATGTCGGAAACTAGGCGGAGTGAACGACGGACCAGATACGGGGATGAAGTGGAAGCAAGAAGAGGATATGGTAGATTTATTACGACCTAGAGGGTTCGCGCCACTCCTCCGACGAGAGGTACTGGTCCGGCAGTACGCTTTTCGTTGTGCTTTTGCACCCTAGCTAGCTACACAATTGTCCTCTTGGAACTCCTTCATGCCATTTCGGATCTTTTCCTCAACTGAGTTCCTTGTGCCAACCTCATCCTCTTGGCTCGAAGTGGAAACGGCGCCTGGACACAGAACTTGAAGAGTTCGATGACCAGATTCCGTAACCAGGAGACAGAGGTGTAGCATGTGCCCGCCACTCCATTCGTTCGTTATTTTCTGCTGTGGCCCTGGTCAGAAGATTGGATCATAGTTCTGGTTTCTGGTCCAGTGAGTGAGACCCTTCGAGGACACTATCTCTGTGCACGCTCCTGAAGCTGAGCTCCGGCTGCCCTGAAATAGGGTTGGTCGAAGATGAACGGTGAGTAGGCGGGCAGGGGTCGATAGTATGGGGTGTTCAGCGCTGCAATGAAATGAGCGGGCACAGAGCAACCAGGCAATCCTCTCCAAGTCAACAATTCCCCCTTCTCGTAGGCGTCCATCGTTGCCACGCAGTCCTGCAAGAAGTTCTTGTACGTAAACCAGTCCTGGTGCACCACCTCGTAACAGTGTTGACAGAGTCCAGAGAAGCGAAGCCTGAAAGACGGACTGCCGGGACCCCGTTTGATGGTGAGACATCTGCGACATTGAATGATTGAACTCATTCTGCGGTTCATCCCAAGGTAATGGCATTCGTGGGGCTGATGCAAAGCAGTACAATGGCCACATACCATAGGGTCCAGCAGGCCTTTGTAATCTCGCTGGGTTTCCAAAGGCCCTCCATCGTATGGCCTGAAAGGGTAGAAAGGGTACATGCGACGCAAGCTGTCCGAGGGAAATTCAACCCATGGTCTCACGACACGACACTTGGAACAAGGGAAGTGGAAGTGATCGGGATGCACAAGCCACCGACAGAGCGTCGTCGAAAAGCCACACGCCATGGCATGTTCCCACACTTGTTGCTGAATGCTCCTGCCGCGGATGGTCTTACCGAGGAGCAACATATTGGCACCCACGTAGTAGCGGTCTTGAAAGTTGTTTCCGAATTCAAAGAAAGCCCTTGACATTTCGTCAGCCAGTCGAGCCGCAGGGTCGGCGAAGCACCGGCTCAACGCCCGCGATGCTCCACGGGCGCGGCCGAGATCAGAATAGTCGAGATGCTTCGCAATATGGAGTTGAAGCTCACCAGGAAGAGATGACAGCCGGTTTTTCAGTGGTCCATTGTATTCTGACGGTTGCGCCATTGTTGGATTGAGTTCAACTTGATGTTGTTGGTGGATCGAAGTCGGGAAATGAGTGAGCAAGCACGTATGTTGAGAGTAACGGAGGCTTTCCTGTGCAAACGAATTTGTTGGAGGGAATAGTTGTCTCCAAAGAAGAGGCCGATAGATATAAATAATAGAACAGAAGTTAAGCATTTGAATAGAGGTGTTCTGTTGCCAATGCCTAGTACCGCTGCCTCTGCCCAAGTAACCGATTCACATGGCTTGAACTGGCAGGCGAAAGTTGTGGCAACAAATGGCACCAACGTCAATCGTGAGAGCCAGACATTTGAGCTGCCTATGAGCTGTTGCCTTTGTGAATCACTTGGCTTTCAATTGCCCCGATGTCTCTTTGTCTCGTTTTCCTTGTGGACTGTTGGCGGCCTCAATCAAGCTTGTGGGGGTTTGTTAGGCATTCCTAGGATTACCCATGACCCAAGGCATAGCAGGAATTTAGTTCTTGCTCCATCAGGGTCATTGTTCCAAATCCATTACTGAGACTCTGCCTAAGGAGGCAACCTCACAAAGCACCCATCGCTGCCAGGTCTCCAGACTGATGATCAGTAGCGGATCATTTAGAAGTCTCGATAGGTGCAGAGGAAGCTATTCCGAGCAGTAATCTTGGAGTCATACGAACTCCTGGCAGGGACGTCTTGAATAAAGTTGTAGAGGTTTGTTGATGAGGCGAGAGGACAAAGGAGAAGAAAAAGGACAGGCGCATGGGAAGCCCAAAGAAAGGCTTGGTGGCACGTGATCGGCATCTTTCATTCTCTTCGCGTCTGCATTGCGCACAGGCGACGCGATCAATTCAACTTGCTTCGATAATCTTTTTGCCAACTAACCCAACCTCTCTAACCAGAGCAAGAGTCTTGTTTCTTTCCTTATCTCTGGACAGGCACACGACCGTCTGTTGATTGTGAATTTCCCTGCGCAACCACAGAGACTTGTGCTCTCGAACCACTGCGGCCTGCACCCTCAATGGAGCCTTCCTCTTAGCAGGACAGTCCGGGTGCACTGCGTCTCCGAGCGATGAGCTATGTCCACATGCACATGCACGGAAGATATTCGAGCCAGAGCCCTGACCTGATCGGTGGAGATCTCACTGGACTGGCGCGTGCCAGCGGCTCAAGCCACAAAACAGAGTCGCCTCCATTCCGTAAGGGCGAATTCGATCTTGTCCAGGACATTTCCAGACAGGCACGGTCACTCTTCGACACTTTCAGCAGTCGATGGATGATAAAGTCATTCATTATGCGGCAGGGGCGGCATTCCAAACAGTGACGGCGGTTCCACGCAGCCTTTTTCTTTGCCGATTTGTGGTACTTCGCCACCGTTGGGTGATTGTGCCTTGGGGAACCAGGTTGCACAAGGGAAATCACACTTTAGAGAGGTTCAGCACGTTTATTGCATTTCCAAAACCCATAAGCGCCCGTCTGGCGCCAAATTGCTCCGTCAGATTGGAGGCCGGAGTAGATCAGATGGCCTCCAGCCCACCCCTGAAGCATTTGCTGCTAACTCTTAATCCAAGTCCCTCGTCGGTACCCTCATATTTGAAAGAGGTTGCTCACACAACTCGGTGCATCTGATCTCATTCGGAAAACCTGCGAACAAAGCGTCGAACGGGGAAGAGAAGGCGAGAAGATCTGACACGTTGCACAGGATGGCAACAAAAAATGCACAAGATTTTGAGTCCTCGCAGCCAGAGTTTCGAGAATTGAGGTTGCGTCAATATTGAGATCAAACTGAGACAGGTAATGGCGAAAGCAGAGGAAGAACTCAACACTTAGTGTGGCTCTCGATGCTTTGAACGGAGTAGGATCTCTTCAGACACCTTGGACACCCAGAACGCAACGCATTCAGTCAGCCCCTTCAAACATGGCTGGAAGCTCCGGATCCTGTCCCTGGCCTCAATGGTACATTTCCCGCTCACCCCTTAACCACTCCTCTGTGCTTCGGTCCGCCCGAGCGACATAATCAGTGGATCCTCCCCAGCCAAAGCTGGTTCGTCGCAAAGATGGTCGGGAGTAAAGGGCCAGGCAACTTCTCGCATCACTCACTCGCTGCTCGACGCACTCACCCACACTCTCAGGAACATGATCCGCGCCTTCAGCCAATACGGACCATCCAAATCCAGAGCACACACCCACGCGGTGCTTCTCAGACCCGACCGGGGCGAGTCGAGCTTACTAGGCATGAGAGCTCAGGCACTATCTGCTGTGGACGACTGGGTTGGGAAGTCTTGTGGCAGCTGAACGAAAGGTGATTGTGGTTGATACGTCGAGTCGACTTCAGCCGGGCTTATGCTGACTTTTTCGCGGATTGTGATTTTGCGACGGTAGTATATGAGGCTGTTCCTCCTCTTGTTGCATGCTTGTCAGCCCTGGGTGAGGCTGATACCAGCCTTGAGAGTAAGAGCTGTCGACAGATCCAGGTGCACGCCGCATTGTAGCATGGTTCCCTGCCGTCCATCCCTGTTGCATATTGGCCTGCGCAGTTTGGTATGAGGTGTGTTCCGGAAAATTCGGATGTGTTGAAGTGTGCTGACTGTCAATGCCCATTGGCGCCAGACTCGAGCTGGTCGGTGGTAGTTGCTGCATCTGGCCTGTCAACCCTCTTTCGAAAGACGGATAGGTGTTTGTTCGGTAGGGGGTGGGGAAGCCAGACGACAGTTCATCGGTTTGGTCAGACGACATTGATCTCGTGGGAGGGTTGGCCCAGCCGTACCCACCGTTTGGAGCCGAAGTCTGGTACGGATAACCGTGTTCTTGGGACATCGTTGTCATCGTGGAAGGTAAGGAACCTGGTGCATACGGAGATGAATATGGCGTGGGTATTGACTGTCCGTATGCGTGCTGCTGCTGATAGAATTGAGGATTTATCGAATCCCCATCAAAGTTCCTCGGTGAATATGGAGACGGAATAAAAACTTGCTGCTGTTGACGGTGCTGTTGAGCAGGGTCATAACCATGCGCGAAATCGAAGCCTGAAATAAGTCAGCGCTCGAAGACACGGTGGAAATCCTGCTCCTACCATGGACAGACACGGATCTGGAGCCTGGATGAAAACCTTGGAACCCGGGACTCTCGCTGGACATGGGAGGAGTGTCCAAAGAACCTCGGGCATAATTTATTTGTTCCATGGAGCTGCTCCTTAGGATTCCGCCTGGAGAAGACGATGAGACCGAAGCCTCTCCCTCGTTCACGATACCATCCGCCGCTTTTGCCCCTGAGCGTGGCCGTTTCGCGGTCGGCGGATTTTGCGGGTCAATCGGCAAGAAAACGCACTCCTTTTTCAGGCGAATGCAATTTTGGCATCGACCTACTGGATCGTGGAAATCAGGCATGCAACGAATCTTGCGCCGTCGACAATGGACTAGTACTTGGTCAGAATGGGTCGTGCACAGGAAAGCCGGGTACAAAGACTGACCGCATGCGACAGCGGTGCGATGGTACCCCAGTTTGTTTCTCTTTTTATCGGCAGGCGACGGGGGTGGTCCTTCTGTCAACATGTCGCGAACATTGGGCGACGAGTTACCGCTTTGGATCAAACCAGGCATGTTGAATTGCTCGACATCCGGACCAAACTGGTCTTGCGCAGAACCACTTCCCTCTGCGTAAACCCCAAAATTATTTCTTCCCTCTTGCATCTCTTTGGGCTGGACGGACGAGCACTACCTGCGCGAAACAAAGGCTAGGCGATGATTGCTTCTGGTCTCTCGTCTTCCACCACTGTACTCGTCGAGGTGTTGAGCGGGGCAGACTGGCAACATCACTGGTACCGTGGACCATGTGTCGACATCACAACCGAGTTGATTTGCCGCGAATTGACTGATGTGTTTCAGCGCTGGTTCTGGCTGCGGCCCGGTCAGATATGCCAACGGGAGCCCCAATTTCAAGTCACAGAGACCAAAACCTCGTGGAGTCAAAACCGGTCGCGCTGCACAAATATGGCCCGCGGTACTATCTACCACGCATCGAAGAAAAGAGGTGTAGATCGATCTTCCCACGTCGCACTGAATGCTAAAAGGCAGACTGAATATTGCTCGAGGAGCTGAATCGGAGGTGATCCTCAAGTCGTTGTGTTGAAGATCAACAAGAAGCAATCACATGAAGAGACCAAGGTCTAAGACGACCCGTCCGATCGTGCAAGGGAGTGGAGAGGATTGTCAGCCGCTCCGTCGCACAGATCAGAAGATGAAAGAGAAATGAAAAGAACAGTCAGATTCAACAAAGGGCTTTTGATGGGGATAGACCGGGAATTGCCCTGGAAGTTGGCTACAGCAGACCGACCAGTGATAGGGATAGGGAACTGAGGTTCAACAGGACTGGGTTCCCTCCTCGTGGATCGTAAAATATCGTCGGAAGAAAAAGGCCAGCCACAGCGCAAAGACTCGGATATCTAGAACAGGCGAATCAAAAAGAGAGACAAGCGCCTTCAATGCATGACAGGTTGGTATATGACTCTCATATGCATGCGGAAAAGGTATGGCTCAGAAGATCGCATTCGCAGTTGGGACCCTCAGCTCTCTTACCTGGCGATTTCAGCCACGAGAGCCAAATAGCACCCCTGTGGAGGAAAGATACGGGTCCAGTCGCTCGCGCCATTAACTTTTTTAGGCGTTGACGAAGTTGCTTGCAGAGGATGCGCATGGCTGATCGCACGAGGCGCTCTCTAATGAGCCAAGGCAGACGGGGCTGGCCCCAGCGAGTTGCGAGAACAATCCCCGAACGATTATGCCTGACCTTGCGTCCCCCTTTGGAGACGATGGCTCTCATTGAATGGTCGAACTATTACAAGATCCACCCCGGGAAGAAAGCCACAGTTCGATTGTATCTGTGTGCTAAAAGTCCAGAACACCTCTAAAACGAAGCATTGGAGATCTGGAGATTTAAGATGCGCCCTAGGTGGTGCGGCTGACCATCTCTAAATTGCCTGGATCGACTCTGAAAAAGTAACGGCAATACCTGGTGAAAGTCGACGGGCGATGATGCCCATCATTTACCCTACAAGACTTTACCTCTGCCTGGCGTGCCGAGACACACCTACAAGGAGGTTCGATTTCTAGAAACGATCTGCACCAACAAGTCTCCACCAATGGAGAGCTGGGAACGGCTGCCTGGACAGAGGATTCTAAGAAAACGACAAACACGATGCGACGTTTACCCAGAGAACTCGTCTGAGGGACCAATCCCGCAAGCTGGGGCTGTCGCTAACGGCCAACCACAGCGACCTGTTGTTAGTCAGTGCCCATTATCATTCCGGAGTGGAAAGCCCAGCGCCTCTTCGCCTCGCGAAAGGCCTCAAACGGGGACTACGACAAGGTCCTACAAGTACGACGTAGTCGATAGGGTAACTCAGGAGCTAGACCACAGGCATTTTCACAGAAGCCACCGGCTCAGACGGATGAGTACGTGCGTTGATCTTCAATGTCGCTTCGGTGTCGAGCAAAAGCACCCTGGAAATCTCTCCACTTGAGCCACGGAGCTGGGGTTACCAGTGCTTAGCCCCGACAGCATTGGGTTGATCTTCAACAACTAGCGCCACTCGACGCCGGCTGTGTGGCTTTCATGGGGTGGAACTTGGTCCTCCTTGGGTGCGGATGGCTCGGTAGAGGGAGCGAGAATCCATGATCTGAAGAGCGGCTATCCATGTGTGATGGTAATTGTGGAGGCTAACGGAGTCTCGAGCGAACTCTGTTCCCCTCCGCCCACTCCCAACTCGATCCAGAGAGTGCCCCAGTGGGCGCGTGGCAGGTGGTACCCTTGCCTGGTGCGTTGAGGCCCAAACCTGACAATTCGCGTGTGCTGAGGCTCGGGCTAACCGGGAAAAGACAGATTGCAGCTTGCTCCAACATCTCGATAGCGGAAAAAGTACAGCGAACCAGCGAAGTTGTTGGGGGCGGGCGGCTACAGATGCTGGCAAGACTGGACAGCTGCCACGTTTGCAGGAACTAGGGTTGTTGGTACCTGTCAGGCTCACCAAGATCCGCCCACGGTGCCACTGTCAATGCCACTCACGTCACCACCAAGGCTCTGCATCGATTTTGTCAGCAAAGTCTTAACCGAAAAGTGGCGTGTCTGCGACGGGCGTGGAGTTGATCCAAGACCCACTCGAAGCCATCAACTCGGTCAAAGCCTCGTGCTGGCCGAGATAGACGCACCCAGGTCCGTGGGAAACTATGCCAGCGTCTAAAGGAGCCTCGTAAGTGGTTTTGGGTGCAGAGCAGAGGTGGCAACTCTCCTTCATTGAACTGACTTATTCGCTTAGCACGGCGACTATCATTGCCCCTAGCGGCATAACTCCTTTTAGCCCGTACACCGTGTGAAGGCGGAGGGGTACGGAACAAAAGGCCAACCTTTGCTCGTATCCAGAAGGCGAACTTCCTCAGGAGCTGTCATCGAGTTGCGAACAGAGACCATGGGAAAATGATTCCACACTTCCAGACGATAATGGTGCGTGGCCTTGATGCGGCTCTCCTCCAAACCCTTGGGAACAGATCTTCCAGGGGCTTGTCCAGGGATTCTAGACTGTGCGGAACCATCTTCCGAACGACTGCGAGTTGCTGGCACGCTTGGTAGCTCCGAAGCTACTGCCCTCGCATCAACTTTCGAAATCCCTGTACATTCTGCAATCCAAAAGGCTAGCGGCACAGTCTTCTCAGCCAAAAGTCAGTCGTCGGTTGCTCCGTATCTGCAACGCTTGCCCGAGTGGCGGCCAGTTTTCCACGTGGAGCACCCTGTGGCGCCTAGCTTCCAGGTAAGGAAATGCTCTAGAGGGCAATGATGAGCACCACGTCCCCTCTGTGCAGTACCGCAGGTTCGATTATTCTCCGGCCGCAAAAAGAGCCAGTTCGGAGTCATTGAGAAAGCGAAGCTCGCTGGAAGAACCCGTGATCGCGTTGACGATTGAGACAGTGTATCGTCAACGCGTACCTTCGCCTCATTCCTGATCATACCTGTTCTGGGGGTGGACTGCGTAGTAGGACGATTTTGAAAGCGAAAGCTGGATGCCTAAGAAATGCCTGCAGAGTCTGCCAGTCCATGAAGATTGACCAGAATTCCTCGGCTTCGTCCACCAACACAAGGCACTCCAGACAAAGCTCTTCAGTCCAGATGAGGGACAGACAAGAGCATTCAGCAAGCCATCGGGAATTCTTAATTTCCCCTTTCTACGATGTTTGCATCTTGCCATGTGGTTTTCTATTATTTCAGCCTACTGACGGCACCAAAGAGGGCCACACAGAACGGCACCACAACAGATCCGCAACGCCGTCCTCCCATTTACCCGGTCTCGCCAAAGTGGTTGATTTCGCATTGCCAAATCATGGCAAATGGCCCCATCCGACCATGCAAGACTTGAGTATTTGGCATCAGTGGCAGCTCCCCGAGATTGCTGGTGTCTTTGGACAGCGTTTCGATGGCCTTTCTGGTGAGGATCAAATACCTCGTACTCGTGCTCAGCGACCACGTCCACCCCTACAGCTCGTACAGAACTAGACACACTTCCTGCAACGCTTCGGAGTTCGGCAGAGTGATCAAGCAGGGGTTACAAGCAGGGGTTACAAGCAGGGATGTCAGCTCCTTGTCGATCTTTACTGTCCCTCCCGCCTCATTTTGCAAGGGGGTTAACCAATGCGAAGTTGATAAGCTCGCAAGTCTGCAACAAGAACGTCTACTGCCGGTAATCCATGCCCGACTCGGGGCTTCAAAAAATAAAGCTGAGAGTGATCGTCCTCCCTGCTGCGCGGAAGAGGGCAAGCTTCTGCCCCGACTCGTCTTTCTGTCTTCCTCTCTCGCTAACTGCTTGCTTGGGAAACTGGACAAATGCGCAGTCAAAGTCTGTTTGAGAGGCCGACAACAATGATTTGAGCTTTCCCCTCCCAGTATCAAATTTACCTAGCGAGCTAGGTATGCTTTCCCATGTTCTGGTCCAGCGAGGTTGTGTCGGGACCAGGACGTCTATCGCCTAGTGGGTCATTGCCTCAGAATCTTTGTCACCTATTTTTAAAAAGAGAGTTTAGCGGGCTGGTGGTGGCCGATTCACGCATCAGACCACCTACTCCTCCTTCAGGCTTCAGGACGACAGAAGCGAGAGACTCCTTGATGCCCGACTTTCGGCTGCCGCAGGCCCTGATATCAGGGACAGGAACCGTCGAACTCTACTTTGCATTCCGCCCCAACGTTGACCCAGCTTTCAAATGGTACTCAGCGGCTGGTATTGTGCCCTGATTGCCCCTGAGCAAGGCTTGCATTTGCGGTATACCTCCCCATGAGGACAGCATTTTTGTCAAAGGCAAGTCAGGAAGAGTTTCGAACTTCTTTTTATGCCAAAACATTGGACTTAGCGTTGTGTTCCTCCTGGGTTTTCACGTCAAAGGTCTCTTTTTATTTGGGGTGGCTGAAAAGACATCTAAGACAGGACCGAACACCCAGGGCGGTTTCTCGCCGGGGGCTGCGCCCGCGCAGGACGGTGACAGGCGAGCTGGCGAGACGTTGTCTGTTTTTAACAAGGCGCCTTGATGGCACAATTCAACCCCCTCCCCTTCGGACCTCTACCGGCAGTTGATCCCAAGCGACCTTGGCCATCAACAAAGAGGCCTCAGCAGAAGGGTGGATCAGGTGGACTTTCTCTTTCCTCAACTGCTGAAAATACCTAGTTGTCTCATTGTACCACTGTCTCGGGGGCCGGGACAGAGGGCATGGAGCTGATCCCTCCCTAACGCCGGCGCTATCATGTCTACCACCGGTGGTGGTTGTGTACCTGGACTGTTTGGAAGGAGTCGATCAACACCAATTTGACACCAATTTGCCTATGGAGTGAGTACCTTCGTACTTGTGCGGGCACCATTTCGTGTCAACTGCTATGCCCCTCCTTTGAATGCTGTGGACTAGAGTGGCTTGCAAAGCGTCGTACTCGTAGGTATGGGCATATGAGTATCGCATCCAATAAGCCATCAACCATTGCGAACCCAGTTCATTCAGCGGAGACAGAATGCACCATTAGTGGATGTCGAGAGCGGAGTGCCCTGAGTACTCGCCAAGTGGCAACGAATCTGATTGGGGAGCAATGGAGCGGTTTGTCACTGGGATTGTCGATCTGGTTCCCAGCATCCTGACCGATGGGGCTCATTTCGAAATACCCATGGTCAATTGTTATCTGCCTTGGAGAAGTTGTGATGAGAATTCATTGCCGTGGGGTCTTTGGAGACAGAGGACATGTCTCATGCCCGTGCTAGCCCGGGGGAGCATGTCCAAGAATACCAAGAATCGGGGACAAGGGACAAGACCAAGGTCTCTGGAGACGTTCTCTAGAGACGATCGACGAAGGAGCGCATGGTAGAGAAGAATCGGGCATGGCTGCTGTCCCGAAACGCGCAAATGCCCAGGCTTGACTGGCCAGAAGCCCTTGGACCTCATTCATCATTCTTTCTCACTAATCTACAGCAAGTGCTTTGCCTGCGCCCCCTCTTTCCCCTTCTTGTACCTCGTACTCGGTACCTGGGGCGCAGTCAATGACCTCAACACTTTTGCTCTCTGCCATCGCCAGACGCGTCTTTCACTTTCGTTACTTCACCTCATCGACTGCTCGAGCACGCTGCATGGAGCTGATGGGCAGCTCCCCGGACTCCAACTGAAGTTCTAGGCCAGACCTTTTCTCCTTTCTCCCCTGCAGACTCACCGCTAGCACGCACGAGTACCTAGCCCGTTGAAGCAGCCACAAAAGCTAAGCTGTTTGCTATCTAGGTGTTCTGTACACCCTACTGAACCCCGCTCACAACGAATCCACTTGCCCTGTGGGCAATTCCCATTCCCTCTGATCTCGAGCGGTCGTGGCGAACCGCCGTTGAACACCCCAACGACACGGACATGGTGTCCGTGTCACAACACCTCCTGAGTGTGACCTGTTCCCGGGTCGAGCCTGTACCTGTGGCCTGCGACTGCATTAAGCTATTCGCGAGGTCGTAAAAAGGCTGGATGATCTTCCCTGGTCTAGAACATCCTGAGGCAGCTCGTGTCTATTTCTCCTCCTTTTCTACACTGCTGGGCCCTCAACCCAGCCCACCTCTGGACAACATGTGCCTCCAGTCACCTGGCTTACTCTGAAGGAATTCGCCGAGGCAAACATTTCCGACGGCTGCTTCTGAAAGTGAAACATCCGAAGTGGAAGTTCTAGGTGCACAAAATAGTCAGGGATCAGACAATTTAGTGTCCTCGGACCTGGAACGCAAACTGCACCTTAGGCTACAAATGCAGCCTAAAAGAAACTCCTACAGAGGTGCGTGGTTACCCAAAGTGGCACACTAGCGTAGGCTATTGCTTGAGAGTCAAAGGGAGACATTTAGCTTACCCCAGTCGCTCTTGCGTCACAGAGTCTAGACTCCTGTCTACTTTACACTCACGAGACATCTTCAATCAAGGTTACGTACCGAGCACAGGATCACTGGCCACAAACCAAGGCACACTGGGAACCTCCAGATTCACGGCACCTCGCCGGGCCTGAGTCCGAGAGGGTCGGTTCCAGCTTGACAGCATAGTTTGTCGTTCCGCCGAAGGGGTGCTCCCGGTTGCAGGACCCAGGAAGCTGGGTTGACGCCGTTGCAGCCTTCGACCCATCGATTTCTCAAGATCCCACCACCCAGTCGCGCTTTCTCGGTTCCAGCTGGGCCCCATGCGTGGCCCTTTCTTCTCGCTTTCGAGGGCCAATAACCTGTCATTTGCTGTGGCTAGGATGTCACTGACGTCAAAATCCACCGCGGAGGGTTCTGGGCCGAAGAGAAGAGCAGTTGGCATTGCAAGGGTCAAGAACACGCCTCGTCATTTGAGGTCGTGGAGAGTGCGGAGCGATCTGCTGTTCTCCTGCAAATATCAGACAGCATCGACCAGCGCACTCGCCACAAGCTCGCGGCCCGGAAGCCCCTTCCCAAGGAATCCAAGAGACGGATTCAACGGCTTAAATACACTTTGGAACACGGATACAATCTCGCAGCTGACCCGCCAGGCCCATCCTCTTAAAGGCCCCTGCTGCATCATGCGGATGAAATGCGCCGAGCCTCGCGCTCCAGATGCAAATCAAACTCTGACTGTCGTCGAACTACACTGGGTTGCGGCACATGTTGATCTCTGCGCACCTTCCTGCCCTTCCAGGACAGCGGGATGCTGGATCGCCCTTCAAGGGGAAAAGAAGGTTGCGTCGCTCGATTACTATCCACAAATGGCCTTGGAAGCGGCCCCCTTTGGGGTGGTAAAGTGGCCAGCCACCGAAGCTGTTGAGTTTCCTTTTGAGCAGAAGCCTTCACGCCGATTAGACAATCAACAACCCAGGCTGCCCTTCCTGTTACTCAAGAGATACTGACCGCTCATTTGGATTCTCAGCAACTAGCTAGTACTCGACTGTGGCGGCATGGTTTCTCTTACCTTTCTTCTCTACGCCCTCTCCTTTCCCTCTGACCGTGTGCGAACAAAGGGGGTGGGTAGTTGGACGCCTGAGACTCCCCGAACTGAACAATGAACAAGCCACAAGCGGTAGCTACCAAGCTCGAGATCGCTCTCGCCTCGCAGGGAGAGACAACCGTGTCGGTTTCATATCGAACCACTCCTCCATGTACTCACTCATCCACCCCATCCGAGATCTATACTTCTTTGGGGAGTAAAAACCCCCAAGGAATCTCGTTGTATGTTTGGATGATGCATGATAATGTGCTGTAGCACGGGGGGACATGGAGAGAAGGGGGCACAACAGGTAAGGACGGGACGAGTTGTGGCACCCCAAAGAACAAATATCCATTATAATGCGTAGGCAACTGGCGCCCAAAAAGGATTCAAACGTCCAAACTTCGCTCCGTAATTAGGCATGATAGATGGGTTTCCTCCTTGCTCTTTGATCCTCCTGCAAGCTTCATCTTCGTCTTCGTGAATAGTTCGAGAACACATAGTTTGCGTTCCTCATCCTCGCGTTTCATAATGCACGGATTAAAACACCATGGATTATATATGTTCTCATTGCTCTTTCGCTTTTTCCCATCCATCGCCTCGCCTCGCCTGGCCTGCCCTCGCCTTCCTCTCTCCAGTGCTCACGACAAGCTCATTGTATATCTTTCTCTTGACATCCATTCGCATTTTTGGGAGGGAGGGGAGGGAATGCTCCCAATCCCCATCCTTAGCCGTGTCCTCATCCCAATTCATGTCCATGTTCATTTTGTGCAAGGCCCATTCCTGTTGTATATCCAAGCATTGCAGATTTGAGACCGAAAGCGGCGACGCGCCAAAATATCTCATGCGCAGGAGGGACAACGGGGGGAGAAAGAGGAGGCTCCCCTAGCAGTCTCCTAGCACTCTCCCATCCCAATTCATCTCTTTCGCTTCTCTCATTTCTTCACCTCTTTCACAATCAGGCCCATCCACCTGCCAACCATCACAACCCCACCACACATTCGCTGACGGAAAAAGAGGGACTCACTTCTCACTCCTCGATCCCGACCCTGATAATGACCGAGATCTCGAGCGCCTTGGCCTCGCGGATCGCACAGGACAAGCACGTGCGCCCGACCCTAGCGACGATGGCGTTGCGGCCCTTTTCGGCACACCATGCTCGGACGAGGATGTCCTTTTTCCACAGTTGCGGATCGCTGCTTCCGTGCAGGTAGTGCTGGAGATAGTCGAGGTGGACCTTGGGAGAGGTGACGGTGCTGGCTCCCGCTCCTGCTGCTGATGCTGGTGGCGGCGGTGATGAAGCCGGTGTAGGTGTCTCTCCTGCCAAGTTCGTCTCGGAATTGTGTGGCGAACAGCCATGGCTTCGTGCGTCGATGACCCAGACCCCCTCGTCACCCATCCTCGTCGGGTTCGGGGGATCCAAGTGTGGATTCTCGACAATCTCCGCCAGTGTCTTGGTCACGTAGGAGTACGTCTTGTGCAGTGGGTGGGCAGGGATATGTTCCGCCACGCCTTTTACGTGCTTGGGGTGGTGATGTTCGTGATGTGCATCCTGAGAGCCCGACTTGAATGTGGCATGGCCGTGGGGCAGGCGGCATGGGTAAGAGGTCACAAAATACACAGCACGATCGAGACCGTAGCGGATTTGGAGCTGTCTTGTCTCGATGGCCGGCACGTCTCTTGATGATTGATGGGATCGAGATGGGCCGAGTATGAGATCGAACTGGGCCCATGCTGACAATGGGTGCTCTGCAGATGTCGCTGTGACATCCGAGCTGGATAGATGAACCTTGATATCCTTGACTGTGACTTCTGGCGTGCTCGCATCATCCAACACGTGGTCCGTCACCATACTGAACTCGGTTCCCATGATCCCTCCTTTGCCCTTGCCCAGTGGAGTCGAGTCCTCGGCCAGCTTCTCGCCGTCGAATATCCTAGGCCGGTCGCGATCTGTGGGCACGGGGAATGATTTGATCTTCACCCAGCGGGTGCTGAGCGGCTTGCTGGTGTTCTCATACAAGGGCACAAACTTGGGTGTGTAGACCCAGCCCATGGACTCCTTCGCCCCCTGCATGGGGGCCATGACGCGTCCCACGATACAGGATTTCGACCACCACGAGGAGCCGTCGAGGACGAACCCCGATCCCCGCAGCGGTAGGCTGGCAGTCCCAAGATCCTTGAGAGTATGTGGGTTAGGGTCGTTCTCGAGAAGCGTGGACATCAAAATATCGCAGATCGAGGTGCCTGGGAGGATCATGGCCGAGAGCCAGCTGTGTGAGAGCCAGCCACCAATGGTGGTCGGTGTCGCGGCGTGTAGATCGACGTTGAAACTCTGAAGCGAAGGAGTCAGATTGACGGGATGAGTTGCACCAGTGTTTTCATCAGGACACACGATTGCATCCATGAGCAGCTTTTCCCTCTCTTTGTCCGAAGCCGTGCATAGCTTGTGCTTCAGGTGATCGTGGAGCTGCTCGCTCCGGGGCCACCCAATGTTAGTGGCGAAGCGGAAGAGCCCGTCCACCATCACAGCTGGTTGTCGAGCCATGATGGCCACGTCGCAGGCATCTAGCACAACGTGTCGTTCAGGCTCGGATCTGTCCAATCCTATCTTGTGTCTGAGATCACCGAACAGTCCGTGATGGTGCTCGGCCGAGGACTTTTGCCTGAGAGTCTGGGGTCGCTCCAAGGTATGGACCGGCGATATGGTGGTTGAGTCCCTCCTTTCGATTCTCTTGATGTAGGAGAGAAATAGGAACCGTCGGGCTGTCACAAGGTCCCAATCGATTTTGAGATTGCGGAGTTTATTGAAATGGTGAATCTCCTCGCTGCTAATTTCAAAATTGTCCGCATGGAGCGCCACGCCGAGTCTCAGAGCCGCGTCGAGGCGAATGACCAATTCAACAGCCAGGAGAAGCTGAATGAGCAACCACTTGCGCTCCGGATCGATGACCAGCAGGCCCGTGTCACGGTCATGTCGCGTCGTCCGGCTATGTAGGATCTTTCCGAAGCGCAAACGCGACTCGGGTACGCTCAGGTCGAGCCACGCACCAGGCGTGGTAAGAACTTTGACCAATGCTTCAATTTGGATCTTCAGGGACGTCTTGCCGTGTCTTGCATCTGCCGGCACTCGGTGGGGTGGATAGAGCAGCTCATCGAAGAGTTGAGCATAGAGGTCCGCAGCGTCCATATGATTTAACACTGTGACTCGCCAGCCCGCATTGAGGACATGATTGCGCAACTCGCCAATCTGATCCATCCTGTCGGCCAGAACCTCCATACTGATGTCCCGAACACCTACTGATTTCCACGCGTGGGGACCTTCTTTGATCAATCTGGTTCGCTCCTGGGCGGGCGCGTGCTTGCCGATTTTCGCATGCAAGTCATCATTCTCTTTGCTCAAGGCGAGCATCTTGAAGGCCTCCATCGCGGGGGCATTTGCAATGGCTAGGTCAATCTCGACGTCCTTGCCGTGCTCCCTGATCTTTTCGTCCGTCATGCCATCTGCTACGGGTCTTTCGAGAAAATAACGCATACCTACGGTGCCCGGCTCCCGACCTTCGATGCTCAGCATGTTCGGTCGCTCAAAGATTCCGAGTTCAAACATTGGCCGCTTTCCCAGTTCAAGACCCTCCTTCTTGACAGGAGGTGCCATCCCTGGTTTCCAGTTGACTTCATCGGGGATTGGCAGGTGGGCATGTAACGTCGCGAGGGCGAAGCTTTCATGCTTGATATATCTCCGGTCCTGGAGGTCAGATATCTCTAGGTCATTGTTCCACGGGAAAAATGCTTGGGGGAAGTAGCGTCCCCTCCGACCCTTCTCGAGGACAAATTGAGGGGCTCCAGAGAAGAGATGTTCGACGTCTTCTTTAGTCAAGCCTGCAGGGCGGCGATCGCTTTTAGGATTTCCGCCTGTGCCTTCAAGGTTAGACTGATGTCCTCCTCGCAAAAGCCTCGTGGACCTCACCTGCTTGGGCATCTGTTTGCAACCTGTCGGAGGCCTTCCTGCGTAGCGAGGCAACTGTCTTCTCCGTGGTTGGGTCCAGGTGATGCGCCGACGCCTGTTTCTCTGCATGAGGCGACGGGCTCGGCTTCATTGGCTGCTTCCCTTTGGTGTCGGCGTGACTGAGATGGGGCGGTACTTCGGCGACCTTTGACGACACGACTTTGTCGCCCACACCTTCTGTCGCTGCTTTTCGCTCATGGTGCGCCTTACCCCCCTTCACGTCAGCCTCGTCGTGCATCCGGCAACAAAGACGATTCCGCAAGTTGAAGACAAGCTCCCGGCAAAGTAACGTGGGAAAGACTCACCTCGATTGGCTCAGGAATTGACGTCTCATTCTGAGGGGGTGCCTCTCTCTCTCTCGATCGACTGGTCTTCTTGCTCAGCCGGCGAAACAGCGATGGCTTGGTGTCTTCAGGAACCCGCTCCGCTGCACCAGCATCCTGACCCGTCGGCCCTCGACTTCTGTCCTCCTTCTCCAAAGACGACTTCGAGGTCTTGCGCGCGAGTAGATTCATGATGGATGATTAATAATTAATGGCCACCTGTGACCGGATTGGCTGGAGAGGGTTTATTATTCGTCCTAAAGCTGGAGAGGAGGGGCAACGGTCTTTGTGTTCTGACAGCTTTCTGGAAACGACAGGGTGGATGGGGATTTCTGATAGATTCTGATTCAACACATGCATCCGGTGGCAACGGACTCAAGGTCGATGAAAAAAAGGTCGGCAATCGAGGCGCACGCATTCAATGACTTGTGCTGAGTGGGTCGAAGCTTCTAAGCTGCGCGAAGCGGCAAAGGGTCGCATGAGAGAGCTTGTGGTGTTCTTTTGGGGTCTGGCAGGCTCTGCTAATCGGAGCTGAATCACCAGAATTGGGGGGCATCTGCTCAGATAATAAATTGACTGGATATATGAAGAGCCTAAGCGGGTGCGACATGAGCTGTTATGTCAGCTGCCTGCATGTGCCTTGCTGGGTGCGTGCAGCTCTACCTCAAGGGCGGCCACGTGATTGAGGTATATCTGAAGGCGTCACGACTGCCACTGCCACTGCCAACTGCCACTGACACGGCAACAGCAGCTGATGTGGCGACACAATAGGCAGACAGTGGTGACAGTCCCCGGCAAATCCTGATGTCATCCATGCCGCTCTCAGGAACAACGGTGGTGACGAGCATATTGCGCTTGACCGGGAAAGTGCGGAAACCAAGGCTGGAGCAAAAGCAACTGATACTCTATTGGGCCCCCGAGATATTTCCCGGCGTCGCGCTTGGAAAGCCGCAGATCTTCATATCTTCAGATCTTCAGAAGGAGGCATAGACCGCCTTGAACCAAACACCAGTACATTCAATATGACATAGACGCAATGACAAACAGATCGCTTTTGGAGTTGGCCACCCACTTCCCCGTCAACATCATCCCCCAAATCCTCGTGGGCCGGTCGTCCACTGGGGTGAAACCGCCTCAAATCCCACGTCCATGCCAGATCCCATATTCCAATACTGCGGCACCAGATCAGGATCTCCCAGCCAAGCCTCAACCTCAGCAGCATGTGGAATCTGCGTTACAGGTATGTCCGTCGTCGTCGTCGTTGTCGTCGCCATAGCTGGATGGCCGCCCATATGGTGAGACGTGTGAGCATGGGCAGGTGCACGCATCGACTCCATCTGCGATTCGGTGGCCTCCTGCTTTTCCATAGCCCCAGCAGGTGCTTTCTGAAGCATCCGCCGGGACATTTGTCCCGCATTCAGTCCGGCTTGCATAGAAATTTGCCCGGCTGGAATCAGGGTTCGGTCCAAAGACACCTCATACACCGGTATCGCGCCCATCAGTTCGCTTGCATGTGCAAAGAAATCCTTTCTCATCGTCCACGAACGGAGATCAGCTTCGCGTCGCTTGAACTCCGGCATGACTGAGTACAGCTGGGTCATGGGGTCTCTCTCATAGACATCCGATACATTGTAGGGCCATAGGAACTTCAGTGATCGCCGGAACGAATCCGAAAATTTGTTGTTGATATACCTTCCCGCATTCTTGCACAGGGAGGTGCGCAGGCCTGGCCAAATAAAGTGCTCAATTAGGGGCATCTTCTCCAAGACTTTCACGTCTTCCGTCGGGCCTCTCTGGAAGAAGGGCGGTAGCGGAGCCAGAAACTGCGGATTCATGTTGCTCTGATGGAGCAGCTTCAGCCGCATCATGTGGAGGATGGCAATCCTCTCCACAACGCCACATTCGCGGAAGATGGATTGGTCAATGCTCCTGAGCGCCTGCCAGCCTCTATCAAGTAGATAAAGGTCCTGCACGTCGCGCCATCCATGCAATACCGCGCGCACGACGATATCTTCGTCAAGGGGTTGGTTCGCGAAGGATTGGTGTCCTCCAGCCAAGACCCGATTGACCTCACGTTCTGAGAGGAAGAACAGTTCGCCTTCGACCCTGTCCTTGGCAGGGTCGGGCGGCTCTGAGGTTGGTGGTTCGAATACTGGTGCAGGAGGGACTAACCTCCCAAGGCCGTTCAGTCGATCCGGGTGGTGCGAGGAATGGACTCGAAGGCCTGCCACTCTTGGGGTGTAGTTGCGCGCAGATGCCTCGGCAGACCTCGGTTGGTCAAATGGCTGATAACCAAGCTCGATCACAGGGGACGATGAATCCGAACTGTGGGAATAAACGGAGGCGCTGTTCTCTAGATGATCCTGGACCATGCCTTGAAGAGGCGTCGCCATTTGTGCAGGCTGCTGGATGTTGTAAGCCTCAGGGCCAGTAAGTTGTTTCGTGGCCGAATCCTCGCCGGGATTCAAAGCGCCTGCTACCAGCCTCTGTACTCCAGTGACCATCTCCCTCAGCCGTCTGACCTCGTCCTCGCTCTGCCTCAGTTGGGATAATAGTGCTCTGATTCTTTCTTGGCCTGCTTCTTCAGTGGTTACCTGCCCGCGAGGATGCTCACCGCTCTCGCCGTGACTTGTGGACGAGCCCCCATTCTCCATAATTCGGACTAGGTTCTCAAGATGGGCGATGTAATTTTTGGTTTTCAGACGTATGCTTCGCTGGGCCTCGCGGTCGATAGCTCTTTTCCTCTCACGTTGAGAAGCTGTGAGCTTGAGCGTCCGCTTAGGCCTTTTCGGTGTCGGTTCCTCCACTGGAGGCCCCGTCTCAGCTGGAGGTGGCAGCGGAGCAACTTGAGCATTTTCGAAAGGTTTTTGAATCTGGCCGGAGGTCCTCCGAGAGCTCGTATTAGAAACGGTGATTGTCGAGGTAGGCATATCGGGGAAGTGAGCGTTAGACCGATGCGATTGAGGTGTTGGATCAGCGAAAGGCAAACAATTGGATGGCAAAGATTGAGCTGGCTGCTTGGGCATATTCCTCAAAGATAGTTCGTTTGCAGAATGGACGAGGGTGAATTTGCAGCGATGAACCGTTTTACCACGGCATGAGCCTGTGAGTAGATTTGAAGAGAGGAGATTCGGACGAGGAGCTCGTGGTTGACAATGGCACTAAATACGCAACCCAAGACAGCACATGATCAGTTTCGGGCCGTCGAGACCATATACACTGATTTGCGTCGTGAAACACAAGCAAATAGAGCGGCAAGAGTCGACAAAGAGAGCGATGTTGAAATTGTCAAGCCGTTAGACGATCACTGATCGGCTAGCAAAAAGATGCCCGATGCAGGGGAGGGTTGATGGGACCTTGCAGAAGCTGGGGCGGTCTTGTGTTTGGGAAGAGGAGGAATTGATGGAATGCGGTAGACGAGGGCAGGCGTCAAGTGAAGTGGTGAGGGCAGCGTTCCAGGACTCGCCGTCGTAAGCAGTCTGCACGAGAAGTCGAACAAGGTGCAGAAACCATGCCTGGCGTGCTTGACAAGGAAGCCGGTTCCGTGACTTCGCGAAGTCGGTCTTGAGTTTCGACCCAATTTCTGTACGAGGGGGGCCGGGAGACGATAACTACCTTGTGTCGAAAGAAGATATGGATCCCGGTTGATCTCGACTGCCCGACTAGCGAGACGAAAAGGGAGAATGGTGAGGTCGAGCAGAAGATGACTTCGATGAATGGAGAAGTTGGAACGAGCGAAGGGATGGGTGGTGATGATGATGCTTATCCAAAGTTCCATCGGTGAAGAGCGGCTGTCCGCGAAGCGTTTGGTAGAAGCTGACCCATTGACTTCTGGGGGGTTGTTTGGTGCTCGCTCCCGAGGTGGCCCACTGGTGGCTTGGGCATCCTTTGGGGCGAGACTGGCGTGGATGGCACGGGAAACGAGGGGAGAAAGGCACCCTATTACTTAAGCCTCCCGGTAAGGACAGCCTATGGTTGGTGGGTGCTGTGACGCGTAGCAGCCCGCTTCTTGCGGCACTCCTCCCGGGGGCTCACTAGGCCCATGGCTCATCCACTCTTAGTACCAGCGAAGAGGGTCGCGCCCTGGGCCGCTGCTTACTGAACGCCAACGGCCATCAGCCTGGCACCCCTGGTGCCGTGATGAATTGCTCATCAGCTTCCGGTGATCCGAAATCTTCAGGAGACACAGGACATCATCCATCACAAGCCTGAGAAATACCACTATTCCCGTCTATCAATGCAGGGGGTGCTAGAAGAACGTCTCAAGCATCGCGACGGATCAGGCTGGAATTCCTTGCCACTCATTCTTTAATGCCTCAGTTTACGGACAATCATCCCTCTTTTCGGAAAAGTGGCACGTTGGAGGTGGAAGCGAGTAGTAGCTAGTTCATATCTACGTAGTTACTGCCCAACCCGTGCGAACGGGACGATGGTAGAGCAGACCTTAGTATATCTGTCTGTCTCTCAGGGGTTCGGGCCCTGGAGAATGCCCATTCCATCAAATTCGCAGGTACCATCTGGTATTGTCAACCTGCTCTTGTCCACAGTTGAAGCGAATGCAACCGTGTGCTCGGAAGGATCGACGACAACACGGCACGCAATGCATAGTGCGGGCTCAATAGCTAGATCTGACCCTGGACTGTTCCAATTCAAGTTTCAAGCCAGAGAAACTGGCGACGGGGCGGAGTCAGCACGGGACTGACACCTTGGTTTCTCGAGGGGGTAGAATCGGATCAGGTAATAATATGGAATCAAGAAACATGACAGGAGAAGACACGAGCTCTTATCGGTTGCGAAGTCTCGCATTCACCTCGGGCACTCGAGATGATCAAGCGCATCACTGAGCCTTTGGGCACTTAGGACATCCTGTTGATCGCGACCCCCGTCCGGTCGTTCTCTGTGAAATTGCTCTCTATCTTCAGGAAAGCAGTCTGCTAATCAAGTGCCGCGAACCTGTTCAAACGCCGTTCGCTGTGGTGCAAGATACCGTTCACCGGGTAAAGCCTCGCCATTTTGCCTTGCCCGTCCCTGACGCCTCTATGATGATTCCAATGCATGATGGTAGAGCCCTTATTGTCTATGCTTGGCTCTTAAAATCCCCCCTGGTGAAATATGTTGTAGTCATAGCTCGTCACTGGAGCTGTTTGACAAGGCCAAAAGCTCAATGATTAATTATGTCCATAAATGTCGTCAAGGTCCCATCGCTCCGCGTGCTGCGTTTCTGTTCCCACTCAAGGTACTATGGGTGAAGAGTGTCTAGGTCGTTCTCCTTTTCTTCGTCAACCGTTGTGTCGTTCCGCTTTGACCCCAGTGGCGTCGACACACTGCGTCGGTGCCCCCGACGATAAGCCAGGGCATCTGGGGCGGGTGAGTCGTTCCCCTCTCCAATGGGTGTGCCAGCCCTTGAGGCTCCCCGTAGGCTTGCCGCCCGGTGTCTGCTGGGAACATCGCGCATGCTCTCTACGCTCATGCGTGCATGTATTGGATTGGAGCCTTGCTCAATGTCCATGTCTTGGAAGTCTTTCGTACTCCAGCTTACACGATGAGCCCTTGCGCCATAGGGCAGGTTCGATACGCTAGTTCGAGACCGCATGGATTGTGATCGAGACACGCTCACCTGATGACTTGCTTCTTTCTCGGGATCCATAGAAGCCCGCGGGGACATGTACAACTCGGCCGTCTGATTGTCTGGATCTTCGTCCTCAATTTTGGGCTGCCGCCGCACACTTGACACCATAAAGTAAGGTTCTTTCGGACGTTCAGGCTCTGGCGGTGGTGGCGGCGGAGGTGGTTTCGGACGGTCAGTTGCCTTACGATCGACATGTGCAAAATATCGCGTTCGAGGTTTCAGCCATGATTTGGGTTTGATAGTCTCCCTGTAGCGCGTGATGGACATGTAGCTGGAGATAGCCCCAAGGACGATGGCGATCATCAGGCAGATGGTCAAAATTCCCTGAATGACAATAATGACCACTCCAATCACCGTAGTCATGATCCGATCCAGCCCGAATCGAGCGTCAAATGCCGACGATAATGCCACCGTCGCCACTTTGCTGAAGCCTAGGAGGTACACCATGATCAAGTTGAGTCGGTTGCTCTCGAATGGCCTCAGCAGCACAATTGCTACCAGAGCAATAATCTCCCAAGCCAGCAGGCCGAAGACCTGAGTCAAGGCATGGCCTGCAGCACCGCCGTAAAACGCAGCCCTTACAAGCTCATAGATCAGCCAGACGAAGAAAAACCACCACCTACTCCGGCGGAATCTTGATGCCAGCCAACCAAATCTGAGAATGTAGTTTTCATCGTCATGGACATGAACCCTGCCAGACTTTGGACCTTGAAGATGCCTCTGGATCCATGTCTGTGGTCGAGGTATCTCGCCGTCTGCGACTTGGGTTTCAGGCACTTTCTTAAAGCTGAGCTTGTACCAAGCGGATTTCCCAGGGTTTTCGGGGCCACGAGATTCGTGGCTTGCCTGCTCTTGTAGCTCTGGCAATGCCTCGGACTTGGTCCTGTACCAGAGGGCGTACGCCGAAATACCTAGATTTCCAACCAGGAAGACTGTGAGTATCACCGCAGCGATGGCCTTGACACCGTGGGCTCCCCCCAGCGTGAATTGGAACATAGTCAAGAACATCATCATAAAGAAGGCAATGTAGCATGTCCGTAAAACGGCTACGGCCATGAACCACAGCCAATGCTGCCGGAAGTATCCAAGTCGAGTTGTCTTGATCAGTCGAACAGCGACCAAACCTTCGATGCTCCATTTCAGCAAGAAAACAGCAGCCAATAGGCAAGCTATCAGGATGAGGAACCATAAAAGTCCCGTTAGGAATGCATTGGACGCGGGTATATTGAGCTCGGCCAAAGTTCCAGCAAAGCCAGAATAATTCCCAGGGAGCGGCAAACCTGGTAGCACTGGTTGTCCGTACCAGGAGAACTGCTGAGTGGTGTTTGAGGAGTTCGCAGCTTCTCTTTTGAGCAGGTGACCCATGGCAAAGGGGTCCGCTTGGAGTGACGCAAACGAGGTGGGAGCTGCTCGCTTGTAAATTTGTGAGATTTCATAGCCGCCTCCGAGCCCAGCAGCATTTTGGCCGTTGGGAGCAGCACCGACCGTGCTGATATTGCCGTGGTTGTTACCAATGAACCGGTTGATCGAATTCTGCATCTTTTGGCTGTAGATTATCCCAGCGGACCAAGCATAATTACTCCAGAACGAGACCAGAACACTTGGCCAGTTCATAGACAGCCCTCCAGTAAAGAAGATGTGCTGGTAAACGGAGAAGACCACGAAGATGGAGACCGAGTGGGCATAATGCTTTCGAGTCTCGGAGAGATCTTGTCCATACATGGCCATGGCCGCTGAGGAGATCAAGGCAATGAGAGCGAAAGCGCCGAGAATAGATGCGACCTCAGAGGGATGCGAGAATGAAGCTCCATTGGTCACCACCGCAGAGAAGCAAGCAATCTGCGATTCGGTCGAGTTGGCAAAAATTCGAAGAATTGCCTGTCCTTCGAAGTCCGGAATGGTCAAGGCAATGGATGGGATGTTAGCCACGTCCGACGGCGCCACTGGGATAATGCCATTTGCAGTAATGGGTATCGAGGAGTTGAGGGGGCAGAGACTGTTGATATTGGCGTTGCATGGATTGAACGTCAGATTAAAACGGGACTCTCCATACGCAAAAACGCCGATGTAGACTGCGATTTTGCGGTCAGCTGGCTGTCAGCACTTTAATCTGGGAACGATATAACTCACGCATCAGACTTTCGTTTGTCAACGCAGAGTTGCCCTCCAGATGGAAGAGAACGGTCATGTTGTCCTTGTAGTAGGCCGCATCAAAACGGGTGACATTGATGAGTGAGTCGCCCTGGCAATCCCCGTAATTCTGGGTGTACAACGAGGGTCGTCGGTCGTCGTTCAGGTAGACAGTGCCATCGTTGCCTGTGTATTCTATCCATCTGATGTTGTCTGCTGCAGCCTGCTGCACATTCAACACCAGGAACACCACCACAATCGACCATACTGTCAACCGTGAGTACATGGCGCGCCAAAGCACCGACGCCATGGCTGTCCGCGGCTCGCGGCTCGCGGCTCACGCCCGGCTTTTCGGTTCGACGAGGCTTCGACGAGGGCTCGTCAGGTTCGAGTGACTGGTTGCAGGCTGGAGGACTTTGACATAACCAGATGGAGCTTTGTTGGCTCTGTTATGCGCAGCTCGAGCAATCAAAGTCTTGGATTATGCGAGGATCTGGAGATTATGTGTAGGGATTCTTTCTTATTCTATCTGAGAGCTCATTCTATGAGAGTTTCAGAACGCAGGGGAGCTGTGTGCACAGTTCCGGTGAGGTCGCAGCGAGGGCATCCGGTCGGAGGACTCTGAGATTCTGGGATTCTGGTATGGTTTGCGGGTCGTTCGGGACCAGCAGATAGTAGTGAAGAGAGGGCGTATGTGCAAAATTAAGAGTATCGGACAGCTGTTAACGAAGGGTACAATGTTGGCGAAGGTGTGAGAGTAAAGGCCGAGCACTTCCAGAGTGACAGAACGAGAGACGACAGGTGGGAGTATGTGCTAGACCGGTACTCTTTAGCATGGTGGAAAAGTGGAAGGTGGGAATGGGAATTGTTAGACAGCACTCCAGCACTCCAGCACTCGGTAGTCACTAGGAACCTACCGAGTTACCACCCCACCAAACTACCAGGAGCTGCATTAGCTAGTGGTATCGGTCGCATCTACCTGCTCAGAGATGGGCACGATGCCGAGACAACTGCGTGGAGAAAGAACCGAGTCCTCCGTTCCGCATGCACCGACACCAGCTGTTAAGCTCTGCAAGCTCCCAAAAGTCTGTGCGAAAAGAGGCTAAACTCACGAGAAAGCCTCACGAACTCTGCCTAGTGCCTCCCAAAGCAGGTTTTGCTCTAGTTTCCAGCTACACGGGCTCGACGGTTCACTACGGAAGTCGGTGCCAATCAATCCCTAGCTACCTAGCTACCTAGCTAGACTTGAGTGCTTGCAGTGGGCATATCGGCAGCGTGATCCTTCTGGGTGGATGCTTTCACACAAGTGACAAGTCCAACGTGCCTTCCCGTTTGATCTTTTTGGAATCAATGACGCGCGGCATCGGCGCAAATTATCCGGCGAGCGGCTCCTTTGCCAGTGTCGCCAATGTGGGGGAGGCAGTGACGTATGGACTATTGCCGACTTGGTACCTAGGTATTGACCGCTGGGTGACTGCTATCCATATCCATACCAGAATTGACGAGGGAAAGATGTTGACTGATGCTTTATCTGGCTCATTCATGACAGGTTTATATCTAAACGCTCCCTGCAGGCGAGGAGATCCAGAAGCATGCGCCTGTTGGTAGTTTGTGCCTCGTATTCGAATGCACCTCTATCCTGTGTCACCCGTTAAAGTGGAGAGGCTGGGGCTCGTATTTTCTGTGCCGTGTCTATGTCATGCCGCTGGTGCTTGTCACCACTCCATCTACACGCCGTGTCCTAGAGAATCACTTGACCTTCCTGTAGCTGAACTATGACATTATTACACTTTTGTCTCTGGCACCGCTTGTCCTCGGCAGCTTGCCTTGGGGTGAGCCACAGTGGCGCCAGTGAAGTCCAGATTAAGCAAGTTCAAGGGCTGATCTGCATCTAACACGGTGTTGATGATTTAGAGGAGGGGCAGATCTGTCCTACAAAGACCGTGTTATCGATATCGCCTGCTTTTGCGCAGGAACTAACCCGGAAAGTGGCATTGCACAGGATGTGCTGCTGACGCGGTGGCTTGCACAGCGTGGACCTCCATCGGGTAGCACGGCGTTGCATCATGCAGCCCCCGGCCGTTGAGATGTAGCAAGGCTGTGGGAGGCTGGGAGCTACCGAACGCGACCAGAGACTTTCCCAAAGAAAACCAACACGTTTCCCAAAACCTTTCTACGTTCTTGCATACCACTCATCCCAACATTCAAAGCGTCTTCTCAATCTCATCCACGGGCAACATCAACTCAACAATCTTCTTCTTGACCGCTTCACTGGGCTCTTCATACGGTCGCCGAGGTCGCAGCATGGCCTCAAGATCGCCTTGGATTCCGGCTTTCTTCGCGCTGAACTGACTAACTGCGTATTTGGTAGTGGCTATCCCGGCTTTTGTAGGGTTTTCGGCATGAGCGGACATTCTTTGCAGTGCCAACGCCTGGTCGTGTTTGCCCATTTTCCATAGGTCGAAGACTTTGACAACCGTCTTTGGGAAGATGTTGGCAAAAGCCGCAATGCAACCTGCCGACCCGGCCGCCAGCCCACCGACCAAGAAATCGGACTGCCCACCAAACACCGCAAACCGCTCGGGTTGGAAGGTGGCTGACAGTCGTGTGATCTTTCCCACCGAACCGCAGGTCAGTTTCACTCCAACAATGTTCGGGAATTCCTGCGCCAAAGCTGCAATGACATCCGAGTCCAAGTCGAGGCCATTACACACGGCAGGGAAGTTATAGATGAGGATGGGAAGAGGAGAGGCTTTCGCGACGGCGGCGTAGAAGTTGTGGACGACGGTGGGTGTGGTCTGCTTGCCAAAGTATGCGCAAGGAAGCACGAGGACATAGTTCGCCCCAGCGGCATGGGCGTCGGCGATGTACTCGAGGACCTGCGCTGTTGAATGCCCTCCGACTCCGGCAATGATGGGGTAGTTCTCAGGAACTGACTTGCGTGCTAATCGCAGGAGCGCGGCTCGTTCGTCTCGGGTGAGCAGAAAGGTCTCCGCATTGGTCCCCAAGATGACCAGTCCTCTCAACCCGGAATTTGCAAGGTAGGAGTAGTATTGCGCCTGTTCATTTGGCAGCAAGGTGTCGGTAGCAGGATCGAAGAAAGTAACGGCCGGAGCATACACTCCAGAGGGTGGGACGGGATGCGTGTGTGGCGTTGGATTTGTAGAGCCCATGTTGCTTGAATTTATCTTTGGAAATGTCAGTTTTTAGGCGTAGACAAAAATGGACAGACTGCGCCCTTGAATAAATTCTGTTGTGAGATGATCAATCGTTTTATCATGCTGAACGACCATCTATCTCCGACAGCGGCACAGTCAATCGGTGACTGCGCCGTCGCCATCTTGCCCGTGTGTGTTCCCGTGTGTGTTCCCCTCAAGTTCCTGATTCCTTGCATGCGGGGACACATTTGAAGGGCTTTCCAGGCGTTTCGATTGGCGATGAGATGCTCCCTTTCGGCGCATGATAGACCGGGGTCGCTAGACCGGTAGAAGAAACCTAAGGATGTTGTGGTCACGACGATACGAGTACATTTTTCAGCGAAACAGATCGAGTCGCCATTGTTGATTCTGATCCTTTAGCAGCAAGAAGAGCGTGTGTGTCACAATGATCAATTGACGAGTGAAACAATGTGAGGCAAGGGTGAAGATGGAGATCGTTTGAATAGGTGCAAACGCTTGCCTAGTTGAAGGAAAGGAGAGTCAAACTCCGGACTAGACGTCCATCCATTTGCTCTTTGTCCTTCCGCCAAAAATCCTTGGATGGGAATATCCTTCTTGTTTCACCACTATACTCGGTCCCTCTGCAGGTTTCCTGCCGCGAGCACCGCTGGCGGGAACATTCTCCCCGTAGGAACTGGAGCATTTTCTTTTTTGAATCACATATGCAAGGCGGGAGGGTAGTCCAGCTATTCAAAGTTGAAAGTGAAGTTGGCGAATTTTAACTCGACCACAAGACGGTTACACGCCGTAAACTAACAACATCGTCGACCGACGAACCTCTTGAAGACCCATTCTGGAAACATAACATCTCTTGCCTCATGAATAGGGTGATAGATTGACCTGGAGGATGAAATTGCGGCCCATGCGTTCTACCACCTTCAAACTCACCCGAGACCGGGGCTCTCGAAGGCTCTACCGCCAGAAGTTGGTCTTGTTTATCCTCATCCTCTTTGCAGCTCTCCTGGCATTCCCTCTATTGCGACACGTACAAAACGACACTTGTTCGGCCTCTCCCTTTCTGCTTCGGGCAGGTCTGTGCAGCACGGCTTTTCACGCTCTGTGGAATTTACTCCATCACCTGGGTGGAAACGGTCCCTGGATCCGCAAAATAGACAGCGTTAACTATTACGACTCACCCCTACCCAAAAAATGCTCCATTGATCAAGTTCACATGGTAAGGTATACTACATGGACAATGCGCGGTAGGCCAGCACTCTTCGTACTGACTTCTATAGCTATCACGGCATGCTGAACGATACCCGACCAAATCTGCTGGCTTTCGTGAGTTGCTTCGGTCATCTAAAGCAGTAGAGGCACTAACGGCCTTGACCAGGCCACGTCGATCTCCTCGGCCGACTTCAGGGTTCGGGGGTGAATCTCACAGGGTCGCTGTCATTTCTCAAAGAGTGGACATATTTTACAGATCTCTCCAATCCTGCATTCGAGAATTTAACTGCTACTGGCCCATATGCTGGAACACGACAAGCCGCTAACACAGGCAGAATTTTGCGGCAGCGGTACAACCATCTGGTAGCCGACGGCCGCAGGACAAATTTCTGGTCTTGCAGCTCCCCACGGGACGTCGAGACTGCAGAACATTTCGCCAATGGATTCTTTGGGCCAGACTGGAAATCTGATGGTTCGGCGGAGCTGGTGATCATTCCCGAGGACGAAGACCGAGGGGCGAATACGCTTACCCCAGGAGATACGTGCCTCAACTACCGCGACGACAAAGTCCATGGTCACGATCATGGATATGCGAAGCTGGCAGAGTGGCAGAGCACATTTTCCCAAGCCATCGCCGAGAGACTCGCTAACGACGCAGAGGGAATGATATTCAAGCCCCTGGAAATCTATGGTATGCTCGACCTCCCTGGGTCCGTGTCGCGTTCGAGGGATCTACTGTGTTTCGCATGTGTTGATATCGCACGGGAACTGACCGGTATCTATAGGCATGATGGAAATGTGCGGATTTGAGATCCTGGCGAGGGGAAAGAGCCCCTGGTGCGATGTGTTCGAGCAACATGAGTGGCTCGAGTTCGAATATGCGCGAGACTTGCTGCATTACTATCGAGCTGGCCCAGGCAACAAGTTTGGTGCAGTATTGGGTTGGTTGTGGCTCAATGCGACCCAGCAACTCATGTCGAACCACTCGTCCAAAGACGTCTATTTCAGCTTTGTCCATGACGGCGACATTATCCCTGCACTGGCCACTCTGGGAATCTTTAATGAGCCTTTGGAACTGAGTCATCTCCCTACTGACCGGCTGCTGACCGAGCGGAAATGGAAGACGAGTGACGTGGTCCCAATGGGCGGGCGGTTGATATTCGAACGTATAACTTGCGCGACAAATGGAGACATAACCACATCCGGCCGAGAGCATGCCGTACGGCTCTTTATCAATGACGGCCTGGTCGACTTGGCCAAGTTGACCGACATGGTCCCATTCAGCCAAGTAGAAGGTGCTGTCTCGTTGGAAAGCTTCCAAAACACCTTGTCGGCCAAGGGAACACAGCTTGGGGATTTTCGAGAAATCTGCGCGTTGCCAGACGACGCACCAGATAGGATCGATTTTTTGCATCAATAGAAACAATACAAGGTACCTACATAGTAGTATCTAGACAACGAACTATCCGATTACAAGGTTGGGGAGAGCACAGGAGAGCGAATGACAAGGCTGGGTGTATTAATAGCTCCTTTGTCACAAAGCCCCTGGCGATTTGGGTCTTGGGGAACACGGCCCGAGGCTGAACCAAATCTCAATGTTTCAGCGGCTGCACCTCAACCAAAGCTGATCTGACGCTGCGGCTGACACCGCAAAGGGGCTGAGAATATATTACTGAAGACAGGTTGCTTCACGACTCCTGACCCAGACCAGCTTCAGCTTCTTCTGCATTCCCGACAACAACACTGTTCACAGTTGCCCCTTGACACACTCTCTCATCGGTCAAAAATCTACTCCAACCCCAGTCTCCTCACTCCAGCGACGCGGATAAACAAACACGAGACGGCACGCACTATCTGAAGTGATTTCGCCAACGAGCCCTTTCACTCCCTTTGCCTATCCTCCATTCGAACCAGAAGCCGCTCTTGAACCTCATCCTCTTCTACATTGCGTCCTTTCGACTGATAGCCCTTGGTCAGAGCCTGGGGACTTCATCAATCCCTTGTTTTTGGAAAAGCAGGAAAAGAAGGACATCAATCCGGCCAACGAAGAAGAAGAAGCGATGGCCGACCTACAGACACCTACTGAAGCAACGCTTCTGTCGACGACCGAGTACACCACTCCAGCCTCCAAAGAAGCAGCCACACAAGTCTCCCTCGTGGAAGCCCCAGTGACCACTACCACCGCATCTACAGAGACCGAGCCGGCACCTGCCTCCACGGCGACGACGACGGCGACGGCGACTGTCAATGGGATCCTTACTAACGGCACTACACCCGCGCCCGCCCCTGTGGGCAACGTGAGGGAGGAAGATGACCTGCCACTGTTTTCCCCGTCACTCATTTCCGAAGAAGTCATGTCCCGACTGCCAGAGGGCTACACAATTCGCCCTCTCCGACGAAGCGATTACTATGGAGGTACGTCTTCAGCTTGAGCCCCCCTGGTTGCATACGTTGTATACTCAAGATCTGACCCTTGCACTTGCAAAATTGGGACTAATCGCTAATAATTCTGCTCTGTGCTGGTGTACAGGCTTTCTCCCCACCCTCCGCGTCCTCACCACCGTGGGCGAACCCACCCTAGCCGAATTCAACGCCCGGTACGACTTCATCTCCTCGCGCAACGACACCTACTACATCCTGGTCATCTGCGACGAGACGTCGACCGTCGTGGGCACGGGCGCGGTGATCGTGGAAAGGAAATTCATCCACAACATGGGCCTCGTGGGCCACATCGAGGACATTGCAGTCGCGAAGAACCAACAGGGGAAAAAATTGGGTCTCAGAATCATCCAGGCCCTGGACGCGGTGGCCGAGAGAGTCGGTTGTTACAAGAGTATTTTGGACTGCAGCGAGGCGAATGAAGGGTTTTACGTGAAATGCGGGTTTAAGAGGGCTGGGTTGGAGATGGCGCATTATTACGAGCAGGGTCCCAAGTCGAGTTATGAGAGGTCGTGAGGGGGCGATATGGCCGTGTGGGAGAGGGTTATGAAATCTGTTCGGCGGCGTTTCTTTGCCTGGGAGAATCGGGCCTAGGACTGAGGATGTGCTGTTCCGTTGCCGGGAAGGGTGCCAGATGTGTTGCACACGCTGATGTCGCCAAGGCCGAAGACGAAGACGTGTTTTTAATACTACTATGGATGGGGCTCTACGAGGAGTCAAACATGGGAAAGCGAGTTTCATGTCTGCGATAAAGGGGTTCTGCGGGATAGACAAAAAACAAAAACAAACGAGGAACTGTGTCGGAGCCAGCAGCCACCTGAGGCAGGGGGAACTCGAACGGTGGAAGATGGAAGATGAAGCAGGCATCCCTCGCAGACACAGACAGAGGAAAGAGTATGTCGTCGGTCTTCTCAAGTTCCATTTTATTCTGTGTCCTTTTCCGAGAGGTGCTCTTCCCCTGGGCGAGAAAGGGGGAAAGGGTTCAGAGCGGTTTGTGCAGGGCGAAGGCGAACCCTTGAGGACAGACTGAGAGACGGGGATTCTGTTAATCAATAGGCATGGTATGAAAGGACCAGCGGATCATGGTGGTATATTATCTTGGTCGGGATATATCGACGGTGTCCCCTTTTCTTTTCTTTTCATCCCCCCTTCCCCTTCTTCTCCGCTGGGGAATCGGTTGAAGATGCGCGAACCAAGCATGAACCTTTCTCAACCCAGGTTCAACCCTTGAGAGGGCACAGCTTTCTTGCTTGGTGCAAGGTATTCGGCTCCACGCCGAGTTTGCGCGGTTTCGCATTCTCTTTGCGAGGCGAAGCCGAGAACCTCACCCTAGGCCATGAAAGATCCCGTCATGAACAGGCAGACGAACCTTCTGTGGAGTTTATCGCTTGCTGGTGCCGCGCCCAGAGGAGGTAAGAGATTCCCACCACACATCCAACTCATTCTCTGGAAAGTACGGGAGTATGACTCAACTGCTTTCATGGCTTGCACGGTCGGCCCGAATCAACGTTCACGTGACCTAGGCGTGTTAGGCAGCAGTCAAAACCTTTCTCTCGCTCGGAATCTTGCAGATCATGTGCATCTCTTCGTTTTTGCAACAGGCTTGGATGTGCATGCGGCAACGAACGTGTACCGAGTGCGAGTGCGAAAACTTCGACCCCACGTTAGCAGATGGCGATGCGAGGCGAGGATGGTTGTTGCCAGCGGGCTGGCTGGTTCATCTTGATTGCTGCTTTGCCGCATTTACTTGCTCACCCTTGATCAGAAATCGTGGCAAGATTCGCCCGTGCTGCTTGAACGCGTTGGAGATTTGATGATGATGATGATGATGATGATCAACACAAGCACTGCCTTGATATTGCCATTTCTTGCTGAGCACAGGTCTTACCTTGAGGCTGCTGGTGGAGTGTTACCCGCCGGCTCTCCGCGTCAGCTTCCAGAAGATCTGTGGACGTGACTCTTCTCACGAATGGACTGCGAACCCGTATTCGGATGAACTCAAGGATGCTACGAACCGGATCTCAGGAAACCGTTCTCACATCCGATGACATCTTGGTTCTGTCTAGGCAGCAGGCAGCCTGGGCTATCAAACTCATCGTCTCGACAACAGCATCCCCCACAGCAGTGACCGCTGGGTCTGAGTTGGCGGCATCTCACGGGATTCTAGCACATCCGGTCGCCGGAGTGGTGCCCATTCGTGCCAGGCCGCAGCGCGGCAAGGTCAGTTGGGTATTGCCAGTGTCTGATGTTGCATTCCGCATCAACGACGCGCTGTTGTGATATCAAGTCTATGTGATCATTGATGACAAATGTGGATATGTATATTCATCTGGGCGTTCGCGTCGTCGCCCATAAGTCACCCGAATTTGTGCAATATTGCACAACTCTGGCAGGGTGCCAGGCGAGATACTCGTACCGTAGGCTTTCTGGCCAAGCGACGGTGAGCCCATTTGAGGCCTGAGGGTTCGTCCCCATATCTCGACCGTGTTGGCAACTTGCTTTTGGAGTAGCTTTCATTATTGGGTCGGCAGGAGTGCTTCTGCCTGTTTCGTTGGCCACTTCGGCCGCACTGTTCTCCCATCTCGGAAAATTGAGGAACGTCTGAACTGTGATCTGGGCATTGGCCAAGCGGCAGTTTAGACTGCCCCAAACTGGCAAGGATGATATTGGAAAAATGGGTCGCGCGCTGCTTCTATTCCCGCCAGCCTCAGCCACTCGCATAGGTAAGGCAGCCCCCAGCAGATCCCAAACCCAGCCCCCAACCTTGCCGTGTCTGGGAGAACATATTGGAAGAATCAACGTGAGGCTGAATGTCTGGCGAAGGCATGGGTTTGGCCTTGACTCTCTGCAACCTGGAGGTGCCTGTTATCCGTCGAAACGACAGTGGGTTCCGTCGGCCCTAGAATGCCGGATCCAGAGTGGACGAGGAGGGAGCGGAATATGGGCCTAAAGGAGGCAAAGTGGCGGTTTGCCGCCCAACTGAATCAAGTTTGACTCACGGTCTTTGGCAGTTGGGCCTGCTGAGGTCGACCCTCGTCCGCCGGTCAGAGTGCCGATCGCCCACCCACCACCACCTGGCCACGGCAACAGTGCCCTTCGCTAGGGGGCGAATCAGGCTGGCGATGATTCATTGACACGCGGGGTTTTGACTGGCCCGATTGGAGAGTTGTAGCGTTGTCAGACACTGATTAGTTGTGCTTAGCCTGGTTTGCTTTCTTGCTCCGAATTTGACGTATTAGGAGGTGCGCACATGTTGGCGGAGTTACACATGCAGCCAGGATGTCATTGACCTGGTGGTTGTGGGACGTCTTTCTCAGGTGAAGCGAAAAGGGTGAGTATAGCATTTGGAGCAAAAGGAGTTCGACCGGGAGATCCGTGAGGGAACAGTTTAAGAAGAACGGAACACCCCAGACGGACCTGATTGATGAAAAGCCACCCAAAAGCAATCTATTAGCGGAGATGACTAACAGGAATCTGATATAATCTTCGTTCTGGCACGGATCCTAGCCAGGCTCGCCAGGCTCATTGGCTATTGTGTTTCGCAAGGGCTCTTGGTCGCACAGAATGGGAGGGCGAGCGCTTGTACGTTTTGTTGACCCAAATACTCCGTACTCCGTGCTGGGGCTGGAGAAGCACATCATCGACGCCTTGCTTGCAGTGAGGCCCAGGGAGGGAGGCCCTCGAATGAAGACCGCTTGTCTTTGAGGCCAGCAAATCTCCAGCCTGGCAAGACATGCAACGGTAATTGTTGGTAGAATACATTGCTCGTAGCACCAAGTACGAACCCCTAGACTAGAGTCAATATGAGCAAACTTCCAGACATCGATCATGCCTGGGCCAGACAGTGGGTGTGTGTGAGTGTTTGGGAGTCTTGGGGGGGTGGGTGTCGCTAGGGGGGGGGGCCTCTCAGGTTCAGGTTTGAATTTGAGTCATCGGCTGATGATCTGAGTGCCGTTGTTCAGCGGCGAGCGAGGCAAGAGCCACCCGAGCCACGGTATGGCAGCGCAAAGTGGCGAGGGTGCCACCCCCAGCCCTGGGCGGCCCTTATATCCTCCAAACCACCGCCAGCGCCCCGGCATGAGGTCCTCCTCTACCAAGGACAAGATGAAGCAAACCATGGATCGCAGCACTGGCTGCTCGTTATACTTTGTTCACGTTTGAATCCCCTGAAGCACACGTCCTGGTTATAAAACGCAGGTTATCGCCCAACCGGCAGCACTCGATTCCCTCAGTAAGCCCTTCCAGCACTCCTGGCTGCGAAAGCATCTCTGGCATTTCGCCACGACACAGAAAGACTCACAATCGAGACCTGAAAATCTGTCCAAGACACTCAACTGACTCACGGGACAATGTCTGCCTATAGACACTGTATATTTAGGACTATTTCACTTTTGCCACGACCGCAGAGTAAACAGATACCCAGAGACACGGGCTGAATCGCACTCCGAGCATCCCCTGCTCTCACCACCAGCGTCCATTGCGATCCGAGTCTCGCATTCACTCCCTCTAATTCACCTTTACCTCTTAATCGCCAACCTATACTCGCTCAATCCATCGGATCTACCTCCAATCACCTCTCTCTCACTGCCAATTGAACCGAACCTTGCCATCTGTTTCTTGGGTTTGAAAAGGTCCCTCGACCACACGCCCTAGAAATACTTCTTCCGCCACCCTCTCCACTCCCATCAGAGTCATAACGGAAATTGGTCATTAGCCATGATTTCTTGGTCGGTGACATATATCCAAGAAGAACCATCTGCACGCCGAAGCCCACCGCCAGAGTCACGAATTGTTTTGGTAAAGCCACATCAAGATCGGTTTGAGACAGACGAGCATTTGTACCTCGAGACCTCCCTCAGTGAGTTGGCTTAGGCTTAACTCTCGAAGGCGCATCGATCTCGTGCTTGTTGTGGTCAAGCCATCTTGCCAAACAAAACAGTCTTCCGTGCTCTGACTTGCGGTGGGTTTGCCACCCATTGCTTTTGGTAAGAGTGAATACATTCCAAACAAAGAGCGACATGCTCACGCTTGCGCAACAGGTTCTTCTAATTGACTATTTCCCTATCAACGTGGATTTTGGTAATCGAAGCGTACTGCCACCAAATCAGGTCAGCTTTCCAATCCGTCAAAATCGCAGGATAAGGTGGCCCTTTCCCAAATCAGAAGATGGGCTTTGAGGAGGTTGCAGCCTTCTCCAATTCCCATCCCCCCCAAAATGTACAAGATTCAGTGGAGAGATGGCTCTCTCCAGTGTCGAGGGAAGAGCCAGGCCGATTCTTCAACCTCCGGCATTCCTATGAGCGGTGGCCTTTCAACACCTATAACGGCAAATCGGACCTCGATCAAACTAGCATTGCTTCCATTGACGATGATGTCAGCGTGAGCGATTCGGCGCATGAGTCGTACTCTTCCGAGTCGTCTTCTCAGACGTCGTGGACGTCAACAACTGATTCTGGCGACATCTTCCTGGACGAGGATGGCAGAGAGCCACTTCCGCCTCTCAAGAAGGTGCTCTCTCACACAGCACTCGAGCCTCAGGAGCAGCTGTTGAAAGGACTACAGACCAAAGACCAAGCCGTCTCGGGCAGCACCTGCCCCCTTGAGTATGCCTATCGCAGCCTCAAGGCTCGAGTCTCAACTCATTTTCAACAAGCTGGTCAGACATGTCCACGATTCCGTGGTGGCGAAGCCAGCATTGACCCGGATGTGCAACATTTGAGTGCTCGGAGAACTGCCTGTTCTTCCAGGAGACAATGCCCACCCAAGTTGAAGAGAGACACCGACGTGACAGAACAATTTGTGTCTCTGCTCATCATTTTCGCAAAGAGACTTATCACCGCAATATGGCCTCTCTCTGACCGGCCACCCATGATGTCGGATTGCTTCAACGGGGCCGGTGTGTTACGGCTTGATACCTTTATCAAAGAAACCCTCCGACGCTCCAAGACAAGCTACTCGACTTTGCAAGTTGCGCTATACTATCTCATACTACTAAAGTCCAGGATGCCGCAAGGTCCGTCCAAGACCAGTTGTAGAGGCGAGTCGTTTGAGAAGTCGCAGTGTCGAGCTATGCAGTGTGGGCGTCGCATGTTTTTGTCGGCGCTCATGTTAGCCTCGAAATACTTGCAAGATCGCAATTATTCGGCTCGGGCTTGGAGCAAGATCTCTGGCCTACGCAGCAGCGAAATCAATGAGAACGAAAGAGAATATCTCGCGCAGATCAACTACGACCTGCATGTCCCGAAAGAGGCTTTCGACAATTGGAGCAAGGTTGTTTTGATCTTGAGCAAATTGTCGAGCGAGGGATCCGCGTGCCAACCAGGTACTTTCAACGCAGACTTCGGTCCCCCTGGTGGTCGTGCAAGCACTTCCTTGGCCGCCATGATCTCACAAGTGGGTTTGGATGAGAACATCAACGACCATGTTTTCTCAGAAGCGTGGTGGACTGCTTTGCTTCGGAAACTCGATCCGAGCATTGTCAAAGACACTGCGCATGTGGATGAGTTCTTGCGAGCCAATCTACCAAGCGATAAGATGGACGTTGTCGCATCGCTCGCGAATCTAAACAAACAAGTGAGCCCACGACCGGATAACGCAAGCCTAGGCGCGGATGGTGTCACTCATTGCTATGATCTGAATTTCAGCGAAGCCCTGAAGACACGCGTAGCCGAGCCGACCAAGGCCCAACCTGTTCCGAGTTCGCAAACTCCCGCTCAGATGAGTCCTGTCAAAGGTGTCGCTTTACCGAGTCGTCCTCAGCTCGGAAATCTTCCGACTCCGCAGACTACTCCTCGGATTCCGGAGCAATATTCGTGGGAGCGAAGCTGTGGCCGACCTTCCCTTCGTTGCTCCGCGTCGGTGGATGCGCTGCGAAGTATGCGGAAACAGTGCCTCCTGAACGCCAACCTGGAACGTTGCCCCCCTCCTCGACCTCAAAGCCTTGTCTTACCATCTGTGAAGTGCCTTTTGCGTCCTGCCGAGACAATTCAGGAACTTCCCAGTAGGTCAACAACCCCAGTGCTTTCATCACCGGCTTCGACCTCTTCGGACTCGACGACTGTGACATCCCGATCTCGATCATCATCCATTTCGTCCAACTCTTCATGGTCGTCCTGGGCACCAAGCATACCACCACTGCGGAGAAAGTTGTGGAGCGGCGTCAGCTCTCCCCTATCTCGAGTCTCTTCACTGTCTGATCGGCCTTGCAAGCCCGTCTCGACAGACTGTCAGAGGATGGAGACCACCCTCCACCAACAAGGCAGCGCTCAGGAACCTCTAAACCACCAACCAAATAACATACCTACCAGTTCCGAAGTCGCTGCCATCCATGGATTGATGTCGTTGTCGGCCCTTACGGAATCACCGAGTCAGAGCGTCACTCCAACGCCTGGGCGACTTGCGGGCAAAAGTGACAGCGCGGCGCACCTGAGCCAAGGTCACCCCAGGGGGCAAAAGAGGACTCTCTCCAAGAGTGACGCCGAGCTCCATGCCCAAGTGAGGAGCATCCTGTCGCAGAGTCAGACACACATGGAAGTCGAAGATTCTCTGCCACTTTACTCCTGTGTCACACCCACGCAACTGCAACATCCTTCCAAGCTCCTGACGGATTCGCGCAGAGCAGTCTCCAATTCCACAGGCACGAAACGTCATTGCTCCATGCAACACTCTTCTTCCACACCCGATCTGTCAATGCGCTTTCTCACAGAAGGCATTATAGCATCTTGAAGTTAGGTGATGAAGAGAGTTGCAGACTTGTGCAAACGACGTGTGACAAAGTCTGTGTCCGGATGACAGTCATCATGACGCTTCGTCGATGCCGAGTCTCGTCGGTGGCTTCCTGTTACCATGGCTGCCTTTGCTGTCTCTATCGTATGCACGATCGGAGACACAGTGCTGCGCCGGTTGTAACTGTGCTGTCGACGAGATGGCGCTGGGCGATATTCAGCATCCCGCGCCTGTTCATATAGTCCACAACGGCTTCCGAACTGTCCGCAAGGCTCTTACACAGATCAGGAGCGTCTGGCATTCTAGCTCGAAGTAGGTCTGCCAAATGCGACTGTCAATTGTTACAAGCATCCACGCCAGGTCAAATGTACAAGGCGGCAATGAGCCAAAGCAAAGGCATTCACAACTACCTATCCTCTGCCCATAATAGCAGAGAAACACAAATCACCGCCATTTCGATATCACATCTACCGCCGGGACCATACGGTCCGGAGGAATTCCTCGAACAATCATGTCAGCGCTATCATTGTTAATTGTATAGCTCATGCAATTGAAATCTGTTTTTTCTTTGACCTTTATGATACTACTCTGTAATCTGTTCTAATATTCGTCGCCTCTCTCTCCCTGAACTTGTCACAGACTGATAATCTGCGAACAATTTGTTGAGGCTGTCCAATTTTCCTGTGCTTCCCTCTCCGACGTCGTCTGACCCCATCTTCTATTCAGGTATCTATCCCGTTGACACCTATCATGGACTAATGCAGCAGCCCCTCCCTTTCGCCCCCTCTCCAGGCTTGTATGGCAATGCGTTCTAGGCATCGACCCCATCTGGCTTCATCTCTGGGAAGAATCAGAGGCTGGGTGGTGGTGCACTGGCGGATGACTGGCCAGCCCCGATATCGGGACCACCATCCTCCGTCACCCGCCTCGCCGCTTAGCCCGTTCGAGCCACACCGCCGCCCGTCCCACGGGTAGATTAGATAAGATGGGCTCCCACAGGTATAGCAGATAACTACCTGTAACTGCACCTCCTACAACTGTTGGAAGAGGTAACCTACCTACGAGGCACTGTACGTCCATTCCCTACCTACCTATCTAGCTACACCATTTCCCCCCTTCATGATCTATCATTCTTCGTCGAGCGAAATCCTAACTACCTAAAAGACCTCCCCGTACCTACATAGCTCGCTCGCTAGGTTCCCTAAAATCCCCTCGATTCCCCTCCTCTCCCCATACGGTGTATAATACCCGTTGCACAAAGGCCCTATATCATCATCATCATCGTCATCGTCATCAATCCATCAAGTTCCCAACACCGGAATCTCTCTCTTTCCACCGTCCAGATCTCTCGCCCTTTCTCTGGACCTCCCGTCTTCGCCCCCGCTCGGGAAGTTTAGCACGTTGGGGGATTTTTCCGAGAATAAATAAAACAAAAAGGGGAGGGGCTAAATAAACAAGAAGAGGGCAAAGGGGGGAATAGAAGAAGAAGAAGAAGAAGCACATATAACATACACGCGCGCGCGCGCAGGTCGCGAAAAAAAAAACATGAGGGTGCATTCGCCCTGCACGCTGGCGGCGCTGGCGCTGGCTCTGGCTTCGCGAGGTGTATTCTGCGCTCCCCACCCTGCGGCGATGCAGGAGAGGCTGCTGCTCGACGAGAGTCTGCCGGCGGCTGACCACGACGACTCTTCTTTCGCTTCTGGTTCTGGGTTGGGAATCGAGTCGTTGTTCTCGTACACGCCGTACAGGATCCCCTTTCCTCCTCTGTTCGCCGAGTCGATGACGGCGCAGCCGCAGCCGCAGTCATCCCCCTCCAATGACGATGACGACGACGACGAAGACGAACGAGAGAACCCCACCATCTCAATCCCAACGCGGTACTACTCGACCATCCTAGGCCGACGCCTGCTTGCCCTTTCGTCGCACGGGGTCCTCACGACCGTCTTTCCCTCGAACCTCTCGTCCCCGGCATCGGTAGCAAACACCCCGATCGGCCTGCCAGAGTACATCGCCTCGTGCGAGGAACCTTCGGGGAACCCGACCATTTTGTCACTCAAAGTGTCGACGTCGACCCGCAACGCCGCCGCGGGTTCAAACGTCTCCCTCACCTTGAGTTGGTGGGACGAGTACATCCACCTGACCGGGTCAAAACCCTGGGCACTGGCAAATCTCCCCCGCCTGAGCCTTACGGGTTACCTGGAGGAGATCTCTTCAGACCAAGTGAACGAAAAGGCCATAGAGACTTGTTTTCTGCAGAAGCACAGGGACAGTATCATGTGGCTCCCGGGCCGGAAGTGGGCCGCGCACCAAGGCTTTTGGACTCGGCTGGTCGTCACGCAGGCGTATTGGATCGGCGGCTTCGGGGACAAGAATTATATCGGCTGGTTTGATCCTGACGAGTGGAGGACAGTGAGGAAGGAAGATTGGGAGGGTGTTAGATTGCCAGGAGAAAAGGAGTGAAGAAGTTGTTGGGATTTTGAGGTAGAGACCTGGCGAGCAATGCATGCGTGAACAGGATTGGGAGAATCGAAGGAAACCATATCAAGATGACCACAGTCTGGTTTGGAAAGAATACTAATTCATTTTCTGTAGAACTACCGTCACGAACCAAGTGCTTTCTTCAGGTCAGGTTGTAGGTAAAGGAGACGACCTCCCGCTCATCCTCCGCCAGCAGTGCGTCGGATAATGAATTGCCTATTTCTTCTCGCCGGAAATGCTGCTAGCAAGATCTGGAGCAATGTCAGCTTGAGCGTGTGGAGAAGGGTTGGGAGGGCATACCTGATGCAGCTTTGCTAGCACTGTTCAGAACACTGGCGGTCATCTCCTGAGCTTGTTCCAAGTAACTCTTGCTTGACTCCTGTGCAGCGCCGGCATTGGAGCTAGCCTTTTGGCTCAAATCAGACGCAGTGGAGCTAGCCTGCTGGCCCAAAGAGGAGGCAGTGTCTTGAACGTTCTTTGTAACCCCGGACAGAGTGTCTTGAGCAGAGCTGGACTTGGCCGAGGTCTCATCGGAGAGCTTCTGGGTGGTGGACTTGCTGTCTCCTGTTCGGCCGTGTCAGCGACGAGGTATGTTTGGGAGGGGATGAGGTCAGTGAGTACCTGGCTGGACCATTCCTGCAATGTCGTCGGCGGTGCCGGTGGCAGACTCTTTGGCCTGGTCGAAGGTGGACTTCTGAGAGTCGGGGGTGATCTTCTCTTGAGCCTCTGCAGATCACGGTCAGCCTGTTGGGAAAGCTCGAAACTGACAAAGGGGTTGCACGCACGGTCAGTCAAGGGCTTGCGGCCGGTGTCAGACATGATGGACGACTGGTTGATCGAAGAAGGGTATGGATTGTGCTAAAGTGATGTATTGTGATCAAAGCGAGAGAGAATAACAGTTGTGTTGCAGTGCTGGTAGGAGAGAAGAAAGGTTGAGAAAGGTTTCGGGACAATTTAAAGGGTTGCCTTTTAGCTTTTCGTCACGAAGGGCAAAGCAGGTGCTATGGGCAAGATACGAGATAGTAAGGCGCAATGACAGTGAATGCCAGCAAGCGGAGGGATGATACTAGGAATGTACCGTCTCATGGCGGGTGCATGGCGGGGTGGGGGCTCTGGTATAAACTTTGACGTCATCAGGTGAAAAGCGATCGGTGCAGTTGCACATGAAACGCAAGGCCAGGCGCGGAAGGAGCACATGCAAGCGATAATTAGAGCCATAGAGCCGAGCAAATCAGGCAATATCAACAATCCTCGTTCGGTTCAGTGGGTGGTCCTCCTATCTCAAAGGAATGATGTCAATCACTGGTGCAAGCTAGCAGAGTCTGGTTGAACTGGTTTGTCCTGCTAGACCAAAACAAAACACACCTGGGGGTATCCGCTCGCTGAATCTATTCAATAACAAAACGAATGCCGCATGCAACTGACGCACTGTGTCGTCCCCTCTTCCTCATTACCTCAAGTGCCTGTGCTCCTGCCACGCCTTTGGATGCCAAGTGTGCTTCTTCTCTTCGAACATTCAGCTGGCCACCTTCCGTCCTCTCAAGGTCCATTCAGATCCCCGCAAGGCTCACTGCGCCGCAGTCTCATCCTCAAGTGATGGCTGTCTTCCGGCAGAACTGAGAGCAGCTCCCTTCCCACCATACTCTTCTGGCAACATCTCTCCCAATCCTTTCACCTTGCTGCTCGTCGCCATCTCTCGCGCCAGATTGGCGCCGTTACTCATCGGATGGAACTTCTTGATGGTCTTTGCGGCCACGAACAGCTTCATAAACGTGTAGATGAATCCCATAAATACAGGAACGTTCACAAAGAACTTTTCCTTGAGCAGCTCGGGGTAGTTTTGCGCGAAGATCTTGATCGTCTCAGTGCTGGCAGTCTTCACAACGGGAGACTGCCGAAGGAAACTGATCGACTTGTAATCGTGAACTTGGAGGATCTTGTATGGGTCGTAGGTCGCAGTGATGGGCTTGGTGGCCTTGTCAATCCCCAGGGCTTGCAGTGCATCTTCCATGAGGGCCACTCGCCATTCAATGAATCTGAAAAGCAAAAGAGTCAGTCAAGGGCACTGGATTTGCGTCAAGTTCTGTGGTTCTCCTTCTTACTCTGGCAGATTCCCAAACGTCTCGTCCAGACTCTTGACGCTCCCGTAGATATTCCAAGTAAAAACCTCTCTACTCTCAGGGTCCGCTGCCGGATCGGCATTGCCATAGACAGTGGTATATCCCAACCCAGCAAATTTGTTCCGGTTGAATTTCTTCTTGACCAGTTCCACCGGCTGCATTTTGGCCCGCCAATCCAGGGTCTTGGTGAGGGTGTCCTTGGATTTTGCGACATCTCCGTCGTAGGCATTCAGATACTTTTGCAAGATCACCTGGGTTGGGACGTGGGTCGCCGGGTCTGCGAGTGTGACCCCCCAGATCTCGGGGTGGCCGTGTGCCTGGGCGAGGGCCCAAAGCTCCTCGATCGGGGTGGCCTTCTTCTCGACGGGGACATCGGCATCCCCGGCTTTCTCAGCAACGACCGGAGTATCTGCAGTGGCTGGGGTGGTCTCCTGGCAGCAGTCAGCTCTTGTCTTCCACGAAAGTTCAACAGACAGGAGTCCTCATACGGTCGGGGGAGAAGGCTCGGCGGCAGGCTTCGTCTCTGCGTTATCTGGGACAACAGCAGAAACCTCGCCTTGCAAAGTTGTGTTGTTAGGAGCAGCGGTTGTCGCTTCGGGGGTGGCCATTGGAACAGCGGAACAGGTTGCGCGTTTGTTTACAGTGTTCGCCAGGGGAACTCGTCGAGACCAATGTCAAACCCACAAATATCCACTCTCGGAATATCTGGAGAATAATCCAATACCTCTGAGAGATAGTCCAGTCCACGCAAAAGAAGCAGATCTACCTAGGTATGGTACTGGGAGATGAACTTGACTGAAGGGACAAGCAGCGTCCCCCATATTATTTTGGTTGCCTAATCTAATCTGATAACCGAGCTGCCAAGCCATTCTCCCGACGCTTAATCCCGATCAACCCCGACGAGCGCCGAGCACAGCCGAATTGCACTGTTCGAGGACCAGAAAGAAAAAGGGAGGACTTTTTGACTTGTTGTTGCAATCATCAGATTGAAAAGGGGAAAGCAGGGCCATTGCTCGATATTTCTAGTATTCGGCCGGTTATGTCTCTAAAATCGTGTCCAAGTCGTTGTTCCATCAACAGCCTCTACTGGAAGCCAACATCCCTCGACGAGGGCCTCCAAACACTCATGTCAGTTTCCTCCACCGCATACATTTCGAATCGTACATTTCGAATCGAAACATGACATCGAGGTCCCTTCGCCTCGCCATCTATTCATTAGTCCTCTACCGACTCAGACGTTCAAAAAATGACTTCCTCTTCCCAAACACAAAATCAAGTGCGCACTTCTGCTCGAGGCTCTGTATCTCCAAGCATGTCGAGGCAGACGCGGTGATATCACTGTTGTAAAATCGACAAAATCACAAGTTGCACTTGGACTGTAAATCCTCCTCCATTAGATTCTTTACTCATCAAATCACCAACAGGTCGACCCAAATGACAGGGGTTGACCACCCGTGAGACATCCGGTCGTGCAAGCTCTAGTTGCTTGCTCTCCATTGCTTTCCGACAACGAACGGGGGCCCCAGAGCGTGTAACAGTAGAAAAGTCGGAATTTCGTTTATCGCATGGTCGTCAAATCGTGCAGCTGGAATAAGACTCTGGTAGGTTGTATGAGGAAGACACGGCAAAACGATTCTATGTGCAACACAAAATAACGAAAGGAAAGCCACTGGCTTATTCCGCAATTTGATACGCGCATCAGTCGCCCGGACGTGAAGACGCAGTAAATGGGTTGAATGTCATCACAGACTCATAGTCAGCCACTCCCATTCTTGGCTGTTCCCGTGCGGACCGCTACCCATTGTCTGGACGCCGGAATTGAGCAGGGCGCCCTGCTGCATCACCGATGCCATCGTGGTGGCCCCTGCAGTCGAGGACATACTGGCGGCCTTGGCCCGAGTAACGGGGGCTTGAGTGACCTTGGGAGTCGACTGGCTAGCGTCGTGCATCTCTGCCTCATTTGATGGACCACTATTGCCGGTTATTATGGGCAATGTGTTGGTTGACGCCCGTGATTGCCGTCGCTGGCGTTTCGGTGTCACCTGAACGGGCCTGGCCATGTTGGGACCAGGCTGAACAGGTGGCTTAGGTGGCGCCGCAGCGATCGGTACGACCCCGGGTTTCCCTCCTGTGGTGCCAGGTGGGTAGCTCGTGGGTGTCGTCACCACTGATCCCGAGTGTGCAGAGCCCTGCACAGAAGACGGGGAGGCCGAATTCTGCTCGCTTGCAGCATTGCCGGACGTTGGCGTAGTCGCCGGTGTTTGCTGCACTGAATTCTTCCGAGAGGCCTTTTTGGATGCTCTAGTGGCTGCTGACCCCATGGGCACCGTATTTCCACTCCCACGATTACGTTTCTTGATGACATCAGTCTTGAGCGACAAGGGACGCACAACACCATGCAGCTTAAGAAACAGTCCACACGCATTGCACAGTGGGTGGCCTTCGGGGTTTCGTCGCCAGAGCGGTGTAGTCTGAGTGAAACAGTTGGTGCAGGTCGTCGGAACACCATTTTGATCTGTGCTCTTTGGTCCAGGGCTGCCTGGTCTCGATGGTTGTCGACTGCTAAAGCCGGACTCACCGGGTGAGCTACCAGTAGACTGCATATGCTGGTTTGATAAGGCTGGAGTCGAGGTCGTCCGGGGAATTTTCTGTCTCCTTGGGTCCTGGTCGCGATTCCGGATGTCGCTGATGGAGGCTGCTGAGCCATGCGTTCGACTAAGCATGGAGGAACCCCAATCCGGAGGCGAGTTGACCATTTCCGCTCCCCCAATTCTCACCTGTTTCCCGGGACCGCTGCCAAATCGCTGCACATTACCGTAATCAGCAACGTTAGGGTCCCATTGCAAGCTCGAATTCAAGTCCAAAGTTGGGTCACTAATCTGGCCATATTCGGCTTGGATCATCGCAAAATTGGCATCGTCGTCTTCCCCGTCAGAATCGGCACCAAATTGGAACAAATTGTCATTTCCCGCCACAGAAACTCCAGGAGAGACTCGGCGTCCGTATTCCGGAACCAGTACTCGGGAAGGATCGACGTGTTGCTGCATCGAAAACCCATTTGCCGTCTGCGCTGAAGGTACCCCATTCATAAGGGAGTACACTTGCTCATTGTTAGACCCGTACGCAAACTGCGGGGCCGCGGGGGTCATTAGATGGGTTCCTCGGTGAGGAGGGTAGAAAGGCATAGTCCGTGTGTGACCACTCTGGTCAAAGTAAAACCCTTGACCGTCTACTTCGTGACCCGGCTGGGGCGTTGAGACCGCAGAAGGATAGCCAGATTGAGGAGGGGAATAAAAATCGGCGGAATTCAAGGACGAACCCATCGAAGACTGCGTATATACATTCGAGAACGGTCCATTGGTGACCATGGGGGAAGCCGCGGGGGAAAATGCGAAGTTTTGTTGGAATGGCCCAGCAGATGTCAGGATTGGGTCATCACTGAGGTGGAAAGAATCAAGGTGAAGAGACATTGAGCCCTGGAAATTGGGCTGTCCGGGGAACTGTGCGGCTGTTGTTTGATCAAGCACATAGTCAGGCACACCAGTATCCATTTCCGTACCATTTGTAGCATGAGGGCCAGGTAGAGGAGGTACTTGAGGAGAGAATTCAGCCGGGCGCTTGCGGTTCTAGAGACAGGGGTCAGAGGACAGGTTTGTCACAGGCAACTTATGAAGATTAAACTTACACCTCTCCTCTCATCAATACTCGTCTTGCGAACTCTCTTCTTGACGTACTCGAACTCCGACGTTCGATGCGTCGGGATAGAGGTCTGCGGCATTGATGACGGGGGTAGATTCTTGGGAATCTGGACTTGAGGTTTGTTACGGGTAGTTATGGGAATGGGGGGCGCCTGTGTCGTCTTTGGCCGCCCTGCCGCCTCTGATGGCGCGGGAGAAGTCATGCCTGCTGGAGAGGCGACCGAACTCGGCACGATAAAGTCGTCGAGGTTCATGGGATCTGCGGCTTGCTCGGTTTCAGCAGACTTGTCCACTGACTTGCGGAGCTGCTGTGCTATCCCACTAGGGGCCGATGAAGGAGGAGCGGGATTCTTGAACTGTGCTTGTTTTGCTCTAGGAAGACGGTCAGTCGCAGCGCTCAGACGGTCGCTGTCCACCGGGGCCGGGTTCCCGTACGCTGCTTGCTGTTGCTCTCGACGGCGTAAATTCATAGCCATCATCCGCCAGGTCAGGTTTTCCATACGCTCCTGGTTGGGGAGGCGAGATTTAGTACGGCTATACAATTTCCATATCTGAGTGCCTAGAGGGTCCTTCTTTTGCATCTCTTCTGGGCTGTCGAGGTCGGAGGAGTGAGCATCGTCCTTCCACTCTGGGAAGACGGCGTCCCGTAGCAGCGACTCATTGCGAGCAAGGACGTCCGTGGTGGAGAGATCCAGGTTGGGATTGAGGCTGGGATTTGCGGCTTTTGTAGGTGCAGGGAAATTGGCGCTGGACTTATTGGAGGTGTCGGTCGAGAATAAATGGGAGGGCGACTGGCCGGTGGAAAGGGTATTTACAGTATGAGAGCCCAAGCTGCTGGACCAAGTCGAGAAGTCTGCGTCGTCGAGAGTGGAAGAGGGCTGAGATGTAGAGGCCGAAGAATGATGGGAGTGGTCGGCAGGGGACTGGATGGCGGAGGTTGCGCGCGAAGTTGCAGCTGCAGTGCCCCCACGTTCACCCTCATCCGCACTCGACATTACCGGGGCGGATTGGAGCGAAGAGTCGCGTGCAGCAGACGGGCTAAGGATGCAATAATAGCGAACAGGACGGTGTGCTCGTATGTTGCTGGGCTTCTGGCAGCATTACCAGCGTCGACGCCAGGATATGATGTATGTAGGTGTGAGTGGTTCGTGGGCAGACGAGCAAAAAAAAAAAGTAATTGGCAGCAATGACTGCACAGTGTCATCACCACACGAGACAAGAAGGAAAAGGGTCGGCAAGAAGAAGAGCGCGAGGAAAGGCACCTCTTCGTCGCTCTCGCTCTGGCTTGCAGAGGTTGGAGTGGGAGGGTGCAGGTCAGAGAGGCACGCAACCTATGGGGACGGAGGAGGCGCTGCTGGTGGAGAACTGGTCAAGGCGCAACCCGGTGGACCAGGGTATGTGCGTAAAGTTGGGCCAGGGATCAGAGATGATGGTGGCTTCTGGCGCGCCGCCTAGTCTAGGGCGATGGAGCAGATGGAGCGAACGGAGTCGGCTGGAGGGGCAATAGAGAGGTACCGGTAGGACATGACACCGTGATCGAGCCCTCGGGATTGGCGACGAGTCGGAGGGAGGGTTTCGAAGGAGTGGATAGTGGGTGAGCGGGATGGGGGAATGCAAGAAACGGCCCTAGGGTTTTCGGGGGGTGGTTTGACTTTGCTGGCACTGCCAGTGGGTGCCAGTGGTTGCCAGTGGTGGCCGCAGGCGAAGAGAGAAAGAAGCTGGGCTGTTGCTAGGAACGAGAGTGGACAATGGCTTTTTTAGAGTTACCAACAGGGAGATGATCTCAACAGGCAGTGAGCAATGCAACTCGCCTTTGCCGACCAAGAGTCAAAAGAGGCCATGACCCATTGCTCCGGGACAACTGGTGACGACTCGCGAGACGCACCCAAGGGAGATTCCGCGAGGATATACATACCTCGTACCGGTACTGCATGTAGTTGGATACCTAGTCATGGTCGATCATCTGGTGATAGAAGTATGCCCTCTTCCTCTCTCGCACTCTCCTCAATGCTCCCACCGTTGACATCGGGATGTGAGGGTTATTTTGAGGTACAACCACATGCCGCTCTCGTCTCACTATCCCTCTTTCCCTCCCCGCCCTCATCCCTCCCTCTTTTCTCCTCTCTCGAGGCCTCATCTCACATGGAGCATGCCACTCGCGGGAACCCTCCCCAATTCGCGAGGTAATTGGGGATCTGTGGGCAGGGGAGAAGGGGGGCAACATCGGCGTAGCGCCGGTCCATGCCTGAACCATACGTAGGTAGGGGAAGGGCAGAAACGGGACAAGGACAGCGAGGTTCGGTGGGTGGGTGGGTGGGAGAGTGGGAGGCTTTCCCGAGAGTGGGACAAGGCCCATGGGCAGATTCATCTGCTCTCTGACAGTTGATTTGCAACGGTACTTTAACCTCGATTGGCCTGACTCAGTCGGCCTGAGCAATCCCCAATCCCTCGATGATGATCTCGAGTGAGCGACATCAGTTTCTACTGCAAGAAGGGCCATCACAGCACGTAGGCACTGGAAGAAAAGTTGGCTCGTTCGATACGTAATTGGTGATAGTCGCCCACGAGTGGTGGAAATACCATATGCCGCTATTTCTCGAGGCCGTGCCTACAGCAGCCCTAGGCCCTGGTCACCCTCGCTGGAGCTGCATCTGCATCTGCATCTTGCGACTACATCTGCGCTGGGGCGTGCGCCTGTGCGGCAATAACGATGAGAGGTTCTTCCTCCCCTTCACTCTTGCACCCACACCTTGATACATAGGTACAGGCAGTTAAACGTGCGGCGGGGCCTAGGCTTAGCTGCTGCTGCTGCTTGCAGCTGGCAATTAAGTAGCTGCACCATGCGGTTCGCCAACTTGGCAGAGCCAGCCCACCGAGAGCTTTTGGGATTTCAAGCATCAATGCATCATGCACAACAGGGGGACCGAGGGAGCGCCACGTCCAGGTCTCGGGGTCGACACCAGCGGGTTTTTTGCGGCCACTAAATGCCCGCTCACGAGCCCTATTCTGGGCTGGCGCTTGTGGTAGCGTGGGTGGTCATGAACAAGTGGGCAGACAGTACCGAGTAGTAGGAGTAGGGAGCATTGGGAGACGCTGCTCGTGCCTGTTGCCGGCAGGGAGCCTGTCATTGCCGTGGGCTGCAGTATGGCAGGATTCACGAAGCATGCTTTCCCCCTCCTCCATCCTGTGTACCTCTGCCCGTGTCATCGGCTATGGAATTCGGGTAGTAATAATAATACAAATAAATAACAAAATAATCAGCACCCGACGCATCTCCAGTAATGGCTTCTCAACTAGCATGCAAGTAACACGCTCATTGTCGGAACTCAGGGACATGGGCAAGGTAGCATTGCCTCCCGGGAAAGGTACGGCACTCTTGCTGCACCGGGAGTGAGGGAAATAGTTATTTGAGAAAAGCTGGAGGGGCAAAAGTGGAAATGGAAATGGTAGTGGTACGTACCGTTGACGAACACGAGAACTACCAGAATGAGATTCTCGAACCATACTGGCTCAGAGCTTTCGAGAAATGGTAGCTGGCTCTGGAGCTGGAGCACGAGGTTGTGGAAGATTGGATCTTGTACATGAACTTGAGGAAGATGAAGAGGTCCAGAAACAATCCACCAGGGTGCCCATCGTTTCCCAACCCTGGAGCACCCAAATGCGCCCACCGAGCTCCACCCAACGACTCCCTGGCAGTTATAGGCTTGACGGCGAGAGTACCCGAATCTGGACCCCCTCGTGTTGTGCCGCATGTATTCCGGATACAGTCTTCGCTCTGGCCTTCAGAAATGCTTGACTGGGGGATGGCCGCTGGCGTGAGGATGTTGCAGAAGAACAAAAAGGAAAACCGCAAGCAAAATTTTCTTGCAAAGATTTTCAGCTGCACACGGCCGATGGTCTTTGTGAGTCTCGATGCGAGCTGCGTGTTGCTCATGCGAGCAGTACTCGGAATGCGAGGTGACCAAATTGGGGCGCTGGGAATTGCTTCTGGCGACATGCGCTGGGGTACCTCACCCCCCATATATTTCGCCACGGCACACCTTGTACCCCAGTACTCCCCGTAGCCCTTCGTATAATTTGTGGTTATTCCTGAAGATCACTTGGCGGTTCCGCCTCTTCAGAGCCCAAAGGTGTTTGACTTGAACGGAATACTATCAAGGCATGTTCCACCACACTGGGTTCCGCAGGTAACGGTGCGTCGGCGTCAGTCCCTTAATGGAATTTAAGGGACCCATGAGAGAGGCTTCACCAGGCTGAAGGGGATGTTTGGTTGCTGGGTACTCGGTACTGGGTGCTGGGTCGCCGGCGCACTGGGTCCTTGTCAGGCTAAATTGCTGAACGAAAACGCTCGTGGCTGTGGCTCCAAAAGTTAAAAGGAGGGACCGCAGGCTCGGAGAAGGAACGGAGGAGAGAGGATTGCCAGCAGCACGGAATCAGCAACCAGCACCACGCATTGGCCACTCCTCGAATCCCATCAAACCTTTAGCCTGGCCATTCACAGCCTTGGACAGCCTGGAATCCCACTCCCTAGCTTGGTGGCACATGTATCTACTACCTAGTAGGTAGGTATGTAGGGCGCTGGATACTGGGCAGGTACGTACACCTGGGCATTATACTGCCACTTTCTGCAACTCATTTTCTTCTTCTCTGTTCTGACTGCATGCAGATGTCGGTAGTACCATCACCCTCTCTCTCTCACACACATCACACCGTCCACGACCAGCTCGGAACGAACGCACCTCTTCATCTTTGCTTGTCACGAGGCATTCGACCATCCAAAGAGTGGAGTTCACACCCAGTCTACCGAGTTACTGCGTATGGGAATTTCCTGGAAGGGTCTCACGCGTCAGCATCCGTCTCAAGACAAAGCATGTGCTTTCTTCCCCTTCCCACTCTCACCTCTCACCTCTCACCTTTCACCTCTTGCGCTCCGACCTTTTGCCTTTCGGCCCTTCTCCGTTTTTCGGCCACGACTTCTCTTGCAGATTCAAGCACATGGCAGCAATGGCCGCGCTATTTCCTTCTAGACGAATGATGCAACCTCGAATAGAATCATTGTTCGAGGCCCCCTTGGATGCTCTTTAGTCCGACCCGGTTCGACCGCGAGGAATAGTCTCTCCACTGGTCAACCTCTCAGTGCCCTGGTCGCTCTGGTTTCCCCCCTCTTCGTTCTTTTTAGCGCGGGGTCCCTCGCGAACACCTGCGCAAATACATGCCCCTGACTGTCATACTACGGCTCCGCATCCTAACTTTTGCCCAAGAATCTCACAAGTGCTAGCCTACCCTGGTTCACGACGCTCCTTGGATTTCAGGTGTGATACTGGTAGACGCTGGATAATTGTTCCAGACTTTTGACTGTTGAAGTTACGTGTGCTTGAGCATGAGTAGTGACGAGATACATCATGTGGGCGTTTCGGCGTTCTGCAACAAAGTACGAGGTACTCAGTACAAGTGACGAAAGTGATAGACTGCGAGGTACCCCTTGCCACACCAGTCCACCACAAAGAGACCCAGTGCGCATTTGGAGACATGGTCTGTGCCCAACAATGGCCGATATGATCGCATGCTTTGGGGCTTGATGATCGTCAGTACCGTGCCAATTTGTCGAAAACGGACTAATTCTGCTGGTGCAGGGACCGTGGTAACTCAAGTTCGATCTTGATCAGCCTCGAAGTCAAGCGGGATCATTCCCGAACTGCCGAGACGCATACATCATGGGCAAATGCGTCTTGTTTGAGGTCATCGAGCTGCGTTTCAACCACACCTTCGTCGGGTCCATTAACCCGTCCACCTGTCCATCAGGGATGGATCTGGATGGACCGTGATCAAAAAAGTACCACCTGTTCTCTTTTCGTCTCTGTGGCGCCCGTTGGCTTTGGCTCTTCCATGTGCCCTAATGACCCCCCAGAAGTTAACACAAAGTACCATTCTGAGAGTGTCTCGAATCCAGTTTAGGTTGCGCACTGCAGATGGCGCTAACACCATGCCTCGTCCCACTGGGTCGGCTTCAACTGATGCAGATGAGGTGAGGTAGCCAGACGCACCCTTGTCGCTGCCTCGAAAGGTCGTGGGCCAGTCACCCAGGGAATTAAAAGCTGGCAGATCCTCTGGAGCGGACGTTAAAGAAGCCCCGAACTGCGACCAATCCACCCGAGGTGCCCAATGATGCTCAAACCAAAGATACAGGAACAGGTTTCTTTTACTTGTAGAGATGTGATAATTGCTATGCAGGATCGACCCACATGTCGTATATCTAGAGATGCAAGTGGATTGCAGCTAGAAAACTAAGAGGGTCTAGATAATGGTCTGTGGACTCTGAAGACTTGATAATCTCGGCTTTGTTGCCAGTGTTGGGAGCCAGTGGTCTCCCGAGTTCCATATTCAACAAAGTTACTTCCCGCAAGGACTGAATGTGCAAAAGTCGGTCGCAACAAAGTCGGGGTTGTCTAAGGCAGAGCGCTCAACAAAAGACACTTTTCCGGCCTCGCCGACAATGGCCGCAACGGTAAACGACGAAGAGGGCAATGCAAGCACTGCTCTGGGGGGTTCATCGTCGCGAAGAACGAACCAAGCATCGGCTCCCGGTGACATTCATCGTTTCAAGCCCGGTAGCATCTCGGTCTGATGATTGATTTCATGATTGGTGATTTGCCCCAGCCCACTCCCACCCACCTCCCTGTCTTCTCTCCGCGTGCAGCCAGCACTCTCAAGTCACCTTCCTGACGAGCCCCTGGTGCCCATTTGAGATGCAGGTGGTTCCTTCTCAAGCCGATAGTCTAGAGGGTGGGGAGGATAGCGGTGACTGCGGTAGTGAAACGTAAGCCTCCAGATGAGTCGTCGTGGGTATGAGTGATCGGTCGCACGAATGCACGTGACAAGTCTCGAGGTCTGAGAGAGGCCCACACTGCTCTCCTCAGCAGCACACGACCATCCAAGGTGTCACAAGTCCAATCGATCCGCGGGGGCCGAAGAATAGCAGTAATCAGCAACAGTCAGTCAGCCCCCTCCACCAACCCAGAAGATTCAAATCTGGGGAAAAGGCAGCAGGTTCTCCCCCATTCCAGACCAGGGAATGTGTCGGAAGAGTCATCGTCGGTACCTTGTACTCAGGCCTGCGACGGCAGAAGTCCCGTGGTGCCGGCCATCAACCCCGTACAGTTGACGCGCAACCATGTCGTAGGCGATTTGCATTGTTAGTAGTCTGCGTGAGCACTTGTCGCTGTTCATAGTCCGTTGCCCTGTCGGGCCTTGCCGAGATGCGTAGCTCACGAAAGGACGTGGGATGGGGTGGTCAAGGGTTCCAGGATGAGCCCTGAGCGATTAGGTGCATATTGTTAGTTGCTTTTTCGTGTCCTCGGTAGAACTGCAAGTCTCGTCCTGGATAATGTGTCTGTGCGGCCTCCCGACCGAGTGAGCCCCTTGACTTTGTCCTTCCCTCACGCACATGCGCCCCTCCAAGATTCCGGACCTCGCCCCTCTTCGGTACTTGGAGTCATCAACCCCCGACAGAATGACAAGTGGAACCCAAGTCCCTTTAGCGGTGCTCAGCCTTGGTTGGCGTTGTCAGTATGGAGAAATCGTCGATGGAGTCTGATCCCTCTGAATGTGAGAATGCGCAAACGGTATAGGAAAGGGGGCTTGCTGATCTGTTTGCGAGGCATAGCGTCCGTTGTTAGGCCAGAGCTTGAGCGAGGAAATAATGGGTGGTCCGTCCAACATCCCAGAGGTACTCGTCAACTCCGTCCTTAGTCCCCAACAAGGTCCCCGAGAAAGTGTCCAGGGTAAGAGGCGTAAGAGGCATTGCACCCCCACGCTAATTCACCCGCCTCGCATAGTGTTGTCCAGCAAGCTCTCAGTAGCCAAGCCCTTTGCTTACCCTCCCAATTTGGTGAGTCGTCCGGGAACATGATTCAGGCAATGTGCATGAGTGTGTCACGCTCCGAAAGACCAGCTTGCCAGTAATCCTGGTGACCCTGTCTTGCCCGTGTGAATAATGTCTTCTTGTCAGGTCCCCCAAACTGATTCTCGTGTCGGCTAAATTTTCTGACGTCCGGTTCGGCGTGAGCGATGGTGTCGTTTCAAATGCTTGTTGAAGGAGGCTTCATTGGCGAACTTGAAGGGTGGACACAACGGCCTGCGTCTGTCGACAACAGGGACTATTGGGCGCTCCACCAGCCCCGAAAGTGTCTGCAATAGACTTGTTGAGGAGGCATCGTCCTCACTCAAATGAGTCGGCGTAGGTGTAGTCTGCCAAGGGTGTGGTGTCGTGAGTAGCTAGCTGCTAGGGTGACCTCCATTGGACCAAATCGGAGTCCGATCCATTATTGGTGGTTGGCATAGCCTGTTTGGATGTACTCGTAGCGAGGTTTCGAAGGGCTACTGGTAAGGCTCAGAGATGGAAATCCTGGAGGCCGGTGGCCGATTGACTCTTTAAGTACCGTATGGACTGCACCTGCCTGGGCTACCATCGATCAAATGATAAGGTCAAGGAGATCAGCGACAACTGATACTCTTCGAAACAGCCAAATATTGGAACGAGTGATAACAACTTGAAAGGCAGGTCATATTCTACGGCCACGATAGGCTGCGGGCAGCCAGTCAGGCATTAAAGGGGGGATTTGTTCAACAGGTTTCTGATAAGTGCGATAACCCCGCGATAACAGGGCGGCACCAGCGGCCCTTGCTTGGACAGGCAGATAAAGAATCTGGGGCAGAGTTTCTCAATCCAGCAGGTCATTGCGGCCTTGGTCGGCCTATCCTGGGTCGATCATCCACTGAGATGCTCAGAAGAATCATATTGATATCTTTGTTTCAGCGTTGTGTTGCATCTGATTTCCGCCTGTCAAGGTAATAACTCTCTGTTATCTTTTGGTGCTGTCCTGAACCTCGGGTTGTTTCTGCCCATTGTTGCCTGCCGAATTTTGTCGTTGCACTGCAGGGGTACCTCGTACACAGGATGAAATGCTCAAGAGAGCAGGTCAATCTTAGCGGTCAATCTGAGGTCGACAACGGCTTGCTATCTTCTGTCATGACCGCTTGCAATCTTGCCGATCCTTTGCACCACGCAACAGATGTAGTTGGAGTCAGGGAAAATGATGATCTCTTGGTGTTTTGTGCGCAGTCTGAGCAACTGGACTTCATCATCAATATTTCCATTTTCTGCATCTTCTTCAGTGTTTCGCTCTTTATCCTGAACAGTTTTGGCCTCGCCATAGACAGCTCCAGTGTACGTTCCCTCCGGACGTTGCGTATTTCGGGAAGCTGCACCAAGCGTTGCACCCATAACGTTGGCGTTGTTCACAAATTGAAAGATAGATGAAGCCAACCGTTCCACTGGTTTGTCAACATTGTGGACATCTGATGGCTCATCTGATTCATTGGCAAGAGCGGACCGCCCTTGCTCTGACGCATCTGCGGCTCCCTTTGACTTTTCGACCTGCGGCCATTGGTAGGCTGTGGCAGATGCTGAAGACCCCCTCTCCCCAGGGGCGGCAATGCCTGTCACTCTTATAATAGACCCATCTTTTCGAGAAAGGATTAAGGTGGACTGTACATTTGGCCTCTCGGTCAGGCCTCGCAGCATCGCATCGATAGAAGGGCCGTTGAGAGTCTCCTATAAAACAGCAATCAGCAAGGGCGTAGCTTAAGAAGGGAGCAGGAGACAGAAACCCTGTCAGTCTGAGCCATCCTGCCCCGAGCATCAATAAAGACCTTGATTCGAACTTTGCAGGTTGGTGAGTGTCATCTCATGCTGGCGGCGTTGTCGTCTCGAGGTGATTTGGGAGACGCGCACAGACGCGCCAGGCGTGTCGTTCTTCCGTGGACAGACGAGGTCCGGAGCACGCAGAGAAGGTATTGGGGCAAGCTAGCTATTCTTGTCGGATGAAGTCACTAGAAGCCTTGTGCAACCCGAGGTATGGAGCTTGGACAACGTGGAGAGTTTCTATGACCAACATGAATCCATCTCCGCAAATTTTGCAAAAATCACTTGCAGATCGGCCGACTTGAGGATCGTCACCATCTGCGGTTCGGTCCGAGAATGGGCAAAGCTTATTGCTCCCACCGACCCTTGCGGATTCTGCTGAAAGAAAAACCTTTCCCACATTTGTTACCCTTAGGAGCCTTCTAGTGCACGACACCCACCCCAGGAAATGGGCTCCAGTGCACGAAAGAAGAGAGAGAAAAAGAAAGACTTCCAGGTTGGTGGATTGTTTCGGCCCATGCTGACTGCAAACAAGCTGATAGAATGGACAGAAACAAAAACTGAAGGTGGGCAAAGCGAAGCCCAAGGCCCAGAACCATACCGACACAAGTTTCAGGTCTCAAGGTCTGGCGCCCTCTCAGCTGAATTGTGTATCTAGCTGACAGGACGGGAAGCCATCGTTTTGAACCAGCAGCTGGATGTGAATGCGCCTTCACAATCAGCCATATTTCTTCATCAGCTCTCCCTTCTCTCCTCCAGGTCCGACACTCAAAGAAGAGATGCTCTTGCTTCCCTAACCGGTCATATTACTTCAAACCTGCCGGCAAACAGCTTGCCAGTTACCACCAGTTCTCTTCTCGGCAGCATCTGCCCTCTCATGCTCGATGGCTCGGCAGGTGTTCGGAGTCAGTTGCTCAAGCTCTTCCGTGCGCTGCCCCCTGAGGACATCCGAGACCATGTGAGCAAAGCTTTGCCCTACTTACGTGCGGCTATGACACATCTATCACGGGAAATTCGACTCTCCTCACTTGAGTTTGTATCCTACATGATCAAAGTTGCTGGTTCTGAACTGGTCTCGAGCCCTGGCGGCTGGCACCAAACGTTGGAGTGCTTTACAACAGTGCTGGGGTGGAGGTCAATCGACGCAAGCAAATGGTCCTCCACTAAAGCATCGTTCGCTGGGGACACCAAAACCACGGCTCGAATCATGCAAGTTCTCGCTGAATTCTTGCAAGCAGGTCTAGTTGGAGATGAGCAATCTTCGTCCGGAACCAACCCACTGCTTTCGCATTTCCCTTTATGGGAAGCTGAAACACTCATTGTACCCGGCAAATCCAATGCATACGCTTATTTAAATCTCTTTGGTCCGCAAACAGAGGATGAGACACAAATGCTTGACGACCAACGGGATAGACTGCGCGACTTCGCACAGAATTTTCAAGCACAGATCTTGGGCGGCGTTGATGCTGCCAGGAAGGAAGGGGGAGAGCTAGGCCGTGCAGCAGGTCTATTAGTCAAGATACTAGAACGCTCACAAAGTTCTTGAGCCGTTACATCCACACACCGACGACATGCTAACGATCCAGAACCCCTTTCGAAAAGTCATCTGTATTCGTCCCACCTCGCCGCTAACTGTGGTTCGGTCGGACCACTCGAACCTCAGCCTTCAGAAACGGTCCGGACTGGCACGACTGGTTGATTGACGTGCTTTCCACTCATGAAAACCCAAACGCCAGAGGTATTCGGCTCGAGACAGTTATCGGCTTCCACTGAACAAGAGGCAATGACGCAGTGGATATTGTGAAAAATCACTTATGCCATAAGACCTTGATTACAAAGCCAGTCCTTCGGTGGGGTTTATTCTCATGCGTCCTGGGCAATGAACAAGAGTTCACGTTCTCTTCGCATTGTTCGGGATGGATATTTGCCAGCAAAACAGTGAGAGACCAATGCTGCATTCGACTCTCTCGGCCCACCGTGCTCGAGGCCTTCTCTCGATAAGGATCCTCTGCGTAAAAGGTGGCTCCCCTTTGCTGATGGTGGTCATGGGCCAAGCTATCTTAACTCACGATAAAGCATTTTAGGGGCAGTCACAAGACCACTCCATGTACGTATATTGTACAGACCACCTCCATCCTTACGAAGGACACTGTTTGACTCCCCATGCTCTTGGCGCTGGCATATTTTGGAGGGAGAGGTATCCGAGTGGAAGATCCATGTGTAATGCCTCATGGATGAAAGAATGTCAGCGAGCATGAAGAAATTTGTTCGCCACATGCACGAGGCTTGCACAGGGAGGCAGCGAGCCAGGGGGACGTCGTGCCTATAACGGAGGGGGTGTCAGTAAGGGCCAGAGGGCAGAATCATCAACAGCTGCATATCAATATTCGATTGACGAGACCCGCAACAAGTAGTCCAAGTCAAGGGTGCCGCAAGACACACACAGAGAGAAAAAGGGACCAAACCAAGGAGCACCATGGTCATTTCATCAATCGTCACAGAGAGGAGTTGAGCCGCAAGAACAAAGCGTCCAGCACCGTATCCATGCCATGATCCCAACAACATCACCAGTCCTGCTTTGTTTCTCATTTGATTCAGCCGCGTTGTTGGAGGTCATACATATAGAGAGATCTGAGACCAAGACCATGCTACTCATCCATGTGGTCTACAGCTTTGCGTTCGGCGAGTGCCCAACCTTCAGCCCAGCAATCGCCGCCATCGCGCCACTCTCTCCGCTTCTGACTGCGCCTTCCATATATCCTCTCCAGACGGTACTCAATTCTGTGCCGACGAAATGAATGTTCCCAAATGGTGCGCACAACGCTTCCCACCCGTCGGCAAGAACACCTGGTGGCATCGCAGGACATGGGCAGCCCCAACCTGAGAACTCCTCGTCCATCCATGGCGACTCATAAGCCTCTACAAAGAGAGGGCGGACGTCCTGTCCATCTGCAAATATGGCACCGATCTGCTTCAGCACCGACGCTTTCTTCTGCTCGGCATCTAGTGCTGCCCATTTCCTCCCGAACTTGCCGCCAATGAAGCACGTCATGCAAGCATCCTCGCCCAGACTAGTGTCCCGGAAGACCGACACAGGTCCAACGAATGATTGTCCTAGACCGCACAGGTTGCTCTCTGTCCAAAAGGGCTTGCTGAACCTGACGATATACTTGGTATAGAACCCATAGCGGGTGTGGTTGGCAACTGCACTTTTTGCTGCTGGTAGAAATGGTGAGAATCTGATGGTCTTGTACACTGGTGTCGGAATTGAGAGGATGACTTTGCGAGCACGATATACTTGCGGCGAGGGCCCTCTTGTTGAGATCAAGATGGTCTTGTCCTGCTGTTGATCTATTCCTTCGACGGGGCTGTCCAGCCTGATCGACCCGGGCTTCAGTTTTCGTGCCATGCCTTCCGCAAATGCCGAAGTTCCCTCCTGAATACGAAGGTATTGGCCTCCATCCTTGCAGTCTGAACGCATGGTCATCAGCCCTCCTCCGGCGGCACAATCTAGAGAACACTTGGTTAGCCTCTGGGCGACTGACAATATCAAAAACTCACATTCCAAGAAGTATAAGGCCGAGACTTCGGCAGGGTCAACACCCAGCATAGCGTGAGTCCAGACCTGCGCGGTCGCAAACGCCTTTTCTGTGACGTTTGCGCGGCGCAGGAATGTCTCGAAAGAAATGGAGTCGAGGCGCTCTCGATGAGGCCCTGCCGAGAAGATTGACGGTGTCTGCGTGGTTGAGATATTTTCAACCAAATCCCGGATTGATATGCATGACTCTGTGTCATTGCCCGACGGATACTGTTCAAATCTTCAGGATCAACCATTTACGCTCAAGCATCGATAACTGCTGGAGCCCGGCGGTGTAAGGGTCTCAAACCTTTGGTACATCCCTGGAAATCTTGATTAGCCTTGCACCTAAACAGCTCCTGCGACAACAAACAGTTCCCCCAGGAGGGTCAAGCTCACCCATATGGAAACTTTACCAGCGTTCCATCAAAATCCTGTACGACGACGTCGCCCTCAGTATTTTGAGTGTATGTGTGCAACTTGAGGTCATTTGCAAGTTCCCACATGCGACTTTGGTTGGTGTCATTGATCCAGGCAGCTCCCAGATCAGACTTCACGGCTCCTTCGTTGGAGCGTAGAGTCAGTGTCTTTCCACCCACCCGATCTCGTGCCTCTAGAACCAAGTAACTTAGACGCTCATGGTGGACGGTAAGAGCCGCCTGCAGGCCAGAAAGACCGGCGCCGACTATCACCACATCATACATCTCTGGAGACATGTTGTATCCCGACTCTTTGATTCTTTCTGCCCAGACTTTAAAGGACCAACGTGGACGCTGTGGAGTCTACATTTACATATATATATTTTCTCCGTCGGCTGAAAGCAGCAGGCGAGCTGGGTGGAGACAGCGCCCTTCTCCGTCTTTGATGTTTGCATTCTTTGCCTTCATGCTTCGGCCATGCTGTTGCTATCATGCAGTTCGACATCGCATCACACGCGACTCGGCCCTTCAGTCAGGCTGTGGAGTCCATCGAACGGGGCATTAGAAGCCAGGTGTCCTGTGGTTTATCCTTCCGCACAGCGCTCTCAGGCGACCGTCCACCGCGACAATGTTGTCACAACTCTAGCCTTGAGGAAGTCGCAAACAGTGTCATTATGTCTTTCGATCTCAGAATCTGTGGTATCAGACACAACGTCCATGCAGCGTGGTATTGACCAACCTTTTGAATGAGTCGAATGATGCTGCGGATGACAGTCGATATGGGCTTTGCTTGGGTCGGCCTTCTCGCGAGGCACCATGGTCCAACGCCTTGCGTTTGCTGCTCCATGCAGCTGATCAGGAATGAATGACCGCCCAAGTGACAACAATAGCTATCTGAGAACAACATGGAGCTTGTACAACGCTTCTGGGACGGCATCATATTGCAGAGACCATCTCTGAGAAGGGATCATGAAAAAATCTCAATGGGATGAATGGGGCATTGGGAGGTCAGCCTTGCCCCTCGGGGTGAAGTTGACCTCTATTGTCCTGTCTTCCTGCTATTCACTACTCAGTGAGACTATTGAACTTTTCTGCCGGTCCCTGGTGAAGGTGACGAGTGACAGTGATGGCACAAAACAGCATGGAGAGTGAATACCGGCCTTGAAAATTTTCACTCCCTCCCGTTTGCTCAAAGGCTTCGCATCTCGACGACCTGCTTTGCTTCTTCCCATCTTCTATCTTCCGATACTCCTTGTTCGAAAAGACTTGAAGCAACAATTCCATCTTCGAGAGATTGTTCAGAAGCGCCGCGACGAATCCTGCTGTCCGCTGCTCCTTTTAGCGACTCTTTCTCTTCTCTACGCTCACCTCTTCTCTCTGCTCCTCTTTTCAGCGACTCCTCTCTGCCCTGCTCTCACCTCTTCCGTCCGCTGCTCTCTTTAGGGACTCCTTCTCTCTCTGCTCTCCTCTCACGTCCTGATCCGACATCCAATTCCTCATTTGCCAACATGAAGATTGCAAGAACGCTCGTCCAACCCATTCGGGTTTTGACTGCTGCTCCTCTCTCTGGTCTTAAACCCAGTCTGTTCAGGCAGGTCAAGAACCTCAATCGCAGTCGCTCTCACTTTACACGCGTCAAGCCAATCGAGCCCTTCTCCGACCGCTGGTTCTCCTCTCCCTCTCGACCTCCAAGAAAGCGTAGTCCTGAACGCTTCGAGAAACAATACGAGAGGCTCGACCATCTCGTGCCCCTAGACGCCAACCACTCCAAGTTCCTGAGTGACTTGGCCGAGCCAGGTTTATTCCTGGAAAAGGACTTCGATGCTCTTCAGGAGCTCGAAGAAGCACAGCGTCAACTGGCCGCCGATGGCACAACGGAGATGGTTGACAACGACGTTGCCATGACCGACTATGAAGAGCCGGAGGATGTAGAGATGACAGACGTGCTGCAGCCGCCGCGTTGGGTCTATTGGTGGGCACCATCCCAGACATATCGATTTCGGATGCTAACAGCAGCCAGGCAAGGCGATTGTCCGCCACCAGAGTTCTTCTTACCTTTTCCCCATCCCTCCGCTAGAGCCGACATCCTCCAGCAAGCCAGAAAGGCCGAAGTCCTCGTCTCAACAACCGCCTGCGATCAGGTGGCTCCCGAGCCATCTGCAACGCCATCAGACTTCATACCAGAGCCAGACGCGAAGGATGAGGTGGCTGAGTACTTCGAGAACCTGGAGTACAATATTGCCAATGGCATCGTGCCACCGAACATCGATGCAGAGGCGATGTACCCTGCGCATCCTCCAGCGGCAACGCTGGTAGATGAACAGGTCGGTGTTGAGCATGCGCAGTCTGAGGACAAGGTGGTCCCAGACGAAGACGAACGGGAAGCCGAGCCAGCGGCTCCCACAGAGTCGAAACTGGCGGAATCACCAGCCGAGACGGAGACGGGGCCCTTGCAAGACGTGCCCAACCAATATCGTGGCTTCTTAGAAGAGGCAATGAACTTCTCAGCCGAACAGATGAAACCACCTCCAGAATGGTGGAAGAGAATTGCGGTCAACGACGAGGATGCAAAGAAGGGAAATAAGGAGTACGTGGTCCGAAGCTTCACACAATATGCATCCTGGCCGTCCTTCCTTCAGGTACAGCCACAATTCCACTGTCCTGACCCCAAGAATCCAGAGGGAGCCTTCAACACGCCAGCGAGCTGCCGACTAAGCCGTAGGCGCGAGAAAGAGGAACGAGAGCGTTTCTCTGATATCAGAAAGGACCATCCCGAGGTTTGGGAGGCAATCATCGGCACGATGTTGCAAGAGGGCGTGAGCATTGACAACATGCTCCTTTGCCACGAAGGGAAGGACGAGAAAGGCAACAACATTGACCTCCGACCACAAGTCCTCGACAATCAAAAGTGGTGCGTGGACAACTGGCGATTCGACAATCTGGCCTGGCACACAATGCAGGGCGCGCCACTTGCCCCCGACTGCTCTCCTAATTTTCACAAGGCCCCCAAGAGAGGGGAGCGATCGTTCCATGAGACGATCGCATATCTGAAAAGCCACCCCGAAAGCTGCTACCTCTTCCGGATCCTCGTCTCGGAGTGGCTCGAGTCGGAGTGGAACCAAGCAACTTTCCGGATGATTGCACGCAAGGCAGGCTGGTGTCCAGTTGCCGAACACCAACTCCAGCGGGACTTCATTAAATGGGTCTTCGCTGACGCCGATGCAACACCCATGGAGATCTTCGGGCCCGTCGAAAAGTGCTTCCCTGAACGATATCCGCGGTTCTTTGCTGCGACCATTGAAGAGGAGGGGATTGACTATCTGTGAAGGGCAAGCAGAGCCTCGAAGGAGAAGTCGGCGGAGAGAATATGGGAAAGACAACTGCAAGACGGCAGGGTGGAGGAAACTTAACTGAAGGGCAGCAGGATGGTGAAAAGACAAATCACTGCAGGACGACAGGGTGGAGGAAAGATAACTGCAGGAAGGCAGGGTGGTGGAACAAGTCTGACATGACGGAGAGTGGGATACTGAAGAGATACTGAAGAGAAGGAAAGGGATGCGAGTATACACATCCCAAGGCCTGGCTAAGGCGACCAGGAGCCTTTTTGTGAGAGTGTGATGACGAGGAAGTGCAACAGGTCTGAGACGTAGCTTGACGGGCACAAGAACTGCACAGATCAGCTAGATGTCAACATAATCGAGAATCTTTTACAAAATGTTTGTCTGTGGTGAGCGACTGACAAGGCTGTGTGCTGTACCTCGCACGGCCTAAAGGGATGTGCTTCGAGGCTGCGGCCTGCAATCACCGAGATATCAGCGCAATAAGTAATCATGACCATCACAAGCAAGCAAGCAGTCAGTGTAACTTGCAGGTACGAGGTGTTGTCATTACTGTTAGGAGCACGGAGCAAGTCCGGAGTTGACCTTGCAATCCTTTCATTATTACGAGATGGCTCGATGGGTATGCAACTAACTTTGTTCAGGCACCCGTCAGGGATTCTCTCTCCGCCTGCGCCCACCTCTACCCGGTATCTACCCACCTAGCCACCAACCTCTGAGCAACGCTTCCGCTTGCGGTTCCAGATCCTTCCCACTCGGTACCAAAGACTTGTTGTCCCAGGGTAGTGGCTCATTGATCCAGATTCAACCATCAAGATCGCTCATCCTGACGATGGGCTGACACAACCAGGTTCCCTCCTTTTTCTCAACGGGCATATCTGTGAAATCGTCACAGGAAATGCTGTCTGCAGTTCGTTCCACAGCCCAACGAACATGGATCATCGAGCTCACCCGGGCGATGATTGCGTTGGCGCCATGCAGGTCGCAGGTCAGTCTAACTAGTCAAGCCATCCGCTGTCATCCCAGCTCCCAAGCTCCCAAGCTCCTTTCCAGTCACACTTATGCAGCTTTTCCAAAACGTCCTGGTTTCACCTAGCCTACCTAGCCTCGGTCTCTCCGCCCTGAAGAATGACGGCAATGACCGTGCTTCCTCATACCCGATTTGCCAAACCGCAGAAGAGAAAAATACAGCAATAATAACAATCACCACACCTTGCTTGAGCGGTACCGATCAGCACCCTCCGTTCAACGGCCTTGTGCCTGGAAGCTCCAGCTCCGACTATCTTCCTCCTATCGCCGTCGAGCTCATCCCTCCAGAACAATATCGTTTCATTCTTCCTTCGTTCCCCCAAGCGGTCCCGCAAGCTGCCGGCCAGCACATCAGGACCGAACACTGTTACGCGAGGATACAACTCATTTTCATGGGGGATCCAGATGCTGCAAACTCAAAACATCCCATCCTCGTAACCGCCCATGCGGGGTTAAACGAGAAGTCACCAATGCGCGCTGTCTATCAGTTTGCTTGTTGCGTAGGCGATTGGAAACGTCTTCCTCTCCCTTTTCCTTCGGACTGTGATGGTGACCTTCTTACAAAAGAATAGCGGCAATTTGAGCTTCTAGGTTGAGAGGCCAAAAGGGGATCCCTCGTTCTTCGCCTACTAATCGGCACATCTTCTCCTCCCAGGGATCCGGCATAAAGATAGATCTGTCGTCCACCTCCCTCTCCGTGCTTCGAGTGATCTTGTGCAACACTCCAATTTTGACATGTGGTTATAGAAATCCTGGCTGCCTTTTGGGACCTATTCTCGATATGGGTAGAGAAAACGTCGAATTCAAGACCGCGGACCGGGTCACCTTGAGAGGATGGTTCTACACCAGCGACTCGGCTTCCGGGAAAGCACCATGCCTCGTCATGTCCCACGGCTTCACGGCCCTCAAGGAAATGGACCTTGACGCCTTCGCCGAATATTTCGTGTCCAAGCTGCCCATCACTTGCCTGGTATACGACAATCGCGGCTTTGGTGACAGCGATGCGGCCGAGGGGGAACCCCGGAGTGAGATCATCCCAATGACTCAATGTAGCGACATTTCCGATGCCATCACCTATGCTTCGACAAGGCCTGAAGTCGACCCGGACAAGATTGGAATCTGGGGTTCGTCATACAGTGGCGGCCACGTGCTCTACGTCGGGGCCGTCGATCGAAGAGTCAAAGCCGTCCTCAGCCAGGTTCCTTGCGTCAGTGGATGGGACAACTTCAGTCGTCTTGTGCGTCCAGATTTTGCGGTCGGATTCAATGCGACCTTTGCTGCAGGTAAGACACATCTTGCCTCAATATACGCCACTCGATGGTCATCCTGACAATCTCACAGACCGCATTGCTCGAGCTGAGGGAAAGGAGCCTGGAATGGTTCCTGTGGTGGACGCCGATCCTTTGAAGCCGTCCGCTCTGCCTACGCCAGACAGCTACGAATTCTTTTCCGCTTGGGAGAAGAAGTCTCAGTGGAAGAATGAATGCACCGTCAAGACGTGAGTCAAATGAACACCACCTGTTCTTCCCGCCGCTTTTCGGTACTCACTCCTGGGTTTTAGCGTCGAACTCTTCCGCGCTTATGAACCACAGCAACTCATTGACAAGATCGCGCCGACGCCGCTCCTTATGACGGTCGCAAGCGGGGATGTGCTTACGCCATCAGACCTTGCTCTCGGGGCTTACGCACGCGCAAAGGAGCCCAAGCAATTGCAGCTTTTGCCTTGTGGGCATTTTGAGGCGTATTCCGGCCCGTACTTTGAGAGGAATGCTGGAACTCAAACTGAATTCCTCAAGAAGTGGCTGGTGGAAGGTGGATGAAGGAAGCTTGTATGAGCCTCGAGGGGTTGATTCGCTAGAGGGATAATTTGGACATATGAAATATCGTGTTCTGTGTTTCTGCTCGATCATCTCGGACCCTCCATTTTCGGCTCGATTGGATAGATGATGAATATCTTTTATTGTTCAGATGAATGAGAGAAATGGTTGGACCAAGCTGAGCACGTTCACTGGGTTTCGATATATTCGTTTGTCCTCCAATCCATTAAATTCATCGTCTGACAATACCGCATCCGCGATGCCCAGGCCAAAATGGCGAGGATAGAGTGGATAGGTAAAGGTGTCACGCCATATATATTGTGTTGTCAGACGGGCTATTTTCCATCCATAATGTCCCAACCCCAGCTTCCATCACTCAATACATCTCACCACCCGAGCTCACTCAAAGCTTTTGAGCATCAGTTATTTCCGCTCCCTGCTCCTCAAAGTACGCGAAAATCCCTGCTCTCGTTAATCAGTCAAGTAAGAATACCTGCTTGGCTCCGTTTGCAAAGAACACGGTTGTTGTCCACCGCCTGGGACAGCTTCAAAACTCTGTTCCGATAGACATTTCTTTCCCCTTCACCCATTTATCCTTTCGATCCAGTTGAGGTTTCGGGCCCGAATCCCGCTCTACAAGCGATCATTAGGGACAGCAAGACTTCTACGGAAAGCGCGCTCAAGACGAGAAAAGAGGCCCATCTACCTTGGTCGGAGAGACGACAGAGTTTCTGAGTATCGCTTGAGGACCACGGATCAGGGATCGATTTTTCGACCAGAAGCCCCCAACTGGACACAGCACATGAAGGACAAAACGATCCCATCTACGTCCCTACCAGGCGATTGTGCGTCCCAGTTTCTATCGTCAGCACCCGACTCCAAATACACCGTTTGATCGTCCCAGGACCTCTCCCAGACACTTTGGGAAAAGGGGGCCCGGACGAGGGGAAGACCACGCATGCTGCGATCCGTTGCCACCCTCTCCAAGAGGTCGGACGCGGCCAGGCAAGCGACCCGCAGATGCTCAAAGGGGCGGTCTCTCTGGACGGGTGGCTTTGAGGACTCGACAGAAAGCTCCTCCCGGAAGCGTCTTCTCCTATTTGACATTGCAAACGATCAATCGCCCTTTTCCTCCCAGCGCACCCACTCTTATTTCTCCCCGAACACGATCCGCTCGCGACTGGCCTTGCACTACAAGGGTCTCGCATACACGCAATCCTGGATCTCTTACCCGGAGATCGAGCCGCTCTGGCAGGAGTTGAAGATTCCGATTCCGCCGCACGAGGAGGTCTCAGGTACCAAGCGGCGGACCTCGCCGACTTGTACATTGCCCATCCTTCTCCTCGGCGCCGAAGACTTTCAGGAGGATGCCTTGACGAGATTACACGATGCAAAGATTCCGGGGGTTCACGAGACGGTGCAGACGAGGTACGGCATCTTCACACCTGTGGTGTCGACGCTGGGCATCGCCATGGCCCTCGAAGTGCTCTTCCGGGACGGGGACCCCGAAAGGTATTATCCTCCTTTATTCCCTGATCGATTTTCCATAGAACAGACGCAAGACGTGCAATCCATCGTCACCGGTTTGCTACCTGCCACGCGACGGCTCATCATCCCTTCCGTGCCGGACATCCTCGACGACAGAGGGAAAGAGTACTTTACCCGCACCCGTTGTGAGTGGTTTGGCGTGTCTTCCCTCGATGAGCTCCGCCCCAAAACGCCAGAAGAGACAGATCGCCTGTGGGCCGACATCGAAGCCAAACTCGAGCCCATCCTGCGTACACTGCACGACTGTCCTCTGGTGAAAGGTCCCGAGCTGCACGACTCCCTGGACTGGAATATAGAGGGAGATCCGCGCGCCCGGTCGGCCGTGAGTGAGCAGAGTGTGGCTTCCAGTGTACCTGTGCGCTACCTCTCCGGCGGCCCCTCCCCGACCTATGCGGATTTCATCCTCATGGCCTTTCTGGCCTGGATCGCCCGCGTCGACATGGACGCCTGGGCCCGCCTGACCCTCTACATCGGCGACGGCGTCCTCGAGGATCTCTGGATGGGCTGCCTTCCCTACCTCCGCAGTGGTGTCTACGTTGAAACGCTGGAGTGGTTCAAGCCCGACTTGAAAAGGCCATATTCGTTGCGGAAATGAATGACCATGACCATGACCGACTGGTTCCTGCTTGATCTGGTCATTCTGGACCATTGGGAAAGGGAGAATTATTCGACTACCTACCTGTACTTGTCGTCCTGTGGGGGAGGGAATCTCGAATAAAGGAAGGGGCACCTATCCATTCATTCCTTGTCTACTGACGTCGTCATGTCATGTCACGTCAAGTTATGTCAGGTTGCACGATACCACCTAGGTACCGATACCACATGCCATGCCATGCCATGCCATGCCATATCATGCCACATTCATTACTTCCTGGCCGTTCCCGTATTCGTCCCGTGCGTCTTGCCTCGTCTCAACAATATCAAAAATGCTACAACGGCTGTTAGGCCAGTAGCTGCGACTCACCAACGGACGATCAAACCGCCGTCTGACACCTGCTTCGTTACCACAGCGCCTATACGGCATCATTACAAAAGTCCCAGTCAATCACACAACGTCTCCCTGAACACCTTGTCCACTTTCGTCGACGCCGTCCTCTTCCCACAAACACAGGCTGTCACCCACGGCCTTTTACACACCATGTCCATGTTGGGACCTTAGGGATCCACCCGTCCTCATCGTCCTCCATACGCGTTGAAAACCACGCGGTCGTCGTCCTTATTATCGCCGGATCAATGAGCGATGCGATTTGTCTGGACAAACTCCATCCCCTCCATATGTTCCCTTCCCACTCTTTGAGCTCCCGCACGAAATCCAGGAACAAGATCTACGACCACGTCTAGACCCCCCCTTTTTTTGGCAGGTTTCGCCCATCTGTCTGGCAGACCTCCCTCTTACTCGTTCCATTCCGCTATCAGGAACGGGATGCCAGATGGGGGCCTCATAAAGACCTCGAGGCACTTCAATATTCTATGGGCCTCTTGTGCCTGGCTTGGTTTTGACTCATCTTTTTTTTTGCCCCCTGAGGTCTATGAGAAGAGGCAGCGATTGGAGGTCATCAGTAGGGAGCTGGACAATGTCGTCGCCCGACGGTGCATGCTGAAATGATAGAATCACCCCGCTCCTCTTCCTCTTCTCTTATCGTCACGCATTGGACAAAGGGCCCACCATCTTCTACGGCAGCAGAAAGACGCTACAACTACCACTGCTCTCTTCCACCCGGCGGACGGCTCGATATCGCAGAGTTTGTGGCATGCGTGACTTCCTCTACTTTGCGATGGCACCGGGGAAGCTGGAGGTGTACATGGCACAGAGAAAGGATGGAATTGTGGAACGCACAAGGAACAAGACCCGGTGTACAATATCATTACAATTTGGGGTTCTGTATCCCCCCTTTCTCTTATTCCTATCCTACAGGAAAGGAGCTTTGTCGCTCCCCAAGAGCCCACCAACGCCAAAACGCCAAAACGCCAAAGCAAACCACGCTCCTCTGTTGGAACTAACTTGCGTGACGGCAAGGTGGTGACCTGTTCCTCCACCACTGCCGTCCTGCAGTTATCCTTTCCACCCACCCTGCCGCCACGCAGTTAGTTCCAAGAGCCCACCAACGCCAGACCGAAACACACAAAAGCAACCAACGCCAACCAACGCCAACCCAAGCACACAAACACAAGCCCAGAGGGGCACCCAAGGGGTATCGTTGTCATCAGCTCATCATTGTCGTACATTCGTAAAAACAAGAAACAAGAAACAAGAAGCAAAAGCAAAAAAAAAGAGTTACAAACTGCTCTTCAAGAGCGCCCCATTCACAAGCTCCGCCACAATCCTCCTTCTCTGCAAGGGGATCATGTCGGGGCTGTACGACATGGGCGTAAGCCCCAACATGATCTGCCTCGCGCTCGTGATCGTAAACACCCCACAATCGTCCATGTTGGTTTGCTGGGGGCTCTCTCCTGCGTCGATAAAGGTCCATTCGGACTCCTTGAATGCAGACCCCAATTCTGCAGCAACCCATGTCTTGACGGTATTGATGTATCGTCTTCCGTTCCCTCTCAGGCTGTTGTAATGTGCGATCGTGCGGTTCTTGCCTGACACGACACAAAGCGTCCAATGAGCGCCGCTGTTGACTGGGATGAACACCGCTTCTGTCTCAAGGAGGTTCTTGCCCCCAATCTTTGCTCGTGAAGCCCATCGCTTGACACTATCATAGCCGCGGCTTTCGAGGTTGTTGAAGAAGAAGGACACGAAGGCATGGTGTGTAGGGACTTGCGTGGGACGATCGTTCTGTCTTCCGTGGGCGACAACGAGGTTCAGGTATCCATTGATAACTTCGTCATTGAGCCATTGACCGGTGCCGCGGGTAGACTGTCCGTTCAGAGGGACGACGCGGGTAAAATCTGTGGCTTTGAAAGCGCCGTGGCCGTGACGAAGGGCGGTCTGGATCTTCGTTTCCCATTCTTCTGCGAGCGGGACAATTTCGTAGTGAGTCTTCTCTTCAAGGATCGCGAGTCTCTTGGACTCTGCGCGCGTGACTCTCTGTACTTTCTCGGATGAGTGTGGTGTCGCCTTGGGGGTCGGCTGATCTGGTGTAAATACTTCATCATCCAGCCTGAGTTGTGCGAGTTGCTTGACAGGAGTTTGAGGAGCAGATGTAGCTGATGAGCTAGACTCGCTGGTATCTTTGTCCTCAGTTAGGTCAATCGGACTTGCGACTTTTGGTTTTTGTGGGTTGGCACGTTCAGGTGTCTTCGGTGATTCTGTCTGGGAAATGTCGGGTTCCTGCAACGCGACGTCGGACTCCACTCCTTTTGTGACATCGTTTGCTTCTGCAAAAAGTTCTTGGTTGGCCAGGCCAAGAGCATTTTCAGTCATCTCGTCTGTCACTTCTGCTGTGGTAGAGGTAAGGTCGTCGTTCGCTTCGTCCTTGGTTTCTGACTCGGCAAGTTCTTTCCCGTTTGAGGCTTCAGTGGTTGTTTGTTCTGGTGCAGCGATGACGCTGGGTGGCAATATCTCTGCAAGTGTTTCGCTCTCGGCATGAGGGTAGGAACCTGGCATTGGGGATCCACCTCCTGAGATGATCACTCCGAAGACTTGAGCTTCCTGTTCTAGGTTTGGAGGCGGTGTTCCATCGAAGAAAGAAGACATCTCGTTCTTAACGGGAGATCTTGGTGCATCGAGGTGATGGTTTCCTGGTGTTCCATCGAAGAAAGAAGATATCTCGTTCTTAACAGGAGATCTTGGTGCGTCGAGGTGATGGTTTCCTGGTGTTCC